TTAAACAATTTTATACAGGTGGAGGCACCAGTCAATGTTAAAATGACAGTATGTCAGATAAGGCAGTACAATTCTGTAAGAGTTCAGAGGAGGTAAAAATGAGTTTTACTCTTGGTTGTAGCTTTACTGTACTTGTAATTGTGTTCACAATTTAACTTGACCATTAGAGAACTTGGATTCAGAAAAGATCACACACTCATTCAAAAAGGGATAATTAAATTTTGCAAAAATTAAGTCTTTTCTGTATTTTGATATGATTTTCATTTCCATTAAACCAGGAAAGCTAGAACTCATTTTAGAGTAAATTATTTTTCTTGAGTTTTCTGAAAGTAAACTGTTCTCCAGGATTCAAGTGTAAAAGGCTTATGAGAGTGAAGTAGACCCTGAGCATCGCAGGCCATCACTTACTTTCTACTTAAGTATCACTGGTTCAGACCCTTGCACAGTACAGCGTCTTCATTTTAAATTGGGATTATAAGAGGAAAGGCAGATATTGGAAATCCTATGGTATTTTGAAGTGACAGATGAGGGAGAAAAGAGTTCTATATAGAATTTTAGCATTGAGAAATCATACTTTTATTGAGGTTACCTTCTCTCCAACTCTTTCTGTTGAACTTTAAGAGGTGGTAACTGTGGTTATTTTCTCTTATTAATGCTCCTGATCATTGTTTTGGCATCTTATCTGAGAATTTAAACTATGAACCACCATTCTTTCACTTAAAATTTTCACAAATCATTCATAAATGTCTGGGGCTGAGCTTAATCACTATTCTTTACTTTAACAGCTCTATGATTCAGTCTTTTTAAAAAAACAACAAAAACATTAACACTATACCTTCCAAAATTAGTAAAAAAAACTTACGTTCCTTTCATATTTACAGTAAAGCATGAATAGTTCATCAAAATATTATTATAATAGCTCAAGACAGAGAGTCATTTGTGAATACATTTGTTCAGCAATATTTTTCTTTCATGGTGTGTATCAAAACATTATTACCATGGGCCATCTGCTAGAACAGGGAAGTCATTTCACTGTATAAAACTATATGTTAAATTACCATTTGGTGCATTTTACATGTGTTGCAAAGCTCTTTTATACTTTTCTCTCTAATATATAAACTGATCTATAGAATAAAGGATCATTTCATTAATTTGCTATTTCAAAACCCTTCAAGTTTGAAACAAGCTAACGAGTCTGCTCTGATATCTTACTGTTCTCCTTTATCTATCTTATTATTTATCACGTAGCTTAACCGAAGGGAATCTGTTTCTTTTAAGAATCCTTCCAATCTCTGAACCTGAGGTTCGTGAGGACAGATATCACATCCTGCTTGTCTCCGAATCCTCAGTGGCTGCTCTCTAACTCGGAGTCACATAATGGTTTTAAGTAAACAAACATTGAGTAAATTAATTATGTTCTCTGTTTGGTTTACCTTTGTACTCTGTTTTAATCTAAATCCTTGAAAACCCCCACCAAGTCCAACATGGGTAATGTCCTCTAAGAACTTCAGTGGACTGTCCAGTGTTCTCTGAACTGTTAAAACTTGTTATGTGAATTTTCATATTCACCACTTTTATCATGTATGATATCATCACTTAGACATAGGCCTTGTCCCATTTCTTCTATTAGCATGGAGTATAGGCTTTTGTGCTAGTTAGTCTCTGCTTTGAATAATATCACACCATGTATATTCTTTGTCTAGTTTTCATCTGTAAATGGAAACTTATTTTATTTATTCATTGGATAATGAAGATCAAGTAAGAGGGTACGTGTAAAGAACAGATACATGGCAGTAAATACTCTATTTCTCTCTTCTTATCTGACTCTAAGCTAAGTACATTGATGGTAGAAGTTGTGTTTCTTTTCCTCCATCAACAGTACCTAGAAGTGCCTTTGTCTTACTAGATATTAAAATATACGTTGATTAAGTACAGAGAATTTTGTACATTCTTGATAATGGTAATATTTGTGACATCTTTAATATTCAAAATTTCAAACTGGACATGTACAGCATTCCTGTAATCCTAGCACTCCAGAGACTGAGGGATGAAGATAGAGAACTCAAGGTCAGACTGAGCTTCATTGTGAGTCTTTGTCTCAAAAAAAAAAAAAAAGTAAAAATTTTATTAGTAAACTTTGTCCAACAGATTGTCATCCTGGGCATTTGCATTACTTATTAAATTCTTAGTTTTCATCTTAAGTATACATACCATTCCAAAGGTATTTATGTAGAGATTACAGCATGATATAACTTATCCTGAAGAGGTTCTTCAAAATGTAATTTTAATCTGGGTATTGCTTTAGGCATCCTTTCAGCCAACAGAATTTGAAATATTTTAGGAAAACCACAAGTTACTTAAAAATGCAATCTAGATTTACATTATTTAAACTCACTTAGATTCTCACTTACTATTGAACTGAACCATGTTATGAAAATAGAGCTATGAGCTGATGGTTTATGCCTGTAATCCCAGCTACTTGGGAGGTAGAGTTAGGAGGATCACAGTTCCAGGCCACTCCAGGCAAAAAGGTAGTGAGACCTTATCTCAAAGAACAGTTAAGGGAGCCTTGATAAAAAGCATGAGACACTATCTGAAAAATAATTAAAGCAAAAAGTGCTTGGGTTGTGGCTCATTTGTTAGAGCGCTTGTGAGCTTGAAGCCCTGAGTTCAAGTCCCAGTGACAGCAAAAAACAAACAAAATAGAGATTGAATTAGCTTTGTTACTATAGACTGTTCTCACTTTGAGAAATGTTTTAAATTGAGTTAGCACACATCTAGAATTTGAAGGAATGTAGAAAATAAACCTCTTGTTTATTTTATTCAAAATTTAACAGATGTTATGATGACTTAAGAATGTAAAATTAGAAGTGTTTGTTTTGAGAGAAATTTATAGTTTTTATAATTTATACAAAATTTGTTCATAGTACTTCAGTGACTACTGAATGTTGAAAATAAAGGATAACCTTATTTTACGCTTCTCTAAATGCCATTGACAGTTTTTATGTTTTAAAAATCAGAGCGTCAAAAACAAAACAAGAGGAACACTGTAAGAAGAAGACATTATTAGCATTGACTGTAAGTGTGCTCAGTAGGCATGTCTGTCTCAGGAAGTGTGTGATTCTCCTAAATTTTCTTCTCTTTATGCTTTCCTGTAACATACTGTTCCCTCATCCACACCCACTTTGCAAAAAAGACTAAGACCTAACTTCAGGTTATAATTGAGTCAACAGAATTCATAGTTATTAGGAAACATGCAGATCATCATCTTCAGTGTCACTTCTTATTCCTGTGAAGCACTCTGGGTGGCTGTTGGGAGTCATATCACGTGCTAGCTGCTGGGGGCTATAGAGATGAACATGACTCAGTTATGCCCAAAGTCCCAGGCTGGAGGAATGTTCTAGCATCATGTTCCTTAGCTATATACTATTCCCAGAAATGTTAATAAACAGTTCATGGTAAAATCATCTACATATTTTCCTAACTTCAGTAACATTGAATGCTTTATCTCCATACTGTTGACAGCATCAAGAAGTCTTTCAGTAAAGAAAAGCTTAACTTGTTTAAATCCAGTATTTCCCTTCCTTATTTGTCCTTGTTACCTTTTTTTTTCTTTTGTGCCACACATTTCTATGTCTCTATTGATACAAACTCTCCAGTACCAGCTTGGGAGCCCATACAGCGATGATGATAACCTAATTAGTGCTGTAAGAGCATCAGGGGAAAGGCAGTTAGGGAAGGCTTTCACACATGTAGCCACATGTTAAACAAGTCATGAACAATGAGTAGACAAAGGAGGGAAGAGCAATTTAGGGCTGGGCAGCAAGAATAGAATATACAAAAGCACAAATGGTTTGATCAAGCATGCTGTGTTTGAGGAAATTACAGATAACTCTGTATCATGAGACAAAAATGGGGTTAGCTTCTTAGTTAAAGAACTAAGAAGATATATCAGTGACAGATTCAGGCCATTGAGATATGTAAAAGGCCTTGTGTAACTTGATTGATCTATAAAACAGGTAGGAATTTCAAAGTTATACAGTTGCTATTGTGCTTTATTTATAAAGATACTTTTCAACAAGGAAAGCAAAGATTCTAAATTTGCCGAAAAATAGAAAAATACTAAATTAACTGTTGTGGCTGAGTCATCTCCCATGTGCTGCTATTGAGTTCTTAATGTGATCTAATCATATTTGTTTAAAGAATGAGTCTTCTCTTTGTGTTTGAATATAGTACGTTAGGAATGGTGAGGAAATTTTCCTTATAAAAAGTTTTAAGTGAACTAATTTTCTATTTGGAATTACTCATAGGAGAATCATCACACATGAAGACAGAATGATTTCCTTATTACTTTTATATTTTATACTTGAGGTTTTAGTGAGTTTTTCCCTTTCATCACTGATACTCAGAATACTGGATCAAATATATGTTGGTGTATTTGTATCTTTTTTATCATAATTTACATATTTATAATTCTGTGTACTTCTTATGTATACATTTTTTAACATTATACATGCTCAAATGTGTAAACACATTTAAATGCTAATACTCTTCTATAGAAATGCTATTGTTTGCATAACATAGAGAGTCTTCAGTTTTTCTAACTTTATTTTTAGATGGATTCTACATTCTTTATTATTACAAATCAGACTTTGTGTATGTAGTTCTAGAATTGGAATTATTGGGTCAAAACAGTAGGAATATGTTTAAGGCTGTATATTGACACATTAGTTACCAAAACAGTGCAGTAATTTATATTTCTACTTGGAGTGTATTAAAGCGTTTATTTTCTCAGATCTTAAGAGCAATCATTTAAAAATAAGACATCAATGATAATGCAAACTTTTGGGAGTTGATAGTTTAAAAATATGCACATATATACTGTTTTGTTCATTGCTCATGATTTTAATGATTAGCAGTAGTTCAATGAAATCTATTTAGTACTTTATATCAACAGATATAAGGATTTCCTCTTTATATAAAACATTTTTATTTTTGAGGTATCCATCACGAATTGAGAAAATTGACTATGAGGAGGGCAAGATGTTAGTCCATTTTGAACGTTGGAGTCACCGTTATGATGAATGGATTTACTGGGATAGCAATAGGTTGAGGCCCCTTGAAAGACCTGCACTAAGAAAAGAAGGTCTAAAAGATGAGGAAGATTTCTTTGTAAGTAGCAATCTTTTTCCATTTGCTACTTTTGCTAGATATGTAATGACATGTTTTAAAAGGATTGTGTTAAATTGTACAAATGCCTATTTTTGTTAAGGAAATGTTTATTTATTATACATGGAATTGATCTTAAAAGTTGTTTAAAATAGGATTTTAAAGCTGGAGAAGAAGTTCTGGCTCGCTGGACAGACTGTCGCTATTACCCTGCCAAGATTGAAGCAATTAACAAAGAAGGTATGTATTTGAAATGATCTGAGATTTAAAATGGGGCTGATAACGAAATTTCACTGTGTTTTAAATTTAGCATATGTAATTGTTGCATATAACTTTTATATCTCCTTTTTTATATTGTACTGAATGAACTTCCTGCTAATAGTTGTCGGGAGCATTTCTTACATATTGTATAGAGTAAGTTGGCACATGACTTCCTCCTTAAACTGTTTAATAGAGGTAAATGGTTGAAATTTTTCAGCTTTTACTTTACAGGCTTACATGCATTTTATTTCGACTTCCCTATTTCCAGTTTGTGACTAAGTTGTATCTATGGGCATCTCAGCTAGAGTGCAAGGAAAGATTAAAGATAAAGAGAAATACAAATCAGTTCACAAATATGTACAGTATTTTTTTAGGAGAGTGTGATTGGAAGATTTTCCTTATTGTATCTTTGTCCTCTTCCATTAATATATACTATATATATATATATAATATACTATATATTAATATATATATTAATATATATAATTGAGTTAATTTCCTAAATAGCCTTTTGTAGACAGTTGTTAGACTATTTGACACTGAGCAGAAATGTGTAGCATAAGACTGGGAAATTTTCCAGACAGATAATGAACTTAAAAAAATAGAACTTATATATTGATTAATTTGGAAAGGCATAAGAATTAACATTTAAATTGGTTTTGAAAATATTCCTGAGTATTTTATTTTGAAAAGTTCTCATATAAAAATCTATTTAAAGCCACTTGTGAAATACTTGAAGGTATATTTTTCAAGGTAGTTATATGCTACTTTTCTATTATAATTATTTCTTAAACTTCACTACTTATTCATTATTTGTCCAAAGACACAGACATTGAATTTTGGCTTCTTGGCAAGAAGAGCATTTGTGCTAAGAAGGGGACACTTCTTTAAACCAAGTCCTGAAAAGCACATGTAAGTTAGCTGGAGAAGGGATAATTTTTGGCAGAAGAAAGGTCCACAGAAAAGACATTAGAGAACCATGCCATTTTAAGGAACTGCAAGTTGTTTGAAGTGAAGAAATCCTTCACAGGGGGTGGAATAGTGGGGAAACATTAATGAGAGGCAAAATCTGTACATGAAGTATCTTAAAATCTTGCTAAAGAATTTGAATTTTATTTGGGGATCATGGGAGTGATGGAAGAAATTTAAGCTATGGATTTAAGCAAATAACAGACTTGAGAAACAGAAGATAAGTTAGAAGAAGACATTTTTTTAAAAAGATCTACATTAAGGAATATTAGGTATGAAAAAACAAATGACAGCAGTCTTACTCTTAATCACAGTAGAGTTTTACAAAGACCTTAATCCCATTAATTGTTGTAATGAATTGAAACCGTAGATATGGCTATAGTTTTATTACTAGTGGTTACCTACTGCAGGAAGAGTTGAGAGATAACCCTAATCATTAGGCATGCATGTTATTTCTCCTTTTCCAGTGGAGAACTTAGTCTTGTTCACAGAGTCTCTTGTTGTTCAGTTCAGAGCCTAGCACAGAGTAGGCATTCAGGAACAGTCAGTCTATAGAAAGGAAGAAAGAATGAATGACTCTGTTCTGGAGCTTGGGGGAATTAGGATTCATCCAAAACAAAACAAAGCAAAATTAAATAATTCTTTCTATTTTAATTAAGAACATACTTTAAGTGTGGGGAGCTTTGGGACTTTCCATGTTTCAAGTTTCCGAACCATGTGCATATGCAATTATATGCACACATACACAAACATATACTCAGATACAAAACCACCCTCATTCTTTACCCTGTTCTGTTTATCTATAGGTATTTGTTACAGAAAATTAAGCTTACTATTAGCAGAGAGGTGATGATACTGGTACTATGATTGATGACATTTCAGGAGTAGTTCCAGTGAGCCCTTAGTGCAATATTGGCAGCTATTATTTATTTTGTAAACATCTCCACTAGATGTATTAATTTTATGACATTTGGATGAGCCTGCCACTTCCCTCCAAAAACAAAAATGGCAAAGGAAGACCTCAATTCACTGTAAAAGCAAAACAAAACTAATAGCAATTGTGAAGATTTAGGTATTTGCTATACAAGTTATAAAGTGAAGAAAAGGGTCTGAGATGTGTGGACAGGAGTGGTCAGAGGAGTTTTCATTATAGGCATGGTCCTTAAAGAGTGGGTGAGTTTGACAGACTCCAGGGAAGGAGGAAGGGATCACAGTAGAGGAAAAGCATGAGCTAAGGTAGGAGAGATGAAGGCCATGACAACAGCCCAGCAAGCACCTGGATGCTTCTAGAATGCCACGTGGAGGAAGGAACTAGGTAGACAGTTCAACAATGATGGTAGTGCAAGGTGTATGTAGAACTTAGCACTCTCAAATTTTCCATTATGTTTACATCTTCGCTGTTCACCTGATGGCTTGTTTTCCTGACTCAGGTTTAGATCTTTATGATATTTAGCATTATGCTAATAGATGAAATTAAATTATGTTTTTTTGTTAGCAGAAAAAGAAAAAATCTGGGTATATATATGTGCCACTGGCTTTAGTCAACACCAAGGCCATTAATAATAATTATCACATTATTTGTTTATAGTTCTTTTGTAAAAATTAAGAATGTGTTTACTTAAAGTGGCGCTCTGCTCATATTTGGGAAATGGTAGAAAAACACTTGAATTTCCACAAGTGCAAAATCTACATAACCTTTTTCCTAGTAATCCTATCTTATATTGACTTGCTGGCTTGGGAGCTATAACAGAAAGTGAATATGCTTTAGAGTCTGCAAGTGGCCATGCAAACAGAATCTTGAGACTTGAAAGTAGAATGATTTAAGTAGGAAAGGCATGGCTGGCTAGACAAGACTGAAAGCAGTAGTTACCCTTGTGCTGCTGTATAGCTGGATGTCATCTGATGCAGTCTGGAGCCTTTCTGGAGTCTGGTGTGTTAATCTGCACATGAAAACATTTATCTTGTTGATTTGTGAAATATTTTCTAGCTTAAAAGTCTGTGAATCTATGATTCTTATTTGCGAGTTCAATACTATTGCCGAAGGAGTAATCTTTTCTTGGGAAAATGATCTTTTTTATATATCAGATTTTTCTCTCTGTTATTTATTTTGAAAGAAACTTTCTAAGGAAGCCAGTGATCATTCCTGTGGAAATAATTGTGTTTTTGTAAGTAGTTAATTTTGTCATATATGTCTAAACATACTTAAATTGTTACAAAATAAATTTTAAAATTTTTCAGTAAAATTCAAAGTTACATGCACTAACTTACCAATACTTACCTAATTTGTGTACTTTTTAAGGGAAATGTGAGTTCAGAGTTGTTTTTAGGAGAGAGAAAGTTTACCTAATAAATTTGATGGAGTCCTAAAGAGAAATGTATGTTTGTAGTTTTGTACTCACAGAGCATTTATTATATCTGGTCACTACTTGTTTGCTTCAAAGTGCTGCAGTAAGTTGTATGATATTTATTTTCTAATTATTCTGACTGCTCCTATTTCAGGAACATTCACAGTTCAGTTTTATGATGGAGTAATCCGTTGTTTAAAAAGAATGCATATTAAAGCCATGCCTGAGGATGCTAAAGGGCAGGTAAGAGTGTTCAGTATTCCTAGCTATTCAAAGGGATGTCTTCTTTAATGGTGACTGATCAACATTTATGTATATGTTTTTAAAGTGAACTAATTGTAGGGTTATGTGCTGATAGCCCCAAATAGCAGCAAGAAAAAGCAGCTTAGAATGTAAAATAAATTATACACTTGAATTTTGCTTCTTTGGTTTTAGACCTGCTAAAGTTATAGGTCACTAGTTTCTGTTCCAGGTGAAATCCCAGCATCCACTAAGCTGGTGTTGTCCTATCGACCCAGCTGGATCGTGTAACCAGTCTATGGGAAGTGAGGTAAGTGCCTTTTTTTAAAAAATTTTGCTTTGCTTTATCTGGTATAGAGTTTAATTTAGAAAGTTAATTTTTAATATGAAATCTTACATTGAGTTTCTTGTCATCTTCTTTCTTTCTACAAATCATAGTAGTTTGTTGTCTTTAAAAGGCGCTTACCTGACACTCTGTAGGCTGTTTCAGGTAGGGCTGTCTGAGTAGCATGATGGAACAATGTATTCTATGCTTTGTCACTGCTCAAAGCAAAAGTGAATGGTAAGCATTTGAAGGAGAGTCTGGGATATAGTTAAAATTAGGATTCTACTTGTTATGTTTCCTGAAATACTGAAAAGAAAGGTGCCATTAGAAACTTAAAAGTATTTTCTTTTATGTTCTGCTGTTATTTGGGATTTTCAGCACCTGGACCTACAATTACTTTTAAGAACTTGAAAGTAATCTGTGAAAATGTCTGATATGGAAATATGCTACGTATTTTTTCCATAGTGTGCAGCAAAAAGTGTCAACCTGAAATGTGTTGAAATCACTTGTTCAGCTTCAGTTAGGTGTGAATGCTTAAAAGTGTTTATAGTTTGCAAATGTATAATACAACATTTAATATAATTGCTTCTGAAGAAATCTTCTGAGAAGTGTGATTGTTTCAAATTACCTGGTTTTTAAAAGTTTATTTATGAAACGATCAGCTAAGCAGTTACATATTCATTAGTATGTAAATACAGTTTAAAATGAAAATGCTTTTGATCAGGAAATTACTGTGTCTTCCTGCATGTATGTATAAATAAAAGGTTCTCTGAAGCATTCAGTGGTGTGATTTCTTGGTTACTGCATAGAAAGGTTGATTTAAATGTTGGGTACATAGTTGTAGTACATATCTGTTTAGACAAAAGTCTCATTAAGTTTTTTCTGCTTTCAAACTGATTTTTCAGATGTGTTGAAATGGCACTGATACTTTTGCTTTAAAGATTTCTTTTTTCTGAAAAGGGATAATTGAATCAGTTTGATTTATGGTAAAATTACAGGCTATATAGAAGCTAGATTTGTTGGTTGGTTTGGACAATTATTTTTATAAATATTTTAGTCACAACATGATGTATGTTAATGGTAAAATCAATTATAAAATATAAAATGACTGAAAGTGTTTGGTGGCCATGTATTTCCTTTAATTTTTAATTTTTCTTAATTCTTTCATTATAAGAAATTAAAAATATTTGTAAATTAATTTTTATAAACTATTTCCAGTTTATGAGTCTTTTTTCCCAAGTGTTTTCACCTAGGAAATATGCTGAATCAGGTGATTGGACAAAGTTAAGACAATCCTATCTCACATATTATTTGTTGCATATTTCAGATTTTGAGTACCTTGAGAATTCTTTTATAAATATATAAAGTAAGATTTCTTTTGTTAAATTAGCAAAGAATAATGTATCAAATAAAGGTACTATGGAAATGCTCTTCCTTAAATTTCCCATAGGACCTGTTTTATAAAATGAGACATTAATAACTACTTTATATTTGAACTTCCAGATTAATTAGTATTTTTAAAGCCTAAATAAAAGCCTTAATGCCATTGTTACTGACTTTGAGCCAGTTGGTTAATACTTGTCAACCTCTGCTTGCTTTCAGAAGGTTGCTTAAAGGACTGGGACGTGGTTCAAGTGGTAAAGCACTTGCATTGCGTAGCTACCAGGGGTCCCTGAGTTCAACTCTTTAATCCCCAGAACTGTCAAAAAATTATATATGTATATATATATATTTTTTTTTAATATATATATTTATATATACCATAAACTAATCCTTCTTGCAATGTATTTGTAGATGTTTGTCTCATTGGGGAAGAAGGTGTGGTAGAACTGTTGACTGTCCAAAGTAAGAACCCCTCTTCCCATTCCTCCCTTCCCCTTTTTCCTCTTTTACACAGTTTTAAGTGGAATGGTAATGATCCATAAATGGTATGGTATTGATCCATAAATACCTGTGAAGCTGACATTTTATAGGGTGAAGATTGAGTCCTCCATGTAGTGAAATAACTTACTTCTTACTGTTACTTTTGAATTTTCACCCTAATAAGTAATAATTTCAGGGTGAGAGACTGAGCCATTTATTTTAAATTTGGAATCTTGTAACAGGGGAGGGACTTGCATTTTCTCTCCTATTTTTTCTTTCTGAATGTGTGCTGATGTAAAATTTATTTTTAAAGGGCTGGACATGCTCAAGTATAAAGCACTTGCCTAAAAAGTGCATCATGGCCCTGAGTTCAACTCAAGTACTTCAGGAAGACACAACAGATTAACTCAAACTGTCCCTTGCTATTCACAAAACATTTTTATATACATTGTTTTAATGGACTTCTCGTAGCAGATCTTTCCATTTAGGTATGGTTTGTATTTTTATTTCACAGTTGAGGAATTCAGAACTTAAAGAATTAAATGACTGATTTAAAATTTCATAAAACCATTATGTGCAAAGTGACTCCTTGAACCCAAATCTCTGGATTTCAAACATAGCACTCGTTTTTAAACCTAGTTGTCATACTTTATTATGCCAACTGCAGATTTGGAATATGTCATTATTAGTTCTATTCATGGAAAGACCACACTTAGTTATTTTTGACAGTGAAACTTCCCTATGTAAAAATTCAACAAAATAATAATGGGGAATTCTTTAACTACATGGCTCCCATATTTCATATTATTAACATCATATGATCAAGAAACTTTTTAAAAAATATCTAAGTTTTTAAAAATAACAGTGAAGATTATTAGCAATGAAATTAGCATAACATGACAAAAGTGGGGAGAATTGGGGAAAAAAAGAAAGAAACATTTCTTGCTCCCCATGTAGGAAATGGGAGTAGAGATTCCTAAATAAAGTTTTGAAAGTTGCAGTGATTCACTTTTTTCTAGTTCCCTCTTTATTGGAGGTAGTGAACACCTTGGAATGGAAATTATCCCCACTGTTATCCAGCATTGCTCTAACAACTGAAAACTTTCCCCACGGTGTAGATCCTAGAATTAAATGTTCTGCTTTTAAAAAGTCTAATGTATGCTCTTTGGCACATGTAACAGTTTGCTTGTCTGGTTGCATTTACTCTTTCTTCTTTCTGCTTTGTTGATTGCTGTTACTCATTGGTTGCACTTGCACCAGTGAGTACTTAAATGCTAGTCCCAAGCTATAATGCTTTTATCTTCTTCGCTGTGAGTTTCCATCACTTATTCCCATTCCTGCACACTCTGACTTCCATGCTCTTGTTTAATGTTTTTCCTGTTGCATGAAAGTCCTGTTTTCTTCTTTATAGCTGCCCTTACCTAGAAAATTCCTAATGTTCAGAGGTGAACTCTTCTACCATTGTCTCTGAAGCCTCCCACTAGTCTTTTCTCTTCAGTCATAGTTAATGTTTTCTGTTGTCCCATAGTATTTTGTTCATTCCTGAAGTGGGTCTCCTGTCACAGTGTCTTATGCTTAATTTTGTTTGCCTGTGACTAATCAGCTTTCATTGCTTCTTACTTAATTTCATGTTATAATTTTGATTTCAGTTGCTGGGCTAGGTAATGTGTTACACATCATGGGTGAATCTAAATTGGTCTGTTTGACAGCTTAGTTGCCTCAGTGGAATATTAACTCTAGAGACATTACAAATAATTGTTTAAAGTAATTTTTCTTGCGAAAATTAAAACATCACGACTTTGTACTACTTTACTACATTCTGTATTTTTTACAATAAGTACTTTTAGTTAAAATGAAATAGTAAGATTTTTTTAGCCACAAACAAAAAAATTAATAAGGGGAAAATAAATATGTGCACCATAATAAAAATGGTAATTAACCTATATAGAGAAAGCAGTTGAGGGAAAGAATGAAGTCTGGAGTCCAACAGCATGTTACTTACTTTGGTCAAGTCCTATAGCTCTTTTTTTCTTTATTAAGCTGTTGTGGTAAATTGATTCTAACTTCAAAAGGTTTAGAAAAGTAATAAAATCATAGGTTGAAATCAACCTACGAATTGAATGCTACATACTTCCTAATAAGGAGTAGTAATTGGGTCAGTGGGAATACAACGCCTTTGGTGTTCACAGGATTGCAGTATAAGCAGTTCTCTCTCTTGTGTTCCATTACATTACAAAAAAGAAAGGTAATGAAGCACTTAAGCCCTAAAAACTAATGTAGCAGTCTGGATTGTCATAGGCTTTCTAAGTTATTTTAGGTTTTATTCCATAAAAATACATCAAAAGAATACTTGTTACTGAATATGTTCTTATTTTATAAAACATTTTACAACCCAATTAACACCTGGATTATTAAATTTGATAACATGTTGATCTGACGTGTAAATATAGTTAACTTGACTTTCAAGTGTATAAATGTGAAAGTACCTTTGAAGATCTGATACATCTTTTTATTTATTCGTGTAACTACATTATCTTTAATTTTTAATACTTCACATTTTGTGTTTTTTCCTTTGGAGGATTGGATAGCATTAGTCAAAGCAGCTGCTGCAGCCGCAGCCAAGAATAAAACAGGGACTAAACCTCGAACCAGTGCTAACAGCAATAAAGATAAAGAGAAAGATGAGAGAAAGTGGTTTAAAGTACCTTCAAAGAAAGAAGAAACTTCAACTTGTGTAGCCACACTAGAAGTTGAGAAGAAGGAAGATCTACCTACATCTAGTGAGACATTTGGTACAAAATACATTCTTATTTTCCTTCCTTATGACACTGCTAAATTGAGGTACTGAATAAATTGAATCCTTTGACTATCTGTAATTTTAAACTTATAATTAAATCATTAGACTCTTTTTGCCCCAACATAATAGGATTACTGACTTTTAAATCTTACTGACAGATCTGAAGAGTAAAGTTTCACTATCAGTATTTGATATTAGATACTGTCAATATTCTTGAATACAAAAGAATAGTTATTGTTTAATTGTTAATACTTAGTTAATAGAATAGTTAATTATTGAATAGCTAATAAAATAGTTATTTTGATATTAAGTGGTAATGATATTCTTCAATAGAAATGTTAGAATAGTAATTTTGATTTGAAATTTCTTGGTAATAGGTGCTTGAGGGGTTTTTTTTTTGTTTTGTTTTAAAGGCTTTACCATATATTTCAATGTTATATAGAAGAAGCAGCAAGTCATTTTCTTCCTGCTTTCCTTTCTTACAGAGTAATTTCTTAATGGTCTTTTATTTCTAATATAGCAGTCTGGAGGGATTTATGTTTTTTAAAGTTCTAATCAAACATTAGATTAAAAATATCTGAAGCATTTTTATCATTTTGCCATTTTTAGTCATCTATTGTAATTTCAGATTCTAGGTAAACTCTCATATATGTGTTCTGTTAAAAGTAGGACTTCATGTAGAGAACGTTCCAAAGATGATCTTTCCTCAGACAGACTGCACATTATCAAACAAGAGGAAAAATAATCAAGGCAACTCATTTCAGGCAAAGAGAGCTCGACTTAACAAGATTACTGGTAAACAACAATGATTCTTTTTGGGGGAATTGGAGGGTTTCATTTTATAGTGTATTACTTTTAATAAAGTAAAATAATTTTTGTTTGAGTGTGATGAACTGTTTACTAAGAAAGATAGTTATGTTCAACTTTTTCATAGTAAATGTCTTTCAACACTGTCAGCTCTGCCTGTTATAAAATGAGAAAAATAGCACGTTTTCAGCCTACCTCACAGGGATGTTGTGAGGATTCATAAGCTCATTCCATAGGTTTTAAATGACTGTAGTAGTAGGACTAATTTCCATAAGAAACTTATTATCTGCTTTTATCAACCGATGGTGACATAATTTCTGAGGTTTTAACTTTTTATATAAACATTCTTATACTTTACCAGGTTCATTTAGAGATGGATATCTAAATTAAATTTTATTCTTTAATCACTTGTTAAAGTACTTCTGCCAAGTTTGTGTTTTACTGTTTTTATTTCTGTCCTTCAGATTGGTCTCTGGAATCTGGGCTAATTTCTGTATACCTTCATATAGTATACAATATAACAGTGCTAGGATGATTGGAAATATAGACAATCCTAGCTGGTTATGGAAGAGGGGATTGAAGTGTTAGGGTTAGGTCTAATTATACCATGCCCTTCACTTCCAAGTTCTGTTCATCCTAATGTTTCTAATATTTAAAAGAAATTGTGAGCATATTTTATTTTTTGAATTTGTGTTAAAGTGGGTTTAAATGTTTTTTTAGTGCATTTGGTCTAATAAAGTTATTGAACCTTTGTTGGTATTCATTTAAATACTTTGAAGAAACTTGGTTTCATTGTCAGAATTAGGAGTAAACATAAATTATATGTTTTGGGTATTTTCTGAAGCCAGGAAGACTACTGAAAAATGACTCTGGGATTGAGAGTTCTTTAGAACCAGTCTTATAGTGTTCATCTATATGATTTTAATTTTTTTCAACAGGTGAGAGTATTTGGTTTCTTTCATTTGTTCATATTATTTTCATGTCTTTTTCTGATAAAGGATATATTTGCCCACAGGACAGGAAATATTTCAAATTATTTCACCCATTAAACCTTTTCTTTAAAAAGTGTTAGCTTTGAAAAAGCCAGAATGTTTTTTTTACCTAAGTGATTGTTCTGATGTCAGTCTGAGACTTGTTTTTGTTTAAAATATGGAACCCAGTGCTACATGCAGGGCAGAAGTGGAGTATTCCTTCTAACTCCTATGATACAAAGATTGAAAACGCAATACTGGAGGAGTCAACATAAAGGAAGACGGAGGTGACACTGATAATGATACAGCTGCCAGCTTCCCAGCATCGTGGTTTCTTCCCTTCAGTCACATAACCTGCATTTAGTTTCAGTCAGTATACTCTTACATATGCCTGCTTCCACATGCTTTTCTGGAAGATCAAGCTCAACATTTAAAGAAATAAAAAAAGAAAGATGAAAACAGCTGAGTCCACAGTAACACATTATCTCTGCCTCTGCATGGCCTTGGAGAGAGAATAGTGGGGGAGAAAAGAACCATTTTACCATGTGCCTCAAGTTATCCTGGTTGCTTAGTAACACCCTGTGCCTTCTGTGGAGGGGCTTCCTCTTCACTTTTCCTTGGGAATCTCAAATGTGATAGTTTGGCAGCAACAGCAAAAAATAAGATGTTATGGATATGAAGCCATCCATGATCTTTTCCCCTTAGTTATGAAGAAGATTTAAGTGTATGATAATCCTTTTAGTAGTTCATCTCTTTGCATCTAGTTTTGATTTCATGTTATAATTTTGTCATTTAAAAAGATAATAGATATTGGAAGATTGTTTTCAATGTTTGAAACCTGGGCTTGCCTGTACAATAAATTTCATTTGTGAAAAAAAATTATAACAGATAAAATAGCTATTTTGTGTTGAGATTGTATTTTAAGTTTATCAAGCTCACCTATGTGTGTTTTTGCCCCTTAACGATAAGAGAAGAATGAGACTAGGATTATGGCAGCTTGCTCTGATGTACTCCCCTCCCTCCATTCTACTTAATTTTTAAAAATAGATCTAGCTGAAGATAGCCGCTGAGTAAGTTTAATTCTTTATTTATTCACTCTATTCCTTTCCCCACCTGTATACTCTAAAGTGATTATAAATCTGGTTTCTGTATAGAGAGTGATATAAGGATGCTTTTTTTATTTCCAAATAGATAGACATTGAAAATGTTGTATACTGTTGAGTGTTCTTCTAAGGTCTTGTTTTTCCTTATGCAGTGTATCTTACTAGTTGTTATATCATATGCTATACGCATATTGACTTAAAATAGACATTTTTTACATAGATAATCATGAGCCCATGCCTTTGGGACAAAGTTGCAAGCAAACTGAATTTTAGTAGATTTTTAAAATAAAAATTGTCCACAGCATAAAAGAGGAAAGAATAGTAATTTGTGCATGGTGTGTCTTAATTGTTTCTTGGCATCCCAGATGTTCTTGATATTTAGATATGTTTGTTCAACTTAAGGAATTTTTAAAGCAGTTTTTAAAATCTCAAGGTTTAAATTGACCAGTAATAATGTTATTGACAATAGTATCAAGGATCTTTGATTTTTTGATCCTAAAGCAAAAAGACTGTGTTTCAAAATCCCTAGATGAAAAATAGACCAAGAATGTAACCTCTTTGCTCTTTGAGTGCCATTTTTTTGCATTTCTAGGATCTCTGGATTCTTGTCTACTAGTATTGGCAGGGAGAGAAAGACTGTAGTGTATCAGTGAAGTAGAGTATTGTGAAGCTGTGACTTTGTGGATAGGACTCAGGACTATTTGATATTCTACTTCTATTCAGTGTTTAATATTCTTAAAGCTGGGTAATGCATTTTTTTGGGATATTCTGGAGAAGGGCCTGTTATAACATGCTGATAATAAATATTTGTTAATAGTTAAAATTAATTTCATTTCTGTCTCTTTCCATTGCTTCTCATTTACTATGGATATTACATTTCTTCTTAGAATGTTAGCAGATAACAGATTTTGGACTTCCTTTGAAGGCAGAAGTAGTCTTCTCTTCAAGTTCCTGTCTTATCTGTCCCCTTTTGTTGCTGTATTTAATAAATCTTTTAAGTTGGTGTGAAGCATACAAAATTTTGTTGTTCATACTGGAGGCTTTTGAATTCTCTAGATAGAAAGTACTGCATTTTAAAATCTAATTTTAAGTAGATTTTCTTAAATGCCCCATTACTTTTTATGAGCATATTACAAAAGGCTTTATTTTGTAAAGCCTTTTATTTTCCTTCCTAAATGGCTTTCATTTAATTAACATCTCTGATACCCTTATTAAATTCATAGGTTATGGCTGAATTATTTGATTTCTTTAAAAACTTGTACCTTATTTTTAATTTTGTAGTTTGTGATTCATCCCATCTAGTGATGAGTATTAAAAACTTTCTACCACCTGTATGAAAGGAAATAAAATATAAGATATAATTATTTAATATGTTGAATGGTAAATGTTTTCCTCTTTGAATAACCCTTAGAAATAGGACCTCTACTCAGTTACTGGCAAAAGAAGAACTTGTTTCCGTAATGATTTTCTTTTTTTATTTCAGTAGTTCATTGATTCTCAGGAATATTAGCTGGAGAAGAAAAACCTAGTGAATGTGGTTTTATTATGGATGAAATATGCCATACTACATCTTTTTTACTCCTATAAGATATGTTCAGAGTATAATTAGGATTGAATCTATAGTTTAAAAATTTTGTAAATTGTTTATATGCCAGTTTTTTCCCACTTAAATCTACACTTTGTGGGGTAAGAGGAACAAACTATGTAAACTGCTATCTCAAACTAGTTCAAGTGCCAGTTTTAAGACCAGTCACTGATGTATCAAAATCATTGTTTGGCACAGAGCCTTTTCTGTTTTATAGTATAAACTGAGCTCTAGGTATGAAGCTTTCCAGTAAAGGGAAGGTGCTTTTTGTCTAATATAACATTTGGCCCTAGTGCTACTTTAAGAATATAATTTTAATATGCGAATCCCCACCTGATCACTTGGTGTCTTTGGGGTAGTTATTTGGTAAAATTTAAGACACACTGTCTTGTTGGTAGCTCTATATTTTGCAGTAATTGGGGGCATCTTTTTTTCTCCTGGGAATTAATGTGCTGTAGTAAGTTTGGCATTACAGTGTCAGTTGTTAAACATGCTTCTTAAGCAAGGTTTTGCATGACCAAGTATTTTTTGGTGGTCTTTTATGTGCAAGGTGGCTGTAAACAAAAGCAAAAAGTTGTCGTTATACAAGCTTTATAAACCTGGCATCATTGAAGGTACTGAAAGACTGAGCAAAGATTTTTAACCAAGTAAATGCCTTTAATTTATTAATTTAAGCAGAATTTTGATGTTTTGTGAAATTAATTATACATATTCTAACCAAGTATTCTGTCTTCTAAAATTGACAATTTGTGAAATCTAGAATTTTCAGTTTGTGAAACTAAGTTCAGATGTTCTAGGAAGGACTCATGCTTTTCCCTGTTAACATAAAATAGATCCATGAGACTATAGGTATAACTGAGGATAGAGATAAACACATGACGCTTAGGTTAAAGTATCTAAGTACAATTAAAAACTTAAAATTTAAAATTTAAATTTAAATTTTATTTTAAAATTAAAATATTAAGTGAATATTTTTTCACTTAATAACTCATCAAAAAACCTTATTTTCTTGTCTGTTTTTATAAATATTAGCCATCTAAATCTTTATCTGGACTTTGAAACCATAGGATTTAAAATTTTTCAGAGCAAATGTGTGTTTGCATTTAAGGATCTTTGTAAATATTTACTTCCTGTACAGTAAAGTATGGAAGATTTCAAATGCTAAATATTTTGAGAAGTTAATTAGGGTGAAATCAACATTTTTTCTAATGAGGCATTTCTGTACAATTTTCCTCAAGGTTTGTTGGCATCCAAAGCTGTTGGGGTGGATGGTGCTGAAAAAAAAGAAGACTACAATGAAACAGCTCCAATGCTGGAGCAGGTATGAAATGGTAGCATTTGATTTTTTTTTGAGGTTCCCACTGGAATGATCACCGAGCTGTAGTATCTACGTAATTGAATTTGCCCTTTTGATCAGATGTGGGAATAGAAAGCTAATTCACTGATGATATATTTTTTAACTCTGCCTTCTTTAAGGTTTACAAGATAAGCTACAGACTTTGTTAGCATTTGTTTTCAGTAGACTGGCATTAATGCCTTTGTCTCCAAAATTTGAAGTTCTGGAGGCAGGCATCCCAGGGTAAAGCTTTCAGCTGGACACCTTTAACTAACTTACAAAAAGACCCTTACACAAATACTTTTAATTTGTGATTTAAAACAGGGTTTTTTGACATCAAATACAGCTTCTTTTGTAAGAAGTTTCTTTTATATTGTAACAATCGATGTTGGTAGACTGACTGTGTTTTATGAATTGATCAATGAGCCATACATTTTTGCTAGGATGTATATTTTAATAACTACAATAAAAAGAGAGTTTAAAAAACTGTTAAGGGTCTGTCTTTAAACCACCTAATACAGGAATTTAAAAGTGAAGGTTGCAGTTGCTAGATTTTGCCTTGACTACCTTCGGATTCCCACAATACCTGTACATAATGAACCATGCATGCTTTTACATTCTCTAAGGGCTTAACTTCTTAGAAGCACTGTAAGACTATAAGAATACAGTAATAGCCATAACTTGGTTTCCTTGGTTCTCCTGTTTTAAAATCTGAGCCTTAATGTAGTTTTAATATCAATATTTCCTTTTTGTATTATTTTAATTTTCTTTATTAGTAGTCTAATAAAGAAGACTTTTTAAATGAGTATGTTTTGCTCTTCTCTATATGCATTTTAAAGGATAGTCCAAATTTAATTGATATTGTATTGAGTTTTTCAGTGTTACTTTAGGCCTGATTTGATAAAAGTGCATTGTTTTGGTGCCTCGATTAATGTTGTATTAAATCAGTGGTCTTTTAAATTAATTAATATGTCAATGACTCATATCTTCTGATTTTCTGTGATCATCATCAAACGGTTAAGTCTTTGCCGTTGTCAGTATATCAACCAAATTTTAAATGACTTTTTTTTTCTGTGTATTACTATATTCACCGTCCCAGATATAACAGTATTTTGGACTTTAACTACTGTTATGGTACTCTCAGAGTGTTCTCTCTCTCTCTTTCTCTCTCTCTCTCTCTCTCTCTATATATATATATATATATCAGGGACATGGGTAATAAAATATTTCTGGAAAATTCATTACAATGTCAATCTTTCATTACACACAATCTTACAAGATGAATGTGGTTGTGAAAAATACTAATTATATGTGGAAGTTAGTGTAGAGAGTAGAACCCATTTCAGAAAAATTGAGTTAAAAAAAGAAAGCAAAATGGAGCAACTTGGCTATTTGTGTTTGCATAACTAAAAAAAATTTTGAGACTTCTTGCCAGTTTTGTAACAGAGACCAATTATCTTTAATGGAAAGTTTGTACATTATTTGAGATTTTAAGGAACCTCTTGCTGTTCCTTCATTTTTTGTCATTCAGGTTGGTTTCAATGTGAAAATGTTTTGTATCTAAACTCTTAATTTTTATGCTACATGTTAGCCCTGCTTTAAAGTTAAAAAGCCGAGTTATAAAGCTCTTAATTACATCTCAGCTGCTATCAACAATAGACCTAAAGAAGTACCGATTGTCACTGACTTCTGTTCTAATGAGTAAAATATCACTCATGACATAGATTGATAACAGGCTTATAGCCAAAACTTACTGTACTGATTGATTTATTTTATTTATATTTTTAAAAGATTTGAACTGTGTGGTCATAAACCCCATTCTCAGATTATTAATTATAGATTATTTAACTGTATTAGGGAAATGTCATGTTATATTTACTTTTGAATAAAACTTGCATTTGATGCATAATAATTCAGTATTTTAAAATGTTAAATTGTCCTTGTTTAGAAGTTAAGCACCTTATCAAGATATTAATTTAAGTTTTAAAATCTTGTTTTATAACTTTGTAACTCAAAAGTAATGGATGCTGTAGTGATGTCTTTCACATATGTGAAGATGAACAATAAAATTGTTTATTTACAAGTAATGGCTCTAATTACTTTTCTGGCAACACCTTTTATATAAGCTTAGGAATACTTTCCATTTATGGAGTACTTTTCCAAGTGACTAATCCCACTTGTGCACATGTATAATGAATAAGTTCAAGAATAGAAATGATGAGACTTGAGTGAATGAGACACTTGACACCAGGCGTTTCTGTGGTATGTGCAGCATGCCATCTGTAGAGCATTCATTGGTGCCCTGCTTAATACCAGATGCATACATTTTTCCTCTCCAAAATTTTAGTTTCATGAGACCAGAAATACTTATTTTGCCCTGGCAATTATCTTTCATATTTCAGAGAACTATGGAGTGCAGTTTTGATAGTAATCCCTCAAAAAATAGAAGTGAAAAGGTTTCTTGGGACAAGCATGTTGTTCGTAGTGCTAGTAGTTGACTCTTATAGTGGCTAATCACAGCATAGATTTTTAAATATGTGTATTATGTTTTACTCTCAGATCCTTATATCTGAAAGAGATACAGTATAGACATTTCAGCATGATAGATTTGCAAACCCATCTATGTGACTATTTTCTGTTGACTTTGAACAGTAGACATATGTACACATATTTTACTTATGTAGGGAATTTTACTGCCAAGTGAATAAAATACTTTTTATGAAAGAACTGACAAAAGTTCCAATTTCTTTTTAAAAGTATCAGTTGGCAGGAAGAAGGTAAAAATCTCTCATCTAAGAATGCGACGTATTTTGTTTTTAAATCCAGTGTTTTAACTTACACTTTATCTCTTTGGTTTTTTTTGTTGTTGTTGTTGCTTGTTTTGTATTGTTTTTTAGTCTTTTAACTCTATTGCTGGTGGCTCTGATTTCATGATGCATTATGCTTATGAAACTAGCTTTCAGCACTAAAATGAGTTAAAGATAATGTTTTGTTAATTTGGTCATTGTTTTCCTGTTGAGATCTTTCTTTAAGGGGAAACTGTCTACTTAGACCTCCACTTTCAACTTGATAATGATTTTAAGAAACATGTGAAAGTTAGAAGTTTAAATATATTCCTCTAAAAGTAGTATGAAATATTTGTCCAGTAAGATATTTTATATTCTGATATTATGGATACTTTAAAATTTCAACTGAAAGTTGACAGTATCCCTTTAAAGACAACATATTCAACTTTTAGTTAATAATTTGTGGGGTTCTTTTTGGTTTTTCATTTGTAATAGAAATGTTATATGTTGCTTAACAATGTTTTTTGGATACTAAAGTTGCTTAACAATCAAAAATAGAAGTCAAGAACAAAAATGAAGAAACCAAAATAAAAATATCAATTTTTTATTATTCATTCAGGCGATTTCACCTAAACCTCAAAGTCAGAAAAAAAATGAAGCTGACATTAGCAGTTCTGCCAACACTCAGAAACCTGCACTGTTATCCTCAACTTTGTCTTCAGGGAAGGCTCGCAGCAAGAAATGCAAACATGAATCTGGAGATTCTTCTGGGTGTATAAAACCCCCTAAATCACCACTTTCCCCAGAATTAATACAAGTCGAGGATTTGACGCTTGTATCTCAGCTTTCTTCTTCAGTGATAAATAAAACTAGTGAGCACAGATTTTTAAAAAATAGTTACTTATCCTGTAAGATACATTAAAAACAGTTTGATTGTAGTTATATTGTATTTTTATGAAGTTGCTTTTTAAAAACTCAAGTGGATATGCTAGGGAAGCTTGAAGCTATTTCAGGGGCAATATTCGTAGACATTTATGATCTATTGATCTATTGTTCAGAGACTGTACAGCTGGTTGAGAGACCTTACCATTTAGTAAAACAGATTCTACTGTAGTTGCATTCTCCTCAACTAATAATCCAAGCTTAATGAGAGGCCTGATTCATTACAAAAAACAAAATAAAAAAGCACCAAATAAGCAACCCCCCCCCAAACTAGAAGTATGGAAAGACCCATGGAAGATATTTTTACTTAACTTCTTAGCACTATTTCTGTAAATAGGTAACAGTTAATATCCTCATTTGACTATACTTCTCTGCAATACATTTTGTTTATTTTATTGTAATGTTTACAATGTAGTCTTTAACTCAATTCTTAATGAGAGGAGAATGCCTCCTTGATTATAGTTTTAAAGATTTTACTGTTCCCATTATTAATCTTTCAAGTGCCAACTTAGTCTTTTTAAAAATATTTTTCAACATGAGTTTGGAGATAATATATGTGTATGCTTATATATACATATACACATTTGTATACAAATATGTGTATATATGTGTGTATATATGTGTATATATATATATGAATAATAAGATTTATGTTGACCCCAAGTTTCTCTTATTAGCTTAGTATTCTAAGTTAGAGACATGAAACACTTACCTGGATAGTCACACTGGGTAAATAACATTTTTCTTTTGTTCTTTGTACAACAAATGAATTAGTAACATGATCAATAAATTGGTATGACACATTTCCTGATGAGCTATTCCATATTATGTCTCCCAGAATAAGGATTTTGGCTTTCAGAAGACTTATTAAATGTATTAACTTTGTTCATCAGTTGACATATTTGCTACTAAACCATATTTTTCAATTTTTGATCAGAATTTTTGTTTTGATTTCCTTCTTTTAAATAAGTGGATAGGAAGGAAGTGAACAGAAAAGCTTATAAGCTTCCTCATAAACTACATTATGACATTTATTATGAAATAATGTCAATAGTCACTAGAATGTCACATGACATTGTCAAGCATTTTATTTTGAAGTTGTTCTTATCATGGTGTTAGAACCACAGTATCTTAGAATATGCATTTTATTCTTTCATTTTTCCCCCATGATCACCATGTCTTTTTCATTTGGATTGTTGTAAAATTACTCCTAAATACTTAAGGCTTCAACTCTTTTAGACTACTCATTTCCAAATTAATAGGAAAATACTGGCTAGGTAATTCTGTCTGTTGAAAATTGTCAAACAAGTTTATATTACCAAGTACAAAGAAGAAATCTCAAAGTTAAAAAAAAAGTTTACCATCCATTTTTAGTATATTGTTAGGTGTTTCAGTGACTCTGTAAGTTGGTTGTTAAAGACAAAAATACATATGAAGGCAAGAATAGTGTCATGCTCATTTTAAAATCTTATTTGCTCATAATAAGTACATTAACTTGTGTTCATTTTTTTGAATGAATCAGGCCCAGACATGTATTTATTTAAAAAATCCATTCTGAGGAATGAGAATGGGATACAATTATTTACTTTGGCAAGTAAAGCAAAGCATTAACTACAGTGTATGTAAAAGTTCTGTCACCTGTGCCCCTGCCTTTTTCTTTTCCTTAGAATTTCTAAGTTTGTAATGTAACAAAAAGGATATATATCAACATAGATTTATCTTTTGCTACTTTCCCAAAGAAAAAAGGGCAGTTTACACAATGATCTACAGCTGCAGAATTAACTATAGTTTGTCACTTGGGGGAGCTATTTGAAATTAATGTTTCACGTTATTTTCTTTTAATTCTAGTAGGTTTTAGAATTTTAGAATTTTTTATTAACTCTTTGTGAATAGGGCACAGTTTTTGCCTTTGATTACCTTTGGAACATGCCGTTCCTTGTGGATGTCTTATAACAACATCAGAGGGCAGAATACAAGTCATTTTCCCATTTATCTCCATAAATATTGTAAGATGACCCTGGTATGTATCTGCTTCGTGAACATTGAAGATCTTTTTCTAGGTCCTCCACAGCCTGTGAACCCCCCTAGACCTTGCAAACATAGTGAGCGGAGAAGAAGATCTCAGCGGTTAGCCACCTTTCCCATGCCTGACGACTCTGTAGAAAAGGGTTCTTCTCCCTCTCCAGCTGCTGATGGGAAAGTATTCTCTGTCAGTTGTCAAAGTCAGCAAGCGTCTTCAGAACCACAGGGTAATGTATACTGATTTCCTATAGAACCAAACATGAAGGAAAATTAAAAATATATATATTACTAGAATATTCTGCTTTTTCTTCTTAAATATGTTGGACTTATTTTATTCTATAAGTATTTATTGAGCACCTTCTTTGTGCCAGGCACTGCTTAACTTATATATCACTGATCCACATACATATGCACTGGTTCAGTTTATCTATGTTAATATTATGTTACGTTTTTCATTTGTGTAGTGCCTGATATTGCACATGTGCCACTTGAGAAGCTGGGACCCTGTCTCCCTCTTGACTTAAGTCGTGGTTCAGAAATTGCAACACCATTAGCCCCAGATTCCTCTTACCATAATGAATGCTCCAGGGCAGAAAAGGAAGATACACAGATACTTTCAAATCCTTCCTCCAAAGCAGTAACTGATGCAAGAGGAGCTTCTACAGCAGGTAAGGAAGCTCTCATTCTCTAAGTAGTTTGGCTCATAGATACTGGGTGTAAACATTTGATGTTTAAGTCCACTTTAATTTATATGTAATCCCGTTTTATAAGAACTTTCTGGTAACATTTGTGGAAGATAGAGTTTCTCCACTGTTGTAAAGTTTTTTTGTGTGATCATTTCCCATAATACTTAGATGTACTTCTGATCTTGTCACTTTATGTCCCCCTACTTCTTTCTTATATGCCTTTTTCTACTAAATAGAAATTATTAGCACTAAAAATAATTACAGAAATTCTTACTTTTGAAGCCAGAATGTACTTAATATGATCAATTCTTAGGTTTAAAGACTTTAATAGAGTTGAATTAAGAAGTACTTAGATTAAATTTAGCCATATACCTGTATCTTAAACACAGCTCCATATTTTAGGGCAGAATCTAATTGAATGTAATTCGTTGTAAAGTTATTTGACGACTATAATATGCAAACTCAGCCATGCTTATTGCATTTTTTGAATGAGTTTCTTAATTTTTGTAGTCTAAAAGCATTTTGCAGTATTTTATTAAGTTGATTTTTTAATACTAACTTTAAAAATTAACTCCTATTTCCCATGTATGGTGGTAGCATTTTATTTAGAAATTTTATGGGATCTTAACTTAATATGAAGACTATATGTAAGTTTTAAAAGGCACATAACTAGCTTCAAGTGCTTTTCTAGTAAATTACTACTTTGGAATTTGCTGAGTGAAGAAGATCTGAATTGAGTCAACTCTGGCAGTCTAATGTATTAGTGATAATTGTGTTTAACATTATCTGAAGCATAATATAGAGCTTGCTCTTTTCTGGTGGTGGTAGATATTGAAATAAGATGATATATGTAACTTAAGAAACGTATACCTATTTTTAGCTTACTACCTTTTACTTCTCATTCCGTTAGAAACTATCTACAATTCCATGTTATCTATAACACACAATAGTGTTTTCTTATCTTGCTTAAATCAAAACAAAACCCCATAATGCCTACATCTGAACACCTGTAGGTTTTGAAACATTTCTTGCAATTTCTCAAATCTAATCTATTGTCTTTGAATAGTTTTTCTAAACCTGTTCTTTCCTTAGGGAAGTTAATTTTACTTTCCACTTTATCCACAAGATTTTTGAATTATCAGTGACTTTTTGAGATTGCTGATGAAGGTCTTACTCAGTTCTTTAACAATCTAGAGTTTGGTATACTGAATATTATAAAATATGTTGAGTTTATAATAGTCTGTATTCCTTTGGGAAATTAATTTTAGATATGTGTATGAACATATTTATATTTTCCTTAAAACCCATTCAAAGAGCAGTAATAGTATTGAAACACATCAACTTAAGTAGCCATATCATAACCAAGAGTATTATGTTAGTCATATCATATATTGTAAAATGCAAAAGTGCACAGAAATCCTTGACCCAAGGATTTTGCTTGTAACTTAGCTTCCACCCCCAGAATTTCTGGCATGTTTGTTGAGATATGATTGACTACCTTGTTGTTGCTCATGTAGTGAAAATGTACTAAGGGAGAGGGAAGGTACAACAGTCTTTTTGTTTTTGAATATTAGCAGTAACTATTTGGGAAATAAAAGTACTAAGGAAATATTGTAGGCTGATGACAGACAGAAAGCCAGCAAGTAGCTTAGATTTACCATATAATGAATTTGTAGATCTGTTTGTGGAAGTGTGAAGCTCCTCTAGGTACAGGAGTGAACTTAATAGTAGAAAAATGGTTTGTGGTTTTAATTGCTTACATTAAGCAAATGCATGGTTTTAAATGTTAGTTACTGAAAGTTGATGTATTAGAGGGATATACACAGTGTTTGAATAAAGGTACAGGACATTTTCATTCATTTCCATGACCCCTTTTAATTTTTTTGAGGAATGTAATGGAATTTAGGTCATTTTCTAATTGGACTTAGTCTGTTTCACTTACATTGAACTTCTCAGTGATTTGCATGCTTTTCTCTCAGTATTTTTGTTTACCCTCTCTACACTGTTTTGCAGTATTTTTGACTTCTGTTTGCTTCTTACATTGTCTTATATCTAGAGTTAAAGCTTTACATATGACTTGTGCATATGTGCACGTGCATTTGCTTGGTTGGTGTTCATCTTAATTTTAAAAGTAAATTTTGTTACTGTTAAATTTTAAAACTTCTGTAGAAAGCATTATTTAACCAGTTTAAAGGAGGGATAGAGCCTCAGAAAAACTTAGTTCTGTTAGTATCTGAGAATGCAGTAAGATGAAGTTTCTTAAAAAATAGCCTTTTGAAATAGCAACTTTTCATGACCTCAGGCCCACACATTATCTGTTTTTTCTTGTCAGAATTCTGTCTTGAGGTAAGGAACACAGTGTGCCAAGACAGAAGATTCACCCTCAAGAAACTTAAAATCTAGAAGGGACATAAAACTAATAACTGAAATATAAACATAAGTAACTATTTTTAATTAAAGATGTAAATCCCTTAAGTGGTATAGAGTACTGTTGGGTACAACGAAAAGAAAAAAAAAATACTGGCCTCAGAAGCCTGTGACAGAGAAAGATGGTTTTTTAGGTCATCTTAGCTGGGTTAGCAGGATGGCCTTTTAGGGTTCCTGAGAGGGACCATCACCCATCTACTCTCTTTTGTTATATTCTTTCAGCAAAAATTTAATAAATCAATTTCCTTAAGACTTGACTTTTTGTCTGTATTATGAGGAGATTGTAGTATGTGATGTCTGTCCATGTTTGTCTCTAAAGGTTTGATTATTATATTTTTAATCATGCCTTTGGTGAATTGTAGGTTTATTCCAAAGAAAAATCATGGTATGGTAGAATTATTAATTTTCAACTTTACAATATTAAAATATTCTTAGAAATGATAACATATCTTTGCATATTCATATGCAAAGTTCAAATCAACATATGAGTGTAATTTTAAGCCTTTTTAGTTAGTTCTATGTCAAAAGAAATACTTTCAGTAACACATCTTCAGTTTCTCATTTTGAGCAAATTAACATAAATATCAAGGAATATTTACCTTGTTCAATTGCAGAATATTTAATGTGGATATGAGTATTGAATTGACTGTACCTTTTTCTCTTTTTTTTTGGAGGTATTTGTGCTTCATGTCAGGGCTTCAGGCTTGCTAGGCAGGTGCTCTGCTGCTTGAGCCACACTCCCAGCCCTTTTGGGTCTGGTTATTTGGTTATTTTGGAGATAGGGCCTCAGTTTTTGCTAAAGCAGGTGTGTACTGCAGTCCTCCTATTTATGCTTCCTGTAGTAGCTGACATGTTAGGCATGTGCCACCATGCCCAGTTTTTTCCATTGATGTGGGGTCTCACAGACTTTTTGTCCTGTTGGCCTGGAACTGTGATCGTCCTAATCTGAGCCTCCCATGTGCCTTGGACCACAATGCTCTGCTATTGGTTGAGATAGGGTCTCACAAACTTCTTCCCCCACCCCACTGGTTGGCTTCAAACTGCAATCCCCTGATGTCATCCTCCCAAATCCCAAATATCTGGTATTACAGGTATGAGTCACTGTACCTTTCTAAGACTATACATTTTTAATATAAGAATGTTCATTTGCAAGGCACTAAGTTTTTGGTGAATTTAGTTTAGCTTTAGATGAAATTCAGTAAGCTTTTCTTCACTGTCATTCGAAGTCACTTCTTGAATTAGTTTTTAAATGAAATTGTAGATATTAGTAAATATTATATACGTTTGTCATCCTAGTTAAGATAGTTTGAATCTTCTTATTGAATACTCTGTAGAGAGTCCATGAATTATATTATTAATTGGTTCATATAATACTTCTAATCACCAAGGAAAAACATAGTTCCTGGGGTCAGTTTGAGTTAGTATGACAAAAAGCATGGCACAAAGCTCTACCTGACCTGTCTGTGGCTGGTTTTAAAATGGCATTCCTTTCTATCCCCACATCTCAATATCAACTGTGCATTTACTATTTAAAAGTCTTTTTGTTTTAAATTGCTTTTCAATTTACTTTCCAGAATTGTTCAAAACAAAACTGCAAAAGGAGACTCTGTAATCTACCTTCACCCCCACAACAAATGTTCGTGGCTTCACTAGAGCTTGGGGTTTCCATGGAGAGTGTCAGGGATTGCTTTTTTCTAGCCAGAAGAACTCTGAGATAATTTAGTATACTTGAAGGAGCTTGAGAATTTACTCTGCACTACTGAGTTTGAAGTTGTGTGAAAGCAAAAGTGATCAGAGGTCTTCTCTTACTTTAATCAGAGTAACTTCATTTGCTTTTTGCTTTTTGTTTTTGTGTTGGACTTCACTTAATAGTTAAAGAAAATGTTTAGGTGATAAAATTTAATTTAAAAATCACTATTGTATAAATATTCTAGTACTTAGGTTTTCTAGTTCTAGCACATGGTAAAATAACAATCTATTGAATTTCCTATAAACCTAAATGTCTTCTTTTGTTGAATTCTAAGTGTATTTTTTTTTCTGTTTGTGTATATTTCTAAAAGTTTTGCTAGTGTTGCCTACCTAAATATTTATTTTAATATCCTTACTTGTGTAAAAATGTTGACCACCTCTTGTCATTCTCCCAATTTTGCTTTTGAAATTTTACCACCTATCAAATCAAAAGATCTGGGCACTAGCTAACTCTGGGGCTCACTCTCTTAGACGCACCCACATTGACTGGTCTTCTATGCCATCCCCTGTGCTTTGCAGCAATGGCCTCATCATAGTATTTGGCTCCCTCATATTCCAGGAAGACACACATTCTTGTCTCAGAAAGTAGCTCAGTTTGGTATTTCCTTTCATTTGGCACCCCTGCCCCACCTCACGGGATCCCAAGCTTCATTGCTCCTCTACTTTTGCCCTGCACATCCAGTGCCCCAGAAAAGGAGAAGCCTAAGGGGTAAAATTGTGTTGAGTCTTGCTTCTGAATGTACCTGTTCTGTCAGGGAAGATTTTGAAAGCACACTTCTCGTTGTTTCACTGTAAATACTGTCACTGGTTTAAGAAATTTGCATAAAACTTGCAGTTTCTATGGTTCAATAATTAGAAAGCAGAAGGAAGTAATGCATGTGTTAATCATCTTGGTAACAAGAAAATTTGTTTCTCTTTGCCCTTACATCTCTTTCATTTTTTCTGTCATGACCAATGTGATTCTTAATATTCCTATTAATTTGAGACTTACTTATTAGAGTCTTAGTGGTACTTTATTTGAGTAGTATTTTTATATTTTTATGTTTTAAATTACATGAAATACTTGAATGAACTGAGGTGCTAGCTTTGTGATACATTTTGTATAGAGTGATTTTAAAACATTATAAAAACCTAGTAAATGACCCTAGCCACATGTAAGATATGACCATTGGAAAATGTTGACTGCGAGTTGAATACCTTGCTCATTTAGTTATACAGTTAATGAGATACATATAAAAATGTATTTTGGACTACTAAACAATAATACCTAATTGTCATTAAATTAGAATCTTTTATAAGTATATGTGCCTTTGTATTTTACATTTATGTAGACTATAAAAAATATTCAGAATATTTATTGTTATCTAACAAGTCATAATGGAATTCAAAGATTTCAAGTTTTTTTGTTTTTTTAGGCAAGAAGAGGTAAATATGAGCCTAATAAATGTTACAGGTTGTTGAAAACGAGTATACTTTTATATTAAATTTAATATTTCAGTTGAGTTGCTAAATAGTATTCATGTTAAAACTGTCATAGAACCAGAAGTGGTATGTGGGCCCATTACTCAAATGGACTTCAACATCTGGATTACCAAAGACTGTGGTGTGGCAGTAGACCTTCATATATGGCCTAGGACCTTATGTTAATTGTTGTTTACGTGAGACTCATATTTATGCTACTTCTAGAAAGGTGTAGTCTCAAATTATTACCCCACCACAAACGAGAAAGTAAAATAACATACTTACCAGAACCAGACCTAAGCATTTTACATGTTTTGACTCATATAATCCTTACAACAACAGAAGTTAATACTCTTTGTTTATACTTGACAGATAAGGAACTGAAGTACAGACATTAAATGACGTACTCAAAACCATACTTCTAGTAAATTGTGGAACCAGAATTCCAGGTAGCCCAGAGGAACAAAAATAATTTTTAATATCTCAGTTTTTTAAAGTAAGAAATCCCCCTAGTTCAGGCAGAACAATAATATCACCTTTTAGGGGGAGAAAAGTCTTGTGTAGAGTTTCATGAGCAATTGTAATTTAAAACATTGTGCCTTATTTTTAACTTTCTAACTAAATTTACGTCTTTCCCCCGACCCACAGGAATATCGAAAACAGAAAAAAAAGTGAAATTGGAAGAAAAAAGCTCAACTTCATTTGGTATGGACAGAAAGTAATCTTTTAAGCAAAAGGCTAGAAAGTTTGACAGAGAGGGAGGACTGTCTGTCTCTTCCTCTCCCTGTTTGTACTCCTTAAGGTGTCTGTGATTATCAGACTTCAGATCAGCTTCAGTGCTTATCAGTGCTAGTGGGCTCCAGATACAACAGCTATTCAGAGCATATTTTGTAGTTATGTAATATTTTCTTGTCAAGACAGCCTCTGGTTTTCTCTGAGAACTTCCTGTGTTTCTGAACATACCTAGTTAAAATTATGGATGGTTATTTATAAACAAGCTTCCATTTAATATTGTTGAGACTTAGAGAATGAGTGATAAATTAGTCTTTTTTTCAAACTTCTTTCTTAAGCATGCCTCATAAAAATGGCTACTGAACTTTATGCTGTGGTTTCTGTCTTTTGTAATGTAATGATTAAAAGTCACAAAATAATGGATGATAGTTGTAAATATTCTTTAGCTTAGCTAACTGGAGCTTGGATCACTGAAAATTGGCTAAATATGGTTGCCAAATTGTGGGCTAAATCATTCTGAGTTGGAACAATAGCTACTACAATATATGTTGTGATTTATCTTAAAGTAAAAGGTTCTAGGATACTCTGTATAATTCATTTATTTTCTTTAAATTACATATGATTGGAGAAGAGAACACTTTACATTTGGGGGAAATTCAATATAATGAAATAACTTTTTTCCCTTCATGTTTTTAGTATTCATCTATGTACACAGAGAAAGTGCTTAAGTACAGCAGAAGTTATTTGTGGATTGACTTAATTGATTTTGTTTTTTTCTGAAGGAAAATGTCCAAGTTATTTTTTAATTTGCTAATAATTTCTTCATTAAATTATATTTGGACATGCTGTTTTCCTCAGTGAGGTCTGTTTTTAAATTATGAAGTTACTTCTTGCCACATATCAGGATATTATTCTATAGCTCATTTAAAGATTTTTAACTACTGTCTGTGTTAACTTTAAGGTGTCAGGAGTTGGGATTTCTCAACACTGCTAATGAAGATCCCCTCTTAGAGTCCAATAAGCTAAGCAGGAGTTCCAGAATCATGACATGAACAGTTTAATTGAATCCATCCACTCTGGGCAGGTGACTGGAATAGCTGATGAAAACATAAATGCTGCTTTTAGGTTAACCACAAAGGAACAACTCAGAATTATTCATGATTAATTGAAGTATTCACTTTTACCATTTAGGTAAGAGGAAAGAAAAGGATAAGGAACGAAAAGAGAAGAAAGAGAAAGATCACTACAAACCAAAGCAGAAGAAGAAGAAGAAAAAGAAAAAGAAATCTAAGCAGCATGGTAAGTATGCTGAGATGGTTATTTCTGTTTCTTAATACTCTCTGGTTGTTTTAGCTCTCCCTTTTCTTTTACTATAATAGAGGTCTGATAAGATCCCCATGTTGTTGAGAACTGAGACATTCTTGTAGCTTTCCTTCATGCTATCATTTCAAAATTATGCAACTCTGTTTTACTCTGATCTAAAAATTAAATGTTACTGTTGTAGAGCTATTTCTAGCATTATGGTGGACTAGATACTCTGACCAAGCGCTCTTCAACATACTAAAGGAATTATTCTCAATCTAGAGTCCCCTTAAATTAGCTTCCCAGAATGAGGGAGAGTTAGAGGTATTTTTAGAAAAACTTGAAAAACCAGCAGTCCATTACTAAACGAGATACTGAAGGATGTACTTGAAAGGGAAGGGCAGTGATGACACAGGGAAGGTGTAAAATACAAGAGTGTAAATGTGTGGTAAGTCTAAAAACGCTGACTGTCTAAAACGATTTATGGGTAAGACAGAACAAAATCATAGAGAACAAAAATATGTAATATTGGCTTATACATTGGGAGGTACATCACTTGCGTTTCATTGTTTTATAGCCTCCTTATATTGTTTTGGGGGACTGAAACAATTTGTTGTTTATAGGCTCCAGTAATTTAAATTTGCAATTTAAAATTTCTCATATAAACACTAATGAACAGGGTACAGTTTCCAAACTGGAAAGGAAAAAAAATGTAGTAAATAAACCATACACATCCAAAGAAGGCAGTAAGAGAAAATTGTAGAAAAAAACAGAAATGTACAAATTATAAAATGAATCCAAGTGTCATTCATAATAGCTATATAGCAATAAGAATGATTATTTCTTATGGTAAAGTACCTAAGAAAATAAACTTAAAGGAGGAAAGATTTATTTTGGCTCACAGTTTCAGAGGTTTCAATCCATGGTCACTTGGCTGAATTGTTTCTCAGCTTGTGGTAAGGCAGAACACCATGACAGCCAGGAAGCAACAAGACAGAGGAAGGGGTCAGGTATAAAATATACTCTTCAGATACATGCTCCCAGTGATCTACTTCCTCTAATAGCCTCAATACTCCATCAAGCCTTGAATCTATGAATAGATTAATCCATTGATGAAGTTGGAGCTCTCATGATCCAATTACCTCCCAAAGCCCCTGCCTCTGAGCACTGTTTTATTAGAGACCAAGCCTTCAACATGTGAGCTCTTAGGACACTTTTCAGATCCAAACTGTAACAATAATAGATTTTAAAATCCATTTCTTTATTATTTGTAAGAGATTCCTGTAAATATAAGAATAGTAGGACAGAGAAATGTGGAAAATAAAAGTGTGGGAAAATATTGCAAGCAAATATGAACCAAAGAAAAATTAGAGTAGATATAATAGTAACAGATAAAATAGTCATAAGACTAGAGATAGAAGGTAACTATAATAAAGGTTTACTTTGTATCTTCTTAGATACAAAATTTCCTGATTTTATTATTGAATAACATCATCATTTCTTTCTTAGTAATTAATAAATAAGCAAAAATAAAAAGAATTCTGTTGAGATAAGAAACAGCTTGTATCACTGCACAGTTAATGCAATAGGACATTGAACTCAGGAGCTACTACTTAAGTTATTTTTCTCTGCCAGGCACAAACAGTTCTTAAAATTGACCATTACATGCTACTTTAGGCAAATCTCAACAAATTTTAAAGGTGGATACAATGCAGACCACTGTTTTCTGACCACAAGAACCACCATCAAAAAATAAATATGTTTAGAAATAAAGCAACACATTTCTAAATAGCTGAGGGATCAAACAACAAACCCAAAGGGAGAGTAAAAAAGATGCTAAGAACTATAAAAGATGATGTCAAAACTTTTGAGCACAGTCGAAATGACACTGTTTCAGGGAGAGTTGGTGGGAAACAGGGTCTCACTACATAGCCCAGGCTGGCTTTGAACTCCTGATTCTTTTGCCTTAGCTTTCCAAATGCATGCTCCACCGTACCCAATTCTTTAAAATTGAACTTAATAAGCAAAATGTATTGTTATACTTGTATTGTGTAAGGATGAAAATCAGCTAATTCTGCAGCTTAAGAAGTTAGAAAAGAACAGGAATAAATTCAGAAATGTAAAAATAAGTAATCAACATAAAAGCAAAAATTAATGATGTAAAAAATTTGAAGAATTTTAAAATGCATAACAGTATAGTTCATGCCTGTCATATTGGCAAAAATTACAAGGTAGATAATATAAGATGTTGCTGAGGAAATAGAGTCAACGATATAGCTTTCCTGGGAAGTAGGTTGAATATCAGCGCATGAAATTGAAGTGGTGTATACCACAGGGCCTAAAAGCCCCTGAGGAAACCCGTGTGGTACACCCAGAGTAAATCCCTGTATGTTTCCAACAGCTCAGGAAGCAGCCCTGCTGTCCAGGACAAGTGCATGTTCATTCAGTGGTGGCCACAGCATAGGGTAAAACATGAATTGCGTTAGAGGAATCTCAGTGATAGAATGTTAAGCTAAACAAAAAATGTTGTCATGCTAAGCAGTATAGTTTAGGGATTCACCTGGAAGTGAGAAGACTGTAAAGAAAAGCAAGGTAGTGGTGAACAAATCTCAGGGTAGTGGGAAGTCTGAGGGGAAGGCCCAACTCAAACTGGAAAGTGCACAGAGGACCCTCTAATACTGCATGACCAGGACCGAGTGTTTTGTGGTATTGGTATTCTTGATGTTGCAGCTATTTTTCAATAAACATTCAGTAAAGCCAGTTTTAAGAAATATAAACCCAAACAAACCGTGGCATCGTGGATAATCATGGTCGGGAAATTCTTCAGATTTCAACTTTCTCCACAGTCCAAAAATATCATCTAGTTTTTCCACAGGATATGACATTTCTACATTCTATAAATGAAAAGCTTCCAGAGTAAATTTGAAGCTACAGAACCTGTGTGGGGTTGACAAACTTGAAACCACTTACCAGGGAATCTAGAACATTCTGGGCACTCTGGTGCCCACTTTGCTTCTCATCCCTTCCCTGCTGTCTCACCCTAGCCCTATCCCCCTCTTGTATAATGCTGAAGAATTCAAACTGGAGGTGACCTCGGGTTAGAAAACAGGGATCTCTGAGAACTAAACAGCCGCCTATGATTGTGTGGCATAGCCTTCAAACTTCAGCTAAAACTTACAGATGACATCCAAGCTGACTGTGTCGCAAGGTTGTGTTTGGCTTGGGTGTTCAGTGAAGACTGTGCGCCATCAAGGTGAGAATGGCAGTGCTTTGTGTTTATTATGCTACCTTGGTGTGCTGAGGATTGTTCTAGTATTTAGTACCAAACCCAGACTCTTACATGCCGAAACTCTTGGGAAAGTGTGGCAAGAAAACAGTGAAGGACTGAGGAAAAACAGAAGAGGCCATACTTGGTAACACATGGTAAGATGGAGAGGGCTTGTGAGAATGTAACCAGGAGCAGCTCAAGGAAAGAACTGGTATTCAGGATGTGCCAAGGAGCATTTGCAAAGAAAACCTGTACCTTAGAATGGTGACTAGCCCCTCATTAAAATGAACCATTTTAAAAATAGCACTTTAAATTACATATCTGTCAGTCTGTCTTCATGAAAAAGAAAAGAACCTTCTACCTTTGTTTAAAATCACACCTGTGTGTGAAAACCACAACTTTGTCATGGAGCACTGGTAAATACAGAAGATGCATGGAAACATCACTGTTTATAAACAGCAGGTGTTGAGTCTGGTGATCACCAGTATCTTTGCAATTAATTATTACATTAGAAAGAAATTTATTTTGGGATGTTTACATTCATCTTGGAAAGTGATACTTTTCCCCAGATGATTAAATTAGAAGAATAGTCTTTAAGCAGGAAATAAGGGGTTTCAAATAGTTTTAAAGTGATCTTAATGTTAAAGAATTCACATTATCACCGAGATTCCAACTATAATGTTTCTTGTCTTCAACTAGCACTGTAAGAGTATTTTAAAATTTCTTCTTTTATTCACCATTCAGTGTTGTTTTATATATCCTGCTTGGTACCAAACGTTGTCTAAGCAGTTGATGTGTATTAATTCATTGAGTCTCCATGTTAACCCTTTATAGTGTAGCATGGCTTCATTTATAGTTAACTATATCAGACAGAGATAAAGAGAGTGGCCTAAGTTGCATAGTTACTAAGTGGTAAAAAACAAATTCAAACCCATATAACCAGACTTTAGAGTCTAAATTTTTAACAGTAACCATCTTGCTATGTTGTTACTTTTACTCCCTGTACCTTAGATTGTCTCAGTCTGTGTATTCTTACTTCAGGGAGATTTTACTCATCTTTGTTGGTATAATGAAAGTTCTTGTCTTCATCTGTTATTTTAAATGAACATATAAAAGTAGTTAATTTAGTTAAGTGATTCTTTATAGTTCTTTATAAGCAGTAGTGGGTTAACATATGTTTTGATTATCAGAATTTTATAGAGATAAAGTTAGCATTGTGTTCAATCTATACAATATAAGAAGGTACCATGTTGGGATTTACACATGCCATCTTTACCAGTTTTTAGCTTTGTTACTTTGAGCAGTTCACTTCATCTTCCTGTGAGGAAACTGAAGACAATAAAATTCAAAAGAACTGGAGCTAGAAATGCAGAGAATCCCAAGCACTGTGCAGTAAAAACAAAGGTTCCCTCAGAGATCTTATAACCAGGCATCTAATTATACAAGACAAGTAACAAGATGCATATGTGCATATGTACATATGTACCAGGAAAGTGTTATGGGTATGGTAAAAATGGTACAGAATGAATCTGTTTAAAATTTAGAAAAGCTAGATGGGTCAAGGAAGGGGATTAACGGAGATTACTTCTCAGCTAAGCCTGGAAACTTGAGTGTGTGGGCTTTTATTCATAGTAATCAAAGGGAGTTGGAATAGAAATGCAGGTAGGCTATAAAATGTCAAGAAATTTTACTTATTTGCTAATATAAAATAGAAGAATTAAATATCAGCCATGTTTAACATGGCACTAAATTACGATTTCTCTCACTATTTTTGCAGTTAGCCTCTACTTTTCCTTTTGCCGAGAGGTCAATTGTAGAAGAATGTCATGGGTAAGAGGACCGCTTTGAAGATTAGCATAAGGTTTAGATCCCAGGCAGAACATTTATAGCTGCATGGGCCCCCTGTAGCAAGCTATTAAATTCTCTATACTTCATTTTCCTCACATATCAAATGACAATGATAGTTTCTGCTGCATCTGTGTAATCATCAGGAGTAAATAGGCTAATCATTGTGAAGTGCTCTGCCTGTGCCTAGATAACTAGTGTGTTGCTCAAACTGCACAGTTGCCCTCAGACCATGAGAGGCAAAATAGCACAGTGCTAGACAAAGATGGCTTCATTGCCTGGCAGTGTTCCTGCTCCCCACCTACTTAGATGATGAGGCAGAGGAACCTGGGCTTTGATAAGCCTTCCAGTTTTACATACTTTAAATGTTGAAATCCACCAATAGACTGTTGATTAATAGTGAGACTCTTGGAATTGGACATTGAGCAGTCTAAGCTTGAATGTTGACTTTGCCTACATAACTGAGTGTCCTTGCACAAGTTAATTCACCTGTTCTGCCGTGGTCTTTTTATTTGTAAAATTGCACTAGCAATCAAATCTCTTTTATTGGGTGATTGTGAGGATTGAAAGAGTTACTGCATTGAACACATAGTTGTCACAGGCATAGAGAGTCCTCAGTCAGTATTGACTATACTCTACTATTTATGGTCCTTGTATATGTTTCCCATGGCTGCTGTCACAAATTTCTATATAGCAGTGACTTAAAACAAGATATGTTTATTATATCCAAGTACTAGAGGTCAGAAGTTCAAAATGGCTAAAATAAGGATAACAAGGCTGTATGTGTTCTTGGAGGCACCAGAGGGCAGTTTATGTTCCTGTCTTTTCTGTCTTCCAGAGGCTGTCACATTTCTTGCCTCTTGTTCCATCTCATCTTCAAAGCCAGCATTAGCCAGTCAAGTCTTTCTTATATTTCTTAACTCTTGACATTAACTCTTTTGCCTCTCTCATTTTTAAAGACCCTTGGGATTACATTGGTTCTACCCAGATAACCCACTTTCTCTATTTTAAGAGAAGAAAAGAGAATGATGGATAATAAATATTGAAATATATTTCATATGTGTATGAAGATAGTATAATGGAATGCATTGAAAGTTGTTGAATAATAGGAGAGCAGGGCAATAAAGTCACTAATAAGAGGAAGTTAATCTGATTAAAGTATTAGCTATACATACATGAAATGCCAAGGTGAAATACTCTTGAACAATTAATACACACTTTAAAAAAATAGACAGGAAGGTAAAATAGGTCTGTCCAGGGAAGCATGAAGAAGTTGAAGGAGGAAGAGGGTAAAGGAGGGCAAATATGGTTGATGTACTCTGTATAAGTGTATGAATAATGAAACCTGTATAAACTGTTCTAAGAAGGGGGAAAACAGATAAGGGAGAATGATGGAGGGAGTGAATCTAATTAAGATACATTGTAAGGACATATGTGAATGTTTCAGTGAATCCTCCTTGTATAAGTAGTACACACTAATTTAAAAAAAGAATTAGGCTGTAAAAGAATGTGCTGTGTTAATTCAAACAAGTAATTCAGTGTTATCTAATGGTTTTACATGGAATATCTAGAGGCATATTGCCTTGCTTTCTCTATCGAGTGACTTTTAGGGCTGGTGGAGGGGCTCAAGTGGTAGAGTGCCTGCCTAGCAAGCATGAAGCCCTGAGTTAAAAAAAAAGAGTGACTTTTGATCACTGAAATTCTTCCCTGTGGCCATGATTAGCTTTGCTGAAGGATGCATCTGGTTTAATTGTTCTCTTCAGAAAATTGATTTTGAAAGCTTTTCATTAAGCAAACTGAAAGTCAAAATGTTGTAAATATTGATAACCTGAAGACTAAACCTTGTTTATGTAAGGTGAACTACTCATCTCTAACAAGATGTCTCAGGGAGTCATTCTTGTAGCAACTGAAACCTCAGTGAAGTACAGGGGAGAGCTAACAAGGAGAGCTGGATTATTTGATGGGCCTACTTACGTCTTTGACTGGACTGGTTTTTGAAATGTTCGTTGGAGATAAGGTGTTTGGTCTATCTGAATTCTGCTGTCCAGCATCTGCTTAGAGTGAATACAAACAATGTGATTGTTCCTTTTGAGAGTCTAGATTTTGATGATTGTAGCTGAGTATGTCTGGATGACCATCCTCTGCTAATACACTTAGACTCTGAGTTTCAAGTGGACTTAAGCACTGCTCACTGCTAGAGGAAGGAGATACATTAGCTGAATTGAATATGCCTCTTTTTCCCTTGCTGATTTCTGTAATAAACTATAGTTACGAATACAAAAAAAACACAAAACACCTATTTAGATTTGTTCCCTAATTTGCCTTGGTGATATAACTAGAAATGGTTGCAAGCTCCAGGGATTAGGACATAGATGTGTGGGAACTGAATTCTGCCTACCACAACCACCAGCTTCAAATGGACACTTAGTACTAGCAGTGTTATTACTCTTCTGCTGTATGCTTGGTTTTCTGGTTTTCTATCCTTTTCCTGCCTTTCTTCAACTCTTCCTGTTTTTTCCACCTCTTATTCTCTACCTGTCTCAGTGGCAGACTTTGCCTCACATTCACTTTAGAAAATTTTCTCTTCTATCCACATGTACTTCTTACCTGAATGTGTCCATGTTTTCCTTTGCCTCTATTGAAATGAAGGGAATCGTAAAATCCTGACTGTTCTCACCACCCTGCCCCTTTATCTTTAGATTCACATAGGTGATATGTGTATAGGTTCTCCCATCTTAAGAAAACCCTTGACTGGGCACTGGTGGCTCAACTACTCAAGAGACAGAGATCAGGAGGATTGTGGTTCAGAGCCAGTCCAGGCAAATAATTCATGAGACCCTATCTTGAAAAAACCATAACAAAAAAATAGGGCTGGTGGAGTGGCTTGAGGCATAGACCCTGAGTTCGAGGCCCAGTACTGCAAAAAGAAGAAAAGAAAAACCCTGCTCTAAATTCCTATGCCTTCTCTGCTTCCCATTTACTGTCTAGCCCCATTTGAAACCCACATTCATCACCAAGTTCATTAAGTAGAAAACTGGGTATCTATCTTGACACCATCTTGGCTCTCTACCTCCACCTGCATCACTGCATCTTCCTCTGCATCTTCCCCTTAGCTGCCACCATTGTAGTTCAAGGCACCAGCATCTTTTACCTGGATGCTGTGCCCTCTGACCTGGCTCCCTTCTTTTGCATGTACCTTTCTCCATTGCCTGCTCAATTCCATCACTAGAGTGACCAGAGCCTGGTGACTTACTAGCTACTTGGGAGGCTGAGAGCAGGAGCATCACAGTTCTTGGCCAAGTGGGACAAAAATGTTTGTGTGACCACCAAAACACTGGGCTTGGTGGTGTGCACCTGTCATCCCAGTGGTGATAGGAAGTTAAAATAGGAAAAACGAGGTCCAGGTCAGCCTGGGCAAAAAGCAAGACCCAAAATAACTAAAGCAAAAAGGACTGGAGGCATAACTCCAGTGGTGGAGCTCCTGCCTAGCAAACACAAAGCCCTGAGTTCAAACCCTAGTACTGCCAAGAAAAAAAACCCAAATAAAATTTAAAATGTGGAATTGGACTTGTGTGAGATCCTGTTCCCTCTTACAACCTTTGAATGTTTTTATATTACATTAAGATAAAACTTATTTAAAAATAAAAAACCCTTTAATCCGATGTGGCTCCTCTCATACTCCTTTCCCTCACTGCTCTCCAGCCAAAGCTCATGCTTGTCAGCTGCGCCATGTGTTCTTGGGCTTCACAGTCTTCCCACATGCCTAGAATCCCTCCCTCCCCTGGCTTTTCTTCCCCTCACCACACCCTTCCTCCTGTAAACCACACTGGCCTCTTCCTTTGCATTCCTCTGAGTTCCCTATCCCACATGCATTACTCCTGAGTGACCCATCCCAAGCTAAGAGGAACAGAGCTTTGATAAAGTTCCCACAGGACCGGTCCATCACCTTCAGAGGATTTTTGCCTAAAAATTTATTGATCAAATTTTCACCATAACATTGTGCTAGACATCAGGAGAATCTCTTATCCAATTACAAATAAGGCTAATTCCATCTTGTAAATCTTGCTGCAGATATAGTTGTAATTATAATGGAGGAAAAGAAATAATCTATTTCAATTCTGGACTACAGGAGTTTACTGTACCAGTTAGAAGCTGACAATCTTGACTGTGTACTATGTGGATGTGGAGTTACTAACTTCCCAAGTGTTCTTGCCAAACCCTTTTTATCAGATGCTTAATGATCTACATAGTCATGAATGAGAGAGAAAGTGTTAGCATAGTTGTTTTATATATCTTGAAATACGACTTCCTTGTGGCTTTTGTAGCAACTCTTCTTGATTACTTGAGACTTTACTAATATGTCTTTATATATCTTATGTTGCAGACTATTCAGACTATGAAGACAGTTCCCTAGAATTTTTGGAAAGGTGCTCTTCTCCACTAACTCGATCTTCTGGGAGTTCTCTCGCTCCACGAAGCATGTTTACGGAGAAAACTACAACTTATCAGTACCCAAGGGCAATTCTGTCCGTTGATCTTAGTGGTGAAAGTATGTGTGAATGTATAATGGTTAAAACAAGACTCATGATTCCTAAATGTGAGACTGAGAATAAACCTACTTCATTGAGTGACTATTCAAGCAAGACACACAGTTTACAAAGTCGTTATGTGAACTAATAAGAGAATCTCATTAGTAGAAATTTGAGCTACACTCTGATTTATTTAGAATAAAATTGACTTATTGCTGGAAAAAATGACAAGAAAACTAATATCAGTGCCCACTACTTAATGATCTCCTATAAGTGTTTTTACATGTGTTCATAAACTTTACTACCAACTTATAAAGTATAATTGATACCTCATTTTATAGATAAACACTTATAGGGTTAAGCAATTATATGGCTCCATTAGAATCAGAGTTAAACTCAAACAAAAGTTAATCTTAACTCCAAAGAAAATTTATTTTAGTCCTTAAATTTTGGATTCCTTGTCACAGATACATCTATAACCAAAGATCTGGGCCTGTGTTCAAGTCAGTGATTTAAATACAGTTGGGCACCTTTACATAGACAGGTGGCTGTGTCTGGATTAAAAGAGACCTGGAATTGAAATACATCAGGTCTCCTTTGAGTCCAGTTCTACTGGTGGAAGGTATGAAGGGCTCTTACCTTCCTTCCAGTATTGCATGCAATAGGAGCAGAGATCCTCCTGGCTTTTAACACAAGGGGAAATGGTTTGAGAGTAAAACTCCAATACAGTAGGAACCACAGTTAAGGACTAAGGAATAAAGGGAAAGAGTCTTCATCTTTGGTAAAGCCCTGGGATCCTTATAGATAGGCTCATTTAATTCTTTTCCCTTCGGAGTGCCCTAGATAGTAGATCCTACATTGTTTTCTTTTGCACTATTTCTGCCTGCTATCTTCCAGGCCTAACTCCTCCTTGATTCCCTAAAGAAAAGATCATTTTTTCCTTTTACTATAAAATAAGAACACAGCACTTTTGAGATTTTAATTTTTAAGAGTTTGAGATGGGGAAAGAATTATGAAAAAGTCCCTCTCTTCCACATTTGGTCCAGTAATGCTTAGCAGAATCAAGTAGTCATTGTTGTGCAGCATTTAAAATATACCAATCCTGGGTCCTGCCACAGAGTGCAATTAATTGAGATTTCTGGGAGAATACAGCTTCTGGGTGATTCTCTGTGAATCACATAAAAACACCTATATGTGAGCCATCAAGATTGGAGGATGAGAGTTTATATCTGGATTAGCCATGCTGCTAGAATGGGAACACTTGAGAAGATATGGAAAGGGCCATACATCTGTACCCTCAATTCTGCCTTTTCTCTGTCCTCCCCTTTTTATGATCAAGCCCTGAACTAAGAGAAAGAAAGAAGATATTAGTAAGAGACAGACGCTCTCAAAGGTTAACGTGTCATAACCACCTGGAGAGCTCATTAAAACACATTTCCTGAGCCTTACCCTTATAATTTCTAATGTCTAACTAGTTCCCAGGTGATGATAAGGCTGCTGGTCTGGGAGCCACACTTTGAAAATTCTGTCTTGGGAAATAGCAATGATAGTTCAAAAGAAACTGGTGTCCTTGTGACCGTCCATTTAGAACCATTGTCCCCATGGCTGCTCCTATGTAAGAGGACCTTTGATTTGCTATTCTTATATAACTTTCAGCCCAGAGACCCATAAATTCAGCCAAGCACATGTGAAATGCTTGTGAGTTATTCAAATCAGATTTTCTGATCAGTTCGTTATGTTAGCATCATTAAAATCTGATTATTTGGGCCATGCAAATACATCTGAGTTGCACACTAACTAATTTTAGTTACATACTTTTAAATTAAATTCATTATTGTATTATGATTACCATCCATTTACTATCATATATGTGTGTACACACGCAACAGTATTTAAAACTTCTATTCTGCCATATTCTGCCATTTGAAAATGAACGTATACTCAGGAATGTCCAAGAGAAATTACTAATTTTGGATTTAAGCCAGCATGACTATGGATAGATGAAATTTTCATCTTTAGATTCTCAAAATGAGTCATATTGTGAATATTAGAACAATTTTCCACATTTTATTGATTTACTTCTGACTTCTTGAATGTTCTCTACAATTATCTCATCTCTACTGACTTTACTTTCTCCAACATATCTTAAGACCTCAAGGAGAAGAAAACATTTTTCTATAAAACATTAACTTTTATCAAAACTAAAGCATTCAAAAATACTGAGTTGGGGAAAAATAGGATTCGAAGCTGATAAGAAAGCACTCAATCAGATAAATTATTTATTTTGTTTTATTTTTGGTCGTGCTGAGGATTAAACCAGGGCCTCATGTTATGCTAAACATGTGCTCTACTATTGGGTATACTCAGAGTCCCATATTAAAATATTTAAAGTCTAAATAGCGTGATATTTTTTAGTTTGAATCCAGTCAACTTCCATCTGATTTGATTAAGTCTTAAAATTTTTGGCCTATATCAGCTCCTTATCTCTTCCACTCACATATTGTATGGCTACATATATATGTCAGGCTTCCTTCTAAGCAATAGAAGGGAGTATGCAGTATAATTTCAAATTATTGACCTTCTAGAAAGGAGAGAGGTGTGGTAAACAGGAAGAAGCATCTCAGAATGTGACTGAAGGCTGGGAGGGTGAAATAGGAAGGAAATGTCTCTGTTACTCAAGTGCCCAGGCCAGTAGCCTCCATTGTTGGTTTCCCCAACAATTTTCCATCCTAACTTTTGCATTGAAACCTTCTTTGGTGTCAGGTCCTCATTGCCATAAAGATCCCCTTATGTTTATCTTGATTTTTTTCCGCCAGTAACTTGAACTAAATGATGGACTGGCATCAACACTGTTAGAAGTACAAACCTAAAATCTGGCATTTAAATCTAGTTGTCATAGTCATCCATATAATCTACCATCTAATATATGCTTATAAATTTTTATAATATTTTTATCAAAACAAAATTAAAAAAAAATCATTCCTTGGGGACTCCTGGCCAATACCGATAAAATAATAACATGTTTCAGAATCAAGCAGTCAGTTTTCCAGCTTTACCAACACCTGGACTGTATTACTCAACCAAATTAAGTGTCTCCTATTTAAAGTGTTAGTATAGTGGCTACTGTATATGGTACAATGGTAGTTGATGCTACTGGTACTGCTAATAGTATCATTAGTATTAGACCTAGGGTAACTTTATCACCTCTTTGAGATTGTTTATCTCTATAGGACAAATAGTTTACAACCAAAAAAGGGCTAATGTTTTGAACATTTGATCAAAAGAGAAATGTTTGTGAAAGTGTATGGGAGCTACAGATTTTAATTGTTCATACCTGTTTTAGTCATAACCTTCGTAAGCAGGAAGCATAGGGGATACATAGTGTTATTTACAATACTATACACATTAGGATGGAAAACAATCAGAATTACCTAAGCTTCTATGATAGTCTGTTTCTTTGTCAGGACTCTATTCACATTTGTTTTCCATTGAAAATATGAATAGCTTATAGTCTCTTTCCATAGCTCTTTTTTTTCTGATAAATGACATAAAAATAGAATAGTGTGCTAAGAGTACTTTTTCTGGTTCTTCTAGACTTGTCAGATGTGGAATTCCTAGATGATTCTTCAACAGAGAGTTTACTTCTGAGTGGGGATGAATACAATCAGGACTTCGATTCAACCAATTTTGAGGAATCTCAGGATGAAGATGATGCTCTTAATGAGATTGTGCGATGTATTTGTGAAATGGATGAAGAAAATGGCTTCATGATCCAGGTAGTTGGTCGGCTTCTCTTCCATGCTGTCCTGGATTATTTCAGGTGCTCAACAGGAGCATATGAAGGGATGCTCTTCCTTCAGGACAAGGGGAGTGCTCTCTCTTTTTACTAGTCATCTCACTGAAGATACTGGTTTCTCACACATTGCCATGTTCAAGATGGTAGCAACCATGCTTAGGAAATTTCTTCATCAAATGAAGTAGACAGTTTTCTTAATTTAGGGTCACTCTCTTTCCTAGGGTATTTAGATTGAGGCCTTCAAGCTGAAACTCTTTAAGGGCTATTAAGGAGGATCAACTCCCACATTGAAGGGTGGACCACAGTAGCACTTCTAAAGGTCTAGATCCATGGTGCTCAATAATTAATATATAGGGTATAGTTATGTTCTGTGATGACATGACATAAGATTTGGAGACATTGGTTACAGGGATGCAGAAAGTTCAATTTCCCTTTTTCCTTGCCTTTGTCAGTGGTGGTCTCAAATAAGGGAACAGCAAATTTAGAGTTTCAGCAAAGAAGTAGTACTTTAAGAGGTCACTGATACAGGCACTGCTATAAATTTGCTTTAAGAAAACAGTGCACTTTAATAAGGTGTTTTAAAGAGTTTTGATAATGTGGTTCCCTAAAACTCAGTGAAAAATAGATAAAATTCTGGCTTTTTATTACCTAAGTAATTTATCAAAGCATATTTTAATAGGTACAACAAAAGTTCTTGAAGTAGTTGACTGTTTCAAAGGTAAAATTCATCTTAAATCATAACTTTTGTTATATGTACTAGTTGAACTGCAGTGGCAAGAAAGCAAGCCAGCTAATTAAAAGCCAGCTTATCTGTTCTTGTTGGAGTGGTGACCATTGCTGTCAGCACTATTAAGTCTCTTCTGTTCTCTGGCAGTGTGAAGAGTGTCTGTGCTGGCAGCACAGTGTGTGCATGGGGCTGTTAGAGGAGAGCATTCCAGAACAGTACATTTGCTACATCTGCCGGGACCCTCCAGGTGAGGCCCTCTGTTGTGTGCTGATGGCCCAGTGCTCTTCCAGAGCATACCCACCCTATACAGTGCCACTACTTCTTAATCAACTAGATTCCACTTCCATATTAAAATTATAAAATACCTGTATACTGGTATAAGTTTTATTTTACCATTAATTACTTAAGTTTATTTGTATAAATGTACCATCAAAATCAGCCCCTTACTGAAAGGGGTGGGTGTGTTTTTTTCCTGGAGAAAACTTAGCCTTTGTTCACTCCCTACATGCTGATTTTGGCTATTCTTATTTGTGGGGAGTTTCATTGGACTGGCATTCTTGCCCTTGAATTCCTCCTAATAAGGTTTTGAAGAAATTTCTGGTAGTACTACATATCCAACTCACTATAGAACAGATGGAGTCTCAGATCGGTGGCTGCAATCCCTTAATTGTACTGACAGGGCTGCTACAGCACTGAAAGACACATGCTGTGTGCAAAGAAGTTGCACTAGACATGGCTGACCGAGATGAAATAAGCGTATTGGCTCTCAAGCTGTTGTGCCTTCCTCCATACTTGGGGAGTCTGCACATAGATTGTAACTTCAGCCTGGGAGGCAGAAAGCAGTGTTCTCACACAGAAGGCAAATGAGTTGTTCCACTGCAGCTAGAAGCCAGAGACTTCTTCAGACCTATGTGAATGTGGACATTTTTTATTCATTCAGTAAAGCATGTATACATTCATCCAGTGACAATTTGATGCCTTCTATTTGCCAAATACTGTGGTAACATGAGTAATTCAAACTATGCTTTAAGGTGTCTGTTTCATAGTATATAGCTGGGGACACAGACACATGAGCATCTAATTGTAATAGGATCGAATTTGTGTTAACATTGAGGCTATGGGTAATAGAGGATTCTATGAAATCATAGACATGGGGAAAGGAGTCCCTGTTTGCTCAACTAGAGATCTGTTTCATCTAGTTAACAGCAGGTCAGTGAAAAAAAAAAAAACTAGTTTGTATCACAGCCCTTTTAGCCATTTAGGACAGCAGGTCAGTGAAAAAAAGAAAATAACTAGTTTGTATCCCAGCCCTTTTAGCCATTTAGGAGACAGGGACTGAGACATGAAACTGAAAACATCAGGGTTTCCTTTGCAGATGTCATCTGCCTTTGACCACATCCATAATGGAGTTGCTTCTCCTTAGTGGCTTAGTGTACGGAGGGAGCCTTCTCATAGCACTCTGGTTTTGAATGTACTCTTGGTCCCAGAGCTTGCCTTGCTTACTGAAGAACATTAGTAGGGAACCAATGGAAGAGGGGTCTGAGTAAGCAGTATCCTTTTTGCCTTTATTGTGAACTTCATCAACAGGTCAAAGGTGGAGTGCAAAATACCGTTATGATAAGGACTGGTTGAATAATGGAAGAATGTGTGGGTTATCCTTTTTAAAAGAAAATTACTCTCATCTCAACGCAAAAAAGATAGTTTCCACACATCATCTGCTTGCCGATGTGTATGGTGTAACAGAAGTGCTGCATGGGCTACAGCTGAAGATCGGGATACTGAAGTAAGTGGAGAGGGAGGATCACATGTTCATGCGTGTTTGAATAAAAGTCAGAAAAAGGAAAAGAAAAAATTAACAAATGTAAAAACAAAATCAAATGCAGGTGGCTTTTGAAGATCTAGAATAGCAGTTCAGAAGACTGAATAGACATTTAAATGACATCTCCTTTTTAATAATAAGGATAGATAAATAACTTTTGGATGACTAACTCTGCCAGCCTTTTGCCCTAGAATAGATGAGCATGGTTAAAGGTTGATACTGCATGTAATATTTCATCCAGTTTCGTTCCAGTGATTTATGTGCTCACTGTGTACACAAAATTAAGTTTAGTTGCTATATTTCATATCCTCTGGGAATGTAGTAAAGATGACATTGATTCTAGGAAAGGTGAATGTATTCTTTGTCAATGTTAAGATTGATTAGATACTTGAACCTGCTTATTTGCTGTGCACCAATTGTGTTGTAATCCCAGTATTCCCTTTAAGAAAAGGCTTAGGCCCCCTTAGAAAAATAGCAGAATGTCATTCCAGGCCTTATATTTAATCCTTCCTAATACCTGACCAGAATTCACCTTTAAAAGAATAAATATGGGCCAGGAGTGGTACCTCAATACTGTAAGCCTAGCTTCTTGGGAGGCAGAGATCAGGAGGTTCACAGTTTGAGGCTAGCCTGGACCAAAAGCTTGCAAGACCCCATCTCAACCAATAAAAGCTGAGCATGGTGGTACATACCTCTCATCCCAGCTATATAGGAAGCGTAAATAGAAAGGATCATAGTCCAGTCCAGCCCAGGCATAAAGTGAGACCCTATCTGAAAAATGAAGCAGAAAAGGCATAAAGTACATCCCCCTGCCTAGCAAACATGATGCCCTGTGTTCAACCCCCCAGTACTACCAAGAAATAATAAAAAATAAGTAAGTAAAAGAAATGGCCAGGTGCAGTGGCTTCCACCTGTAATCCCAGCTACTTGGGAAGAGTGGGAACATGGCAGGCAAAAGTTAGTAAGACCCCATCTCAACAAAAACTTGGCATGCTGGTGCAATCTCTAATCCCAGATATGTGGGATAGATAGGTAGGAGTTTCACTATCTAAGGCTGGACCTAGAAGAAAAAAATATAAGTCTGTGAGTGAAAAATAATCTAAAGCAAAAAGGGCTAGAGGCATGGCTTAAGTGGTAGAGTGCTTGAGACCTTGAGTTCATACTCCCATACTGCTGAAAAAATTCTAAATAAAAGACTTAAACAGGAAACCCTCATATTTTATATAAAAACAGGCTGACCTACTGGTTCTTCACAAGATTTTCTTCATTTGTACTTACTTGCCATGTCTAGAAATTTGCCCATTCCTGCCTCCTATCTGTCTTCCTTGGTCTTCCTGTTTCTTCCCTTCTAATTCCTGAACCTTCTTTGGTCCTTTGCTCTCACTTCCCACGGGTACTGTCTTAGCCAGGCTGCTTGATTTCACATGAGCACTTGCTGTACTTTTAAATCCCAGTGGCTCCAACCTTGTGCTCTTTCAGTTCACTCTTCATACTCTTGCCAGTGTGATCTTAGTGAGAGGTAACTAGTTAATTAGAGTAGATGGGTAATAAGTATTATCAACCACTGGAGTAGAAGTGAGGGAAATCTGTGTGTACTCATTTTACAAGATTTCCACAGCACATATGTATGAAAAAGACAAATTTATGAGTCCCAATTTTGTAAAAAGAAAAACTGTATGCTCACTTAAAAATCATTTTATGTGTATAGAAAAAGCCTGGAAGATTATATCTCAATTATGATTGCCATGGAGGAGGAGGTTTTCATTTTATATATGTTTATAGATGGAATTTTTTTATCATGAGCAGCTGTTCCTTTTTAATTGAGATAGGTCATAAAATATGCGCACCTGAAAGTTTTTGTATTGTACCATGAAAAAAATGAAATGAAAAATATAGAGATAATGCATAAGTTAATCAATGATATTAATGATCAACACAATTAAATTCATTGTTGCTTTTCTGAATATATTTTTTTTTAAGTTAAGAGAATTTGAATTTTGGATGAATTGCTGGAGTAAGTTAACAAATTCCTTTGCTTTGGTCTAAGATTCTGTCCTCTTCCTAACCTGGTTCTAAGATTTTTTATGGTCTTTAACTTGTTAACCACATTTTTTTTTTCTGAATGCTACTTCTCCAATTTTGTTTTAAGGAATAAACATCATCCTGACCTTCATCTATGGTCTTGTTCTGGGAAGCGAAAAGATCAAGATCAAGTAATAGCTGGAGTGGAGAAAAAAATAACAGTTCGGGACACAGTTAATGTAGAAGAAAAGAAACATGTACAGAACCACAAAGAACCACCTCATTTTCCCCTAAAAATAGAAGGAACTTACATAACAAGTGAGCATAGCTATCAGAAGCCACAAAGTTTTGGTCAGGACTGCAAATCTCACGTGGACCCTGGGAGCTCAGATGATGATGATGTTAGCAGTTTTGAAGAAGAACAGGGATTCCACCTTGGAGACAAGAGCCATTTCCGGTACTCCACAAAAGAGTCTGGAATGCCAGAAAAGGTAAAACTGGTTCATGTGGAACAAAAGAGGAAGAGTTTATAAAATAAAACATACTGAAAACTCAGGTTTTACTTATATTTTTAAGTTTACAAGTACCTAGTTAAAACAACTGCTTTCTTTTCTCTACAGGAAAATGCTATCCATTTAAACATTTAATTATCCCTTAGTTCAAAATTGTTGTAATTCAATAAATGGTTTCCCTAACAGAAGTTTCAGTTTTATATAAGTACACTTAAATGTCTCCAAAAATTAATGAGCTACTTTATATGTATACATACATATGAAAATATGTATGTGTGAGAACTTGAAAGTCCATATGAGTATAATAATTTGTCTTTTTTATGTGTTTTAGATAAAACATGATACTTTAACTGTCTTTTAAATTTTTTGGCATATTTATAAATGCACATTTATTCCATTATTCAGTAAACTAAATTCTTAAGGCTACATGAACATTGAGTATCTAATTGATTTCCTATTTGTTGGGGTTATCTTTGAGATACTCTATCTTCATTTTGTTATTGACTTCCAGTTAGCAAGCCCACTTTAAAAATTAGTTCTTTATTTTTCTGGCTTATCAAATAATCTCCATAAAGTACATAACTGAATTGGAAAACTTACATTTCATTAAATTTACAGTATGTTATTTTGTGGCACTGGGATTTGAAACAGTTATTTTGTCAAATTACTATCCTTCCTTTGAAATGAGTTATTTTTGGCAAATCCAAGTTCAGTTTGTGTGTGAGTATGTAGTAGTAGTAGTAAAGAGTCTTAGCTTCCCTTGTCTCCTTGATGTTACTGCAACAGAAGAGTCCATTCTGTGGTTAACTAGACTTTATACTGATCTTTCACAGTTTTCTTGATTTTCCTGTCATTGCTTTGCCCTCACTTCACATGTGTCACCAGCTGAATTGATTAACGAAGGAAATAGTTTTAAATTGGCTGTGCATTCAAGTATAGCAGGATAGAATTAGTGACTTGATTTACTTAGCACATTAGTGTGAGTAGCACTATGCTAGGCTTTGTGGAAGGATGTACTAGTAAAGACCGCCACATGTAATTTGCTCTTGTACCTAAAGACAAGATGTCTTTAAAGACATCATGGAAGTCAAATTAGATTGCATCAGTCATTATGGTGATGAGGTTTTTCATGTGTCTTTCCCTTTCTGACATTGTATTTCATCCAGTTCTCTGTGTTTTGTTTTGTTTTTCCCAATGGTCCTTTAAAGAAGAACCCAGTTTCAGGGAATAAGGCATCTTTTTATAATGATAAAAAGAGCACTGAGAACCCAGGAGACTCACATCTTCAGTGGCAGCTCAATCTCCTTACACATATAGAAAATGTGCAGAATGAAGTCACCAGCAGGATGGACCTCATAGAAAAAGAAGTGGACGGTAATTAAATGAAGAACTAAAGTACCAATGTGTGTTTAGGGTTACTGTGAAGAAACTGTTTAAAACTTTTAATTATAGGATGAAAACTAGAGATGCTCTTCATACCTTCACCTCTCTTTTATACTATACTTAGCACATGCAGGGTCTTTTAGGCTCAGAACAATACAGCCAGGTATTTAGACTTTTTTTTAGTGGATTTTTATTAAATGCTGCCCATCATCTGCCAGGTTCAATGTAGAACACTTACAGAATGTGTATTAGTTTCTTTGAACTATGTTTTCTTTGGAAGTCAGCATACAGAGTGTAAGCATGTTTGAAATATGACAAACATTCTGGATATATTTTTTCACTTTGATTAGTATCTGTTAAGTGGAATTATCAAGCCACGCCTATAAGTTATGTAGGTAAACCATAAGTTTTATATGTTATACTTGAGAAACTAGAATAAGTTGAATTACTGGATTTCCCAATTCCATGTATTCCTATGCTTTTCTATGCCTTCATCCTCCAAACCTAATATATTGCATCCTGCCTCCCTGCTTTATGGTTCTCCCTGTGAAAGCATTTGAAACCACCACTGTGCTAAGGCAATTCTCCTACTGCTGCCACCCATGAACACAGGATTGACTTTTAATTTGGCTGTAGAGTTAGTTTAATGTGACTAGATTTTTGAAGAAATGAAAATGCAACTTCATACAATTTCATATTCAGGATAGAATTTCAAAGGAAACAGTAAAAATGTAGAATGTAATTAATTGCATTCTGCATAGAATTTTAGTATACTTACATGCTTTTTTTAAAAATAAAAAAATAAATAAAATAGTGGTGCTGAAAAGGATACTGAGATTGAAATTGCTACCTCCTTTGTTAAAAAGGAAGGTGAAGTAGAGATGATTTAAATCTGAATTAGTAGAAAACTTGACCAGGCAACTGTTGTTTCCTATTCCAGAAGAGTAAAAGTGACTTTCAAAATGAAAGTTGGTTTATTTACATATAGATAAAAGAAAATATGGGGCTGGGGCTATAGCTCAAGGTTAGAGCACATTCTTTTGATCCCCAGCACTGAAAAAAAAAAGTATAAAATAACAGATAAAGGTTATCCAGAGGGCTTTTAACTCTGTGGGAGGGGAAATAAATAATATTAAGCCATTCACAAATGGCTTGAGTGTGTTGTCCTCTGAAAACAGAGAAGTGAACTCTTTCCTGGATCATTGTTCCAACCTTCTAATTACACCCTTTCCTGACAGTTGTTCCAGATGCCTTTAAATTTGTTTATTCTCTTCTCTCTTTTAGTTTTGGAAAGCTGGCTTGATTTTACAGGGGAGTTGGAGCCACCAGATCCCCTTGCAAGACTGCCCCAACTTAAACGTCACATAAAACAGCTCTTAATTGACATGGGCAAAGTACAACAAATAGCAACTCTTTGCTCTGTATGACAACAGTGAACACCTAATCACAAAAGTGTGTCTGTCTTCAGTGGAATCATTTTTATTATCCACATGGTTGCTAAGTGTATCGTTAAGAAGCTTAGTAATGCTTGGTCATTTACTGATTTGTGATATCAATTGGATGGCACCTTGGAAGAAAAATGAAGAACAACTTTATCACAGAAGCTAATATTAAAAATGTCTGAGCAAGCAGCAAATGAAGTTTTCTGTGCCAAGGATCAATGGAGTAGGATATAATCTATACTAAGGGAATCAAATTGGCAGGATTTTTGATTAGTTGTTTATATGAAGCTCAAGATACTTTTAGAAAGAAATTTGGTGTGTTTTATATAGCTTTTAGTAGAAAGATCCATGTTTATTACCCAGCATTTGGCCAAAAAATGAAAACTGTTATGGAAATTTAAATTCTGGAGAGTTCTACAAGGTTGCTGTAGGAATTGCCTTCTCAGCAGTTGGATCCAGCTGCACGGAAATTTAGGTTATTTAAACTTCCATAGGATCATGAGCTGTTTCTTGGGTGATGAATGTATTTAATCAGAAAACTGACAGTAGAAGTCTCACTTTTGAAAAAAACAGTTGTGGAATTCTGACTTCATTATGAATGTATTTAAAAAAACAAACACCAAATAATTGGAATTTATTGCAGGCATTAAGCTCATTAAAAAAAAACAAACTGGCTTGCAGAAAGGTCCAGTGTGCCAAATGCTGATGATACTGCTTGGACAGAGGATTTAAATACTGTGGGAGTTTTCCCACCTGAAGTCCTACATAGTGCCATCAGTCCATCCAAAACCTACATGTCACATATACTATATGTATCATATATATAGTTGAATGGCAGTATTCAGGCTTCAACATACAGTTTGATCCTGGATAAGCTTGGTGTTTGCCTTCAGAAAAAAGTTATAAATATCCTCAGCTGGGATGAGGAGTGAAAAAATATCAAAATAATTTGTGGCTGTGGATTTTTTTAATTGCTAGTAGTGGAATACTGGAAAAGCTTCATTTCTGAAGATGAATTTTATTTTTTAAAAATACATGCACACTCAAAACTCTTAGCTTTGATCGCAAATGGACAGATGTCTGAAACCAAAGGCAACTAAGTTGCTGTCTTAGCTCTTGCTGGATTTTGAGCCTAGGTCCTACTGTCTGCCAGTCCTCATGTGAGTTGTATACTCCCCCAGTGCTACATACGCAGGTATGCGTAAGTGTGTATGCTTGTTTTAAACACTCAACGTACATATGTACATAATCAACATATTTATATCACACATATCTAGTTTTATTACTATAGACTCTACAAATTGGTGGTTAACATGAAATGTTACCTTTTAACAGACTGTTTTTAAAAATTAAAAATGTATGTACAGGTTTTGAAAATTTTTAAAGGGGGAAAAGACTGTTAAGAGGAGGCTATTTGATGACATATAACACTTGAATATTTTATGCCTCATTCTGTTTATCAGTTCTAGCGATCTGTATAAATGCATTTTAGAACTGATAGACAGTGAACTTGAATTTATCTTTGATAAGAATACATGCCACTGTACATTCAGATATTATTTAAATTTGCAAACACACTGTTCTATATGTAAGGTACTGTATGTAAAACTCTTTATTAAAACTATTCCACCTGTCCTAAAATTTCAGCTTGCCTTTTTGCGGCCTTATTTTTGACTTAAAGATTAAAAGAATGTGCAAAATGATCAAATTTTTATTTTTTGAGATTTTCCAACTTGACAAATGTGCCAAAGATCAACAAACATAAGTCCTGTGTATTTACTTGTAATACATAAACTTTGCCTAAGATCTTACTGGTAAATGAAAAGCTTTAGCAGAGGTCATATTGTGGGGTAGTTGCTTAAATTTGCTTATTAAAGTAAAAAATAGTGCCTATATTCCATGTGTGGAGTAAATTTGCTAGTGTCTGTGTTTCAAGATTGATACAATGTCTTTGATTTATGCTGAAAAATAATGTCTAATATTTGCCCTGTCATAGAAATTGAATTTGTATCTTTTTGGGTTTTTGGTTTGTTTTTTTTTTTTCTTACAATTTGAACATATGGAATCCCTAACCTGTAAGTAGTGGTGTTGTCTATACACAGAAGACCTCTGTGCCCCATAATATTCGTCATCTCAGTCCTGTTGAACATGGTTAAAGCAATGCATATTTATTCTTGTAGTACAAACTGAGCATCCGTAACTCAAAAGTCTGAAGTACTCCAAAATCCAAAGCATTTTGAGTGTTGACAGGATGCCAAAAGTAGAAACTTCCAAATCTGACCTCATGTGATGAAGTCAGTCAAAATGTAGGCTCATTAAAAACACTGTATGAAGTTACCTTCAAACTATGTATTTAAGGTATATATATATGAAACATAAGTGAATTTCATGTGTAGACTGAATCTGAATGTGTAGACTGTGTCATTGTAAAATGCAAAGATTAACCACCACCACCCCCAAAGAAAAACCAAATCCAAAACATTGCTGGTTCCAAGCATTCCCAATAAGGGATACTAAATCTGTAGCTTAAAAATAGATCACTTTGTTAGCAGCAAGCACATTGCACATACCTTTAATAATTAGATTGTTAAAGGTTTTGCTCTACTTACATGTATATGAATTGGAAATCTGTTTTTTTTAATTTAGAACTTTAAAGTACGTATGAGGTTATTTTTATGCACATACCCATTTAATATGGTGTATCAACAATTGGTTGAAGCCTTTTAGCAAGTAGAGGGATGAGCCTTTCCTTTGAGAGAGTGAGTTAATTTTTGAGAAGCAAATCAAGTGTGAAGTGTCAGATGAGAAGATTATTTTTTCCCTTTAAGTCTTTTTAGAAGAATCATTGTACTTAGATTACAAGCAATAAACTGAAGAGGGGGTTTCTTTAAAAGTCGGTGTTTTATTTGCCATTCCTACAGAATAGAATGAGCCTAGATGGGGAAGGATCCCTCCTAGTATGTTTCTGATGAATATAATTTGTACTTCCTCATACTTACGTGTGGTCCTGAAAGATTGTACTTTTTCCTTAAATGAACTTGGTTATTCTTATCATTTCAAGTAAAACCCTCTTCCTAACTCTCATCTTACTTTCACTGACTTCCTCTCATACTTCACATGTTCAAGATGAAACACACTATTTCCCTTCAACAAACTGAATCTGCTGCCAAATATCAACATCCAAGTCCAGACATGACATATGTTCATTCTTTACATCCATTTTGTCACCAGTCGTGGTGACTCCACAAAATGAGTGATGCTATCTGTCTCCTCAATCCTGCTGGCAGCCTACTTTTTCATAAAATAATTCTATGGAGATATGAACATTATTGCTGACCTCTGGTATTCTTATGTTGTCTTCATTCTAAGTCTTCAGAATTATCCCTGGCCAATTCTCAAGTCCATGTAAACAAAGCCTCACTGTTAGGACAATGGTTATTACAATGTCTTGCCTTTATATTATTTCCCTGTTTTGGTAGATTGTCCCTTGTTTGTGTCTATAAACCCAGACAACCTGGTTTTCATTTTCTCTTCCTATGAGAAGCAATCCATTGTTGAAGGTTTCTTTTTTTAATGTTTTATTAGTATTTATTACTTGTGCAGGGAGGTTCATTGTGACATTTCCAAATATCGTTCCCCGGTTTGGTTCATCCCCTCCACTATTCTCCCTTTTTCCCCTCCCTCTTCTTAAAATGACTTCACCGGGTTTCAGTGTTTCATATTCATATACGTATTGAAGGTACATCAGCCATATTTACTCTCCTTTACCCTCGCCTCCCACTAGTACCCTCCCTTCATCATGACCTTGTTTTACATTCCTGTCCTTTATCATTTCAGTGACTGTTCTTTGTTCATTGGGGTTTTGCCTTGGTATTTTACCTGAAAATATATTGTACTTTAATCAGTCTAACTCCTCTGTTACTCTGCTTTACACTTTCCCCCACCTTGTATTGTTCAACAGTTTTCAATGTGTTTTGTTCCTACACAGATGTGATGTATTTCAGTATTATTCACTATTTGTTCTCTTTTTTCCCTCCTCTACTAGTCTTCTCTAATAGTCCTACTATTGGAAATATATGGGGTTTCTTATTGGGTCCTGCATTGTACTGAGCTATGGGGTAACTACATCAGTGAATAATAGTGTATAGTGTGGAACAGGCGCAAACTTTGCAATCTGTCCTAGATCTTCACTCTAGCCATTGACTAGCACTGTTTCCTCTGAGCTTTGGTTTCCTTGTCTATAAAATAGAAATAATACTTAACTTACAACTTTGAAGAAATAAAGTACCTAGAAGCTCTTATTAAATAAATTTGAAATTCAGTTGACATACTGAATGTCATCTGTGTGCTGACCATCAAGAGGATTGGAGTGAATAGTGTTAGTAAAATAACAGTCTGTAGGCTAATGGAAACTATCCAGTGAGTGTACAAGAAGCCAAGGAGGCTTAGGAAAATGAGATAATTATACTCTAGGTAGAGGAGTTTGGGGAAAATAGATGATGTATATTAATTAAAATAGTCATTGCTTATTTGTAACCTCACTAAAGGAATTTTGAGGAATTGCAATCCATTTCTGTTACCTATTATCTTTGAGTACCCCTTAAAGTAGAGCCAGGCAAGACTTGAGTATACTTAGTTTATTAGGGAGATAATCCAAGGAAGTCAGTGAGGGGGAGGAGAGGAGGACAAGTCCAAAGTAAATGCACACAACTGACCACACAGCTGTTGGCAATGGGTTTTCATTCTTTTACTTGAAGTTCATAAATTTAAACAGTTGCAATGGGTATGATTTTCAATTTGTTAATATAAACCCTAAACTCAGTTACATCATTTTGAAATATATACAATTGAACCTGAGTACAGTTTTGCCATTTACCAGCATCTCCGTGTGTTCCAGGGGTTTGAACTCAGGGCTTCATGCTTGCTAAGCAGGCACTCTACCACTTGAGTCATGCCTCCAGCTCTTCCAGTATCCATTTTTAAAAGTATATGAGCAATCTCTTCCCTAACATTTGGAAGTTTCACAAAGTTTAAATTTTCATTTTTGGCTTTCCATTTTATTTCCCACAGAATATTCCTTTTTTATACTTACGAGTATTTATCATCCTCATACTTTTTCCCACAAGAAAAACATGATGGTGCACTGAAATTTTAAAATGTATTTGTACGCATCTTAATAGAGTATCAAAATAAAGCATACACTGGTATCATTGAATGGAGAAATAGAAAAATTTACAATTTGAAAATTTCAACCCGTTTTTAGCCTTAACTAATGGAACAAGCCAACAAAATCAGTAAGAATATAGACAAACAAAAATAGTCATTGTGCTCCACATAACATACATTTATAGAACATCCCGTCCAATATAAATTTCCAAGTGCACATGAGCATTCAAAAAGATAAGTTACAGCTAGGCGTGGTGGCACATACCATAATCTCAGCACATTGGAGGCTGAGGCAGGAGGATCACAAGTTTGAGGCCAGCCTGGGCTACATTGCAAAACCCTGTCTCAAAAAAGCAAACAACAAAAAGTGATAGCTTATATACTAGCCTTTAAAACAACTTAATAAATGTAAAATAATTCAAACCATGCATAATATGGTCTCTAACCACAACAGAATTGGCTGGAAATGTATATACCAAAAAGATAAGTGGAAAACTTCCCAAATGTTTATAAATCAAACAACATCTCAACTCATGGCCCACAAAAAAATTGTAAAATACTTTTAAGTTGAATGGAAATGAAAACCGCATACTAAATTTTGTGATGTACAGATCAATATTAGAGGGAAATTTATAGCTTTAAGTGCTTATTAAAACGTACAAAATCACTAATCTTTGATTTTATGTTAAGAAACTGTAAGAGCAAATTAAAACCAAACCTGCAGAAAAAGTAAGTAAAGAATGATATGTGCTGAAATCAATGAAATACAAAAGGACAAACTGGGGAAAATACCTATGTAAGCTAAACCTATATAAACAGAATAGTAAGATTGATAAACTGCTAGGTGGTCTTATCTAAATATTAGAATGAAAGATGGACTATTTCCAAGTATCCAGTGAAGGGATATTATAAGCAACTACATTCAATAAATTTGAGGCTCACCTAAAATGGCAAAGTTCCTCAAAGGACAAATGACCAAAAAGAAACTAAAATCAAATTTGCAATTAAAAATCCTCCCTTAAATTTAAGGAAACTCCAGGCTTAAATGTGAATTCTTTCAGACACTTATGGAAGAGGTAATCTCACTTATGTATAAACTTTGGCAGAAAATTCAAAAGAGCATTATTATATTTGAGACAAACTGACCTCATACCCCAAACCAGGAAAATACAAAGAAAGAGGTCAATACATTTTCCTCTGAACATAGACACAAAATATGCAAAAAAAAATTTAGCAAACCTATTTCAGCAATGTAGACTAAGGATATTTTATCAAGCTCAGGTTGGGTATTTCCCAGGAATATGAAGTTGGTTTAATATTAATTAAGGAATATTAATTAAAGAACTAAAGAATATTAGCTGTTCTTTTAGAGTAGATCTGGCAACAGATTCTTACAGCTTTCCTTCATCTGAGAGTGTCTCAATTTCATCTTCATTCTTAAAGAACATTTCACTGAATACAGAATTCTGGACTGGTACTTCCTTTCTTTCAGCACTTGCGAAGTGTCCTGCCACTTCCTACCTGCCATTATTTTTGATAAGTCTGCTGTTCAAATTATTTTCTTCCATGAGATAGATCATTTCTCTCTTGCTACTCTCACAATTTTTTGTCTTTAATTTTCAGAAGTTCAACTTTGATACGTCTTGACACTGGCTTCTGTTGACTTATCCTTTGGGGTTTCCTCAGTTTCTTATATTTATAGAACCTATTTATTTATAAATATTTATATTTATAGAACCTATTTATATTATAGGTTTATGTATTTTGCCAAATTTGAGGTTTCTCGGGAATTATTTCTTCAAACTCTTTTTATCTTCCACCTCTATTTTTTCTCTTTCTTTCTAGCACTCCAATAAACAGTGTTAAATCTTTTGTCACCAAGGCAAAGCTACTGTTTATTTTTATTTTTAAGTCTATCTTTTCCCTGTTATTCAGGTTGGGTCATTTTTTATATTCTGTCTTCAAGTTTATGACTCTTTAGTTCCTTTGCACATTTGTTGAAGTTTTTGTTTTTTATTTTTTAGATACAAAATTTCCATATGGTTATTCTTTATATCTTATCTTCATTGAAACTTTCTAATTTTTCACTTTGTTCATAATTACTCTTGAAGCATTTTTACAATGACTGCTTTAAAATCTTTGTCAAATAATACCTGTGTCATCTGGTGCTTACATCTATTCATTTTTTGTTTTCATGTAACTTGAGGTATTCCTGGTTCTTGGTACAATGAGTGATTTCTTTTTAAATCAAAACCTGCTCAGTTAGGCTTATGTTAAGAAATTCTGGATCTCATTTAATTCTCTTTTGGTAGACTTTTCTAATATCACTACAATAGAAGAAAGTGAGACCACCTCACTACCATTGGAGCAGGGACTGGGAGTGTAGGTTCTTGTTCTAACCTATTAATACCTGGCGGATGGCATGATCCTCATTACTGCTGGGTGGGCATGGGAATTTGGGCTCTCTCTAGGCCTTCAGTGTTGTCAATTGAAGGGTCAATAGTGTCTCCTTAGTGCTCCCATGTGACCTCTGCTGACACTGCTGAGCAGAGATGAAATTCCTAACTCTTCAGTAGTCCTCTTCTGACCCTTTATTATATTGGGAAGAAATGGAAGGTCAAACTCTCTGTGAGGTCTCCATTGATACCACACTCGGGGAATCATTGCAGTGCAGTTGTGTGGGCATCCTGTTTCCTTATCTGTTCTCAGACACCACCCTGTTGGGGGCTTGAGGATCCTTTTACAGCTTGACAAGGGCAGAATTCTAGAGTGCCCACTTGATCTTGTTTAGCTTGGGTAAATATTTGGAGCGACAGTTTTCTTTTGGCTTTTGTTCATTTTTGTTTTGTTTTTCTGCGAATGTTTGCTATCACCAATCGGTTATTATCTAACCTACTACTTTTCTGGAAGTGTGACTTGGGACGCTTTTCTTGGGTTCGTTTGTTTTATTTTTGTCTGTGCTCATTGGCATTTGTAAGTTACCAGCTTCTTCAACACTCAATACCAGTTCTGATGCTGCCGGCCAGTCTGCCTCATTTCCCTCTGCTTTCAGTGTCGTCTTGTTTGTTTATAGATAATGTCCACAGTTTTAGCTATACTTAGTAGGAGGGATAGAGAAAAGTATTTCTACTCCATAATTAACTTCCAGGAATTTTTGCTAGTGTTCTGGTCACCCAGGTAAAGGATGGGGTATGTGGGAGAGGGGTAGAAGCTGTCCCTAAAAAGCACATTGAATTTGCCAACATGGTGGCAGGCTGGACTAGGAATGAAGGGCTGGTATGCAATTCCCTGTGGGGATGACAGGGGTGATGGATGGATTCATAAACAGTGGTGATTGATATTCCATTTTCAGCATCTCCTCTTCTATATTTCAATGATTATGCATCCCACCCCAAATCTTCAGTAAACCTGTATTATATAGAGAGTCCTTGCATTAGGGAAAGAAGAAGACGGAGGAGTTTACACCATTTGTTTGGGGCCAAGCAGAGTGGGAACCAGTGATGAAGAGCCTGCTAGGGTGATGGAAGCCTGAGCCAGACACTGTCATGCAGTTGCCATCAAAGACTGCATGTTCTCTGCCTCAGGGAAAGAAAAACACTACAGGGTCAAGATGCTGAGTCATTCTGACAGGAGAGTTTCCTGTGGAGGAGGCCTTTGGCTTGGTCCTCCAAGTGCTTGCTTGCTCTGCTGCTTGGGTGGAGAGAAGCACCCTCCTTGCTGCACAGGGTAGTTCTTTTGTGACCTTTGAGGAAGCCCTGGCAACTGCCCCACAGAGTGTCTCCACTCCCTTCTCCAGTGGACTCTGGAGACTGTCCACTCTTGTGCTACCATCCCTCTCTCCTCTTTGTCCTGGCCTGCTTTGTGGACGCTGCGCCCAGAGCCTCTAAAAGCACCAAACCCAGTGGAGCACAGCCACCCTGGTGAGGGCCTTCTTGAGTGGATGCCACTTGGTTGTTTCCCAGCAGCCCGGCCAGGGACAGTGACTCAGCAGTCTGCCCACCCAGCCAGTGTAAGGCACACATTTGGGGGTGATGGGAAGCACAGAGGTCAGTGGAAGTGTGGGGCAAACCTTTAACCATATTCAACTTTTTCTAAGATTCATCTGCTTGAGAATTTGAAAAAGAAGAGAAGAGTAGTACCGTCTATGCCAATCCTATTGCTGTATTGAGTAGGGGCATGTGGGTGCCCCATGGCCTGTGATCACCTAGGTCCAGGCAGTAGAGGGTAGGGAACAGAGGGAGCTCTCCCCATCCCTGGGTCTTCTTTTCCAGTAGGTGCCACCATATGTCCCCGAACCATCTTTGCCTGACTTCTAGGTTTTAGCATTGGTTGTTCTTCCTGTTCCCTAGAATGATGGGTCTCCCAGACTACCGCTCTCATGAGCACTGTGGGTGAATCTCTATCCCTGTGGTGGGACCATATTTTTAGATATTTTCCAGGATGGTCTGAAGCTGGTGAAGAAGCCCCAGTCAGGGTCAAGCTATAGCTGTTCTTGTTGACTAATCCAGAGCTGTGGTGACCTGAGAGGAGGGAGAGTGCAGATACAGAAGAATGAGGCTGGATGAGAAGACAGGGATGACTGGTTGTCTGGTGGGATTTGGAGGCTGCTGAGAAGTTTAGGAAGGGGCTCAGATTGGTGACATGTGGGGTGGGTTTGAGATGTGCTGAGCTGTCTAGGGGGAATTCAGACAGAGTGGATCTGAGCTTAGTGGAGAAAGCCAGCTGGAGACCCAGGTAGGGAAAGATGTGTGAGCCCTGGGCATAAGGGTCCCCAGAAAGGAGACAAGGGGTAGGATTCCTTATCCATTTAAGCCCTCCCTCTAACATTGGAAATGACTGATAGTTTTATGTTCTATGGTTTGTATTACGAACATAACAATGTCAGCAGCTTTGTTCCTCAAAACTCCTATGTTGAAGTTCTACCCCCAAAAGCTCAGAAGGTGGTTGTATTTGGAGATAGGGTCTTTAAAGAAGTAACTAAATTAAAATAAGCCCATTAGCATGGACTTATTTTCCAGTATGACTGGTGTCCTTGGGAGAAGAGATTAGGATATAGGCATGTACGGAGCAAAGACCAGGTGAAGAAAGAGATAAGACAGTCACCCACAAGCCATGGGAGAAGTTTTAGGAGATACCAACCCCACTGGCACCTTGATCTCAGACTTCCTAGCCTCCAGAACTGTGAGAAGAGAAACATCTGTAGACTAAGCTGCTCGCTGTGTGCTACCTCTCAATGGCAGTCTGAGCTGACAACCACAGTAGCCAGTACTGGACACTTCCTCCCTGTCCAACACCATCTTAAGCACGTCAAATATCTTCACCTGGTTAACATCCACAACACCTCTATTCCCAGCACAGGTGCTGCTCAGCCCCTAGGTGGCCCTTAGGTTCTTCCCCATGCAGGACATGCTCCACCTCCCAGGCTGTTCCCTTCCTGCACTGGGGACTGTTTCTCTAGATTCTGACCTGCCCCTCCTACCTCCCCTCAGTGACCTTCAGTGTCATCCATTGACCCCTGCTGCTACCCATCAGTAGCCCCTTATCCTGCTGAGCTTTCATTTGACATATTTGTCATTACCTGCAGGATATCCTTTGCTTAAATGAGAAAACAATGACAATAGGAACTACTAGCATACCTAAGGAACACTCAATGGTCCATTTACTCTCCTGCTGCTTCTGAACAACAGGGACACATGGGTACTCTTCTTGCTGCTTTGCTTCTAAGAAAGAGGCTGGGGCTTAGGGTTGAGGTGCATTTTCCCAGATTGTACAGGGGGCAGCAGGAGGAGGGAAGCTGGGGTGCTGAGAGAAACTGTGCTAAGGTTCTGGCTGGTGTGCAGGAGAGGCCACCTCCTGCTCTGCTAGCATAGCACAGTTTGAGGTCCTGGGAATGACAGGAAGGGAATAGGAATAGGAATGTGCATGTGTGTTCCTGTGTACACTTGGCTTCCCTCACGAAAATTCTAGCATTGTACATTAAGGGGGCAGGATTTTGCTTGTTTTCTTCTCTGCCATATCTTCATTGTCTGGAATAATGTCTGCAACTGTTGAGCTCTGTAAAAATATTGGAGGAAGAAAAGAGGAAGGGAGGGAGGAAGGGAAGGAGGAAAGTAAAGTAGGGAGGTTGAAAGGGAAAGAGAGGAGGAAGGAAGGAAGGATAGGAGAAAGGGAGGAAAGAGGGAGAGAGGGGAAAGAGGGAGCCGGCTTTTCCCCCCCTGTAGTGACACCATCTTGTTGCCACACAGCTATAAACCTTGGGCTTTGTCTCTAAAGGACTTCGATAGTACTCCACCCAGTTCTGCTCCCCATGGTCTAGATGGGTTCTTGTGCCTCTCTAGTCACTCAAGTCAAGTGTCCTCAGAGGGGTCAGAGGCAGGTGGAGGGCACACCCGTGACCAGCAGAGAAAACAGGGCAAGCTGCTGCTCCACCAAGTGCCCTTGAATGTGAGAACAGTGCCCGCTGCTGCTCTATAAAAGCTCCCTGGATGGCCAGGGCACCTAGGGTGGACAGTGCTCCTACCCCTTCATCCCAGGAAGGGGCCAGGAAAATGGCACTGGTCCTGTGGGTCTTTAGCCTGCTGGGCTCAGCTTGCTTGGTGTCAGCCAACATCTTTGGTGAGTTCGAGGCTCAGGGCAGGGAGAACAGGGAGGATGCTATCAGACCTGGAGCTTCTGTATCAGCCAGGCTCTGCCCCAGAACCCTTACATATGTCTGTTCTCCTTTAATCCCCAGAAATGCCCAGAGGTGGGTTATTTGCTCTTTCCTTTTCAGATGAAGAGACAGAGGTTCAGAGAATTGGCCCAAATTGTTGGAGGACACAGAGCTGGTGATTACAGTAGAGATGGAAAAATCAGATTTTATTAATTCTAAGTTTCCTTTGCCTCACCCTTAGGTCAAGTTTTTGCCATTGACATTTTTTTAATCCCCTTGGCTATCCCAAAGTCTGTGTCATCCCTGCAGTATTTGGGAAGTAGCCAGGAGACAGTAGAAGTAAATTTCCCTGTGGCATGAAATAGACTTAACCTTTGTCCTTGGCTGAGTCCTCTACCTGATGACTTTGGATATAGACTACCAAGCTGCAGTTTCTACTTTAAAAAGCAGGCACATACACCTCAAGGTGTTGTTCTGATCTTGGAGCGGTCCTGCCTGTTACATGGCTTCTCATTGATGAGTAAGACACCGTGCACCTTGTTAATTACTTTGTATTCCCACTGTGTGCCAGGAAGGTGCCACATCCACAGGGAGTAGACAAGGTCAAGAACAACTTCCTGATAGTGTTCCCACACTATCACAATGGCTTGGGCCATGCTTCCTTCAGGATTTTTGTGGGGGATCCTTCCCTTTTCAGCATTTGACATAGGGCGTTACTTCCACTACCTGAGACTTGATGCCACATAGGTGAATGCAGGCATACCCACACCTCCCAGGGGGAATATAGAGGATTAAAGCAGCTAATGGGAAATGGTGAGTAGCTACCAAGTGGCAGTTTGACTGTGATGGTTAATGACCATGCCCCTAAAGAAGCGTGTGTGGGGATGTAGCTGGGATCCAGCCCTGCACTCTTCTCTCCTGAATTGCTTCCCTTTGCTCAGAATACCAGGTAGATGCCCAGCCGCTTCGTCCCTGTGAACTGCAGAGGGAGAGGGCCTTTCTGAAGCAGGCAGACTACGTGCCCCAGTGCTCCGAGGATGGCAGCTTCCAGTAAGCCTGGCTTCAGTGAGGGGACACCCAGGGCTCTGGCCTTGGAAGAGCATCTCCTATCTCTCTTCCCCAGCTGGGCTCTCCAGCTCCTCAGAGTCTATGAGCAGGGACCCCTTTCTCAGTCTCCTAGGCTAATCAAGCCTTGGCAACCTGACAAAGGGAGAGCCCCAACCCAAACTTTCCTACTTACCAGTGCTAGCCCTTCTCTTCCTGTCAACACTTCACCTACTCTACTGTATTAAAAAGTGTGTGCCTTTTAGTAAATCACAGAAGTGGGGTCCCTGGCTCTCTTGCCCCTGCTATCTGTCCTCTTGAACAGTCTGAGCAGAAAGAAGCAGGGGCTGGCTGAACCTTAAGGTTCAGGGTGCCTCCCACTGACCCAGTCCAGCTCTGGAGCTGCCCCTAGCTGCTGGGCTGATATCCTCTTGGAAGCTTCTTTGTGAAAGGTGCTTTCCTAGCTGCCCTGACAGTGTGAATCCTGGGACTGTCTGTGGGCAGGGTGTGGTGATGACCTAAATTCCTTTTCCCTTTGGGAGAGAGGAGAGTCCTCCTAATGACTGTGTGGCTGAAATCCCCTCAGCCTTGCAGTGAAGCTGAGTTGGGGAACTCAGTCTGTGTGACCTCTGAGAGGTGACCTTGAAACACCTGCCTTCCCTGCTGTGGGCTTCTACACATGGCATGTGCCTACCCTTAGCCAGGCTTCTGGTACTTCCAGGCTGCTGCTCTGGTCCCTGCCAGGACTCCTGAGAATTTGGGGTGGCAAGGGAGGAGTTAAAAAAAACGCCTCCCCTTTTCAAGTGTTATTTTTGTTCAGGTCCACATGTCTTCTGTTCCAGCCACTGCAGTTTCAGGCCTGCCCTAGTCCCAGGAAGCTTTGCATTTGCTTTTCTCTTCCTCCAGCACCTCTTATCTTCTACCCCTGGTCACCTGCTGGCCTCTCACTGGGTTAGAGCCAAAGAATTGTTTCTGGGACCCATCATGTCATTTGATGCGTCTCCTCTTCAGGATTGTCCAGTGCCAAAATGATGGTCATTCCTGTTGGTGTGTGGGTGCCGATGGCAGTGAAGTGCCAGGCAGCAGACAACAGGGGAGGCCAGTGGCTTGTAAGTACCAATGGGGTATTCAACAGAACAGGGCCTGGCTACCTCATATCTGGAAATCAGCATTGGACTTGAGTGGTGACCCTGGCAGATCTCCCTCCTGGCTGCTGTCTCCTCCTCTTGGAATAAGAAGAGTCCCTGCTCATTACGCAAGGTCCTCAGATCAGGCAACTTGTCTGGTGCTGGGCAGACAATGACCAGTTGACATCAAAGTGGCCAGAAGCAGGAAAGCAGCTGTGAAATTCCAATATTGTGGGAGTCCATAGGATTGGGGACTTTGGTGAAAGCTATCCACTTACGGCAAGTAGTCAAACAGCCCCCATTTAACTGATGTCAGTGCTCAAAACCAAGGTCAGTTAAGAAGATCATCTAAAAATGGTGACACTGAGCCTGAGGAAAGCTATCCTTTAATGATCAGATGATAGGGCTCTGGTTTTATATGGCCCGTGTGGCTGGCTTGGGGACCAGTGTGGTTCCTCACACTCTCCAGTCCACTCTCTAGTCATATGGCCTTGGTCATGTCACCTGCCCTCTCTGAGCTACAAACAGCTTCTCACCTGCAACATGAGCTGAGAATCTGCCTCCCATGATAGGAAGATTTAAAGCACATGTACCATGGGGAATGTAGTAGCTGGTTGGTAGGGGCATGGATTATTAATGTCACTCTCCCTCATGGCCCTGGAGGGACATCTGTCTTTCTACTACAGATGGGGAGAGAGAGGCACGGAGGGGCAAAACAGCTGCCCCAGGCCACATAGCCAGCATGTACAGAAATCCAGATTCATCAAGCTTTCACTCTAGGCCTGGTCTCCCTCTGTGGCCCCAAGGCAGTTGGTGTCCACTTGACAAATGTGGCATTAGCAAAGTTCACCCTGATAGCATCCCCAGGATGCTAGAGTCTTCTGACTGCCTGCTGAGTGTCCTCAGACACTACCACCATCTCCCTTTCCACCATGCAGCTGAGGGAGGGAGTAAGGAAGGGAAGGAGTGGGGTAGGTAAGGAGGGATCAGGGCTTAGCCCTGGGCATTCTTCCACAGATCTTCTCTGACACTGCTCTCCCTGCCCTTAGGTCTGTCCTTCTGCCAGCTGCATAAACAACAGATCTTGTTGAGTGGCTACATTAACAGCACAACCACCTCCTACCTGCCTCAGTGCCAGGATTCAGGGGACTACGCACCTGTGCAATGTGACCTGTGGCAGGGGCAGTGCTGGTGTGTGGACACAGAGGGGATGGAGGTGTATGGCACCCGCCAACTGGGAAGACCAACGCGATGTAAGTTTCAGGGGTCTCTGCATCCCTGGGTGGGCTGCAGCTTTGCTTACTATAAACCAGTTTCTTTAGATCTGCCTAACAAGATGGGCAGAGCCTGGCCCTCAGAGGGGAAGGGAAAACTCCTACAGGAAGATTTTATCACTCCCATGTGATAAAATAAGGGTAATGGCCCTTATTCCTTGGATGACACTAGAGGCACAGGCAGGATTGTGATGAACACTTGCTGGTCTCCTGGTGCAGTGCTTAATCACTGCTGGGTCTTTAGCTGTCACATGTGCAGCATAAGTAGATGTAGCTCAACTGTAGAAATGTATGTACATCTGAAGAACCTGACAGTTTTTAATGAATACATTTAGGTCCAAGGAGCTGTGAGATAAGAAACCGTCGTCTTCTCCATGGAGTAGGAGACAAGTCGCCACCCCAGTGTTCTGCAGGTGGAGAGTTTATGCCTGTCCAGTGCAAATTTGTCAACACCACGGACATGATGATTTTTGATCTGATCCATAGCTACAACAGGTAAGTGGAGCCATCCCTTGGCTGTGCTCATCACAGGGTAATAGGCTGCCGAAACTCACGCTCACAGTGGGAACTGGGGGCTTTGTGTGTCACGCACACAGCCTGGTGGAGAGTTAAAATATGCTTTATAATGGTGGGCATGGTGTCCCACACCTGTAATTCCAGCACTTAGGAGGTTGAGGCAAGAGGATCAAGAGTTCGAAGCCAGTCTGGACTATATAGTGAGTTCCAGACAAGTCTGGGTTACATATGGAGACTCTGTCTCAAAAAAATATTATGCCTTAATCTCATATGCTGCAGATGAACAACTGCATGCTACAGCGCTTTTTAACAAAGCAAGCTGGCCCAGCCAGCTCATGTACATGGAAACACCAGGATGAGTAGAAATGTGTCCTAGGCACCTATAGTATTGCTTTCCATCATAGCAGAAATCTGGGAAAAGTGACTGATCATCAAAGGGGTGGATTGCTGAGCAAATGTGGATTGGACATAAGATTTATGCAGTCTTTCAAGAGTGAATGAAAGCTGCAGCAGTTGACTTGGAGAGGGTTCTACAGTAGTTAGGATAGTGTGGTACGAGGTATAAAGCACAAGTAACAAGATTCAATTAAAAAACAAAAACCATTCTTTATACATGCTTATGGAATTATATGATTCTGTCGTGTCTGTGTAGGATGAGGGCAGCCCAGAATTTTTGTGAATGAGTGCATGGTTATCATGGGTTGGGGCTGCTATGGAGAAGGAGGTGTAGGCTGAAGGGCTACATCTCCAAAAGGAGATACATCATCCAAAAAGGAAAAATATGGTCATATTTGTGAGTTTCTGCGAGCTATGTGTGCATGTGCACTTATAAAGGACTTTACATGATTTAAATGACAAATGCAAAAACAAGCATGTATCATAAATCTTGACTCAAGCAACTTCTGCTTACTCAAGACCTCTACTTGATTACTGTAAAGGGCCTGTGTAGACCTCAGGTGTCATAGGACCATTCTGAGGAAAAAGAAACAGCCTGTGGTTAGTGCTAGCCATTCTGTTGAGAACTTGAGCCTAATGTGACTGGCTTCCAAAACAACCAGTTTCTCTCCCTGTGTTGGAGAAGTTCTCAGACCAGGAGACGTCACAGGCTAGCTTCCTGTGTACAGAACAGCCCCAAAGGCAAGCTTTGTTTGAGCTATATAGTATTTTAAAAACTGGGAACTGTCACTGGTAATCAATTATAGAAATGACCCCTGAAAGTAGTCTTTGGGAACTGTCATTAAGTTATACCCTATGAAGTTTCCATTTTTGCAGGTAAAAGATGTTTCATATGTTCAACCTGACACACAAAATTCTGAATTCTTGTTCTTAAAAGCTTGAGACTGTATGCATTTACCCAAAGCCTGGAGAAGCTGGGCTTGAACTATCCTTTGTGGTCTAAGGCACACCCTTCTGTACCCTGGTTCCCTCTGAGCTCCATTGTCACACTCTTGCCAACTCCATTTGTTTGCATTATGTCTGTTTCAGAGCATTTGCTTTTGCAACCTGCATTCTGCCTCTGTCACTGCTTTGCACAGTGATCTGCTCCCTTACCTTCCTAAAGCCTCAGAGTCTCCAGCTGTGAAATGAAACACAATGCCCTGCTCACTGGGTCATGGTGAAAATCTGATGAGACTCCATTTATGAAACCATTGAGAATTTACAAAATTATAAATTATTATTCGTCTGTAGGGAATACTCACGCATCACCCAGTTTCAGAAAATGTAGGTTAGAGTTGTCCCCCGGTGACTAGAGAATGGCTTGCCTGTGAGCACATACAAATTTCCATCAGCCTGATTCGCTGCATGCACATCAATGCAAACCAGAGTGTCCTCAGTTCAAGTTCAGCTGAATGCTCGCTACATCCAGGGAACTTTACATACTTTTGCTTACTTTAATAGAAAAATCATTTGATAATTATAATCTCTAGTATATAAATGAAGAATCTGAAATACAGAGGCTAAGGAACTCACCCTAGGAAACATAATTAGTGGGTTTCAGAATAGTCTTGCTCCTTTTACTATCCATGCACTATTGCAACTCATCTCTGTCCTCCCTCAGGTGCATATCACACAGTCTTGCATGTAGTAGGTCTACAATCCGTGCTTACTGAGTAGGTGGATGTATCCAAGAATTCTGCAGGTGTCATCTTGAGATCGAGGCACAATTCACAGCTATTTCCACAAGAGGGCAGTCTAGTTAAATGCAAAAGTTGATAATCAAGCATCCATTGTTTAACAAAAATAAACAAAAAAAATTCACTCTTGAAATGGGATCCTTTTCTTTTTCGTAAGTGAGCATGTCTCAGAGCAAATTCTAGTTTAGGAAAGTCATGGGAATTGTTGGGTGATTGGTTATTGCAAGCCTAGGGGTAATCAAGGATTTTCTGATACTTGTGTAGACCTGGCAGGTCCCAGGCCCAGTGACACCTCTGGGCAAAAAGCAGGAGTCCTGGAGGCCACATAGAGAGTTCAGCCTTAGCACCTGGGATTGCCAGATAGAGGACAGGACAGCCAGTTATGGCCCAATGGTTCAATTTCAGATAAGCAAAGAGTAATTTTTTTTTTGTATGTTCCCAGTATTGCATCAATCATTGTAAACCTCGGGTAGGACAGAGTATAACCACCATCAGACTTTTGGCTGGATGGGGGAAGAGCAGAATAAGTGCTGGGAAGAGACTTTGAGTTTGGAGGCCGCTGTACTGAAATAGCCCCGAGAGATCATGGTGACTCAGACTAGAGCAGATGACAGACAGGGTAGCTAAGAGATGGGTGGGACTGGAGAAATAGTTGGCAGACATATCGAATCTACAGAATGTAGGGGAAAGAACAGGTTTGGAGGTGAGGGAGGGGAAGAGGTGGGGCTGACTCCTAAGTCTGCTTTTTAGGAGGATGGTTAAGGATGCATTTGGAAATGGAAAGCTTCAAATTTGACTTTAGAATATTTAGTCTGAGTGGATCTCTTGGAGAAGTGGCATAAGGCAGTTTCCTTACTTCCATAGAGCCACAAGAGGCCTGAAATTTGTGGGCAGCTCACTGTGAGTTCTTGATATGTTGGATGATGACTTGAAATTGAACTTGGCCATGGTGTTTGCCTATTTGAAGTAGGCCTTTTTGACTCTTGAAGAAGGCCACTGCTTACTACACTTATTTGTCTGATGACTTTTTAAAACTATGTCATGATAGGGAGTAAGCTTCACTAGTACTTTGACTCAACCTCCCATCCCATCTTTGCTACAGTCCTAGTCTAACCACTAACTGTGGAAGCTTGTTCTTCTGCTAGGCAGATTGTAGGAAAAGGTCTGCAGAGCCTTTAAGCAGGGCTACCATTATAGAGGCTTTGGTAAGCTGAGTTAAAACTCAGCTAATGGGCTTCCTTATCAATTTTTGTCTTTAGTGACTAAGTTTACCCAAGCTTCTTAGCAACAAGTCTCACCCAAATGCCTTAGCAATTTCTGCTGTCCTGACTGTCAGGGGCACCTAAGTATGTGGTGAAGTATCATCATAATTGGAACAGAAAAGAGACTGTGGGGAAATGTTCGCAGATGGACCATCTGACCACCCTCAGAGGAGATACCTCTGGAGGTGTGATGCCTCCGGTAACGTGCTAGGCTGTAGTCCCTCCCTTAAGGGACACACGCTCCAGTGCAACAGAGAATCAAACACATACTTCATTTATGAATTGATGGTTAGTTTTCTGGAGGGACAGAAATCTGTCACTGTAAGAGGAATTAGAGAATCCCACTGAGTAGGGAATGTCACCTCCTGAGCCCAGAGGCGTGAGTCCCACTCTACAAATGGCAGGATGAGATGCCTAGGTGTGTATGTGTATGGAAACCAGTATTTTAGACTCCACCAAGCGTTATTTGTGATTTCTTTAAGTCTGGGTTGGCCACAATCCAAGCATAATTCAAACTCAAAGATACCATCACTTGCCCCTTCAGAATTTTCTTCCTTGAGGTCTCTTTTGTGATCACCCTGAGATACCACTCTTCACTTTCTATTCAATAAGAGGTAAGCAGCCTTTTCCACTAGATAGATACATATCATTTTTATGTTTAAATATTGTGTTCTTATTTTTCTTCTTACTTCTGATATGCCCAGAAGAGGGGATAAAGGTAGAAACTCAAGGAAATCATCAAGAAGGCAAAATAAGGGTAAAAAATAAGTCAAGGCAAGTATTGGTTTGCATCGATCTATCTGTAAAGGTATATTAAGTGTTCAGGGTTTCATATTCATCTCTGAACTCCCCATAGCCAGAGAAGATGTAAAAAAGCCCAAGTTATTCAGTCTCCATCAGATAGCACTAAGGCAATTTCTCACGGAACAATTTTTTCTTCTATCAAGGAGGGAGGGAACTTTGGTGATCAGGTTCTCCTAAAGAGGTCGATGTTGTGTGCCCTCTGGGTGACATGAGCTGATAATGAGACCATCAATTTCTTAAGCTGGTGCCCATAAGAAGCAGTGCACACAGGGTTTCCACACATGGATCTCAGTGGCGGTGATGCTGGGGACCCATCATTCTCTTCCATACCTGTTTCTCCTCTCTAAGCACCCATGTCTCCATCTTTCCTCTTGCCCACACTTGGGCAGGTTGGAAGTTGGAAGCATGTTAATGATGGCTTTAGACGTGTTTTCTATTCCTCCTTCTTCCTGGTCAAATTGCTATTTGTGGATTCAGAATCCCAGTCAAATTCCCCTCCTTTGGGGAAACCCAACTGTCCCAAGAATAAGGGTAGAGCAATGGCTGTCCTGCACCAGTTTCAAAGGTCTGACTTTCCATGATTGTATAAGAAGATATACTAAAGATGAAATTGAAAGCATAGACAAATTCCTCCTGCCCTGATACAGTAAATTGCCAATGAGAATAGCAGACGCAAGAACTCAGCAATCTTAACAGTGCAAATCATTATGCTGAATGGGATGTACAATATTTGTAGGTAGTGATATCATGTCATAAATTATCCACAAAGATCTGATCATGGGAATTCAGGAACTCAGGATCATTTAGAGCTTGAACTCAATTCTGGTGAAGGGAGGGCCCTAAAGGACTAAGCTCTATTAAGTGTGGAATCTTACTATTTGGCCACCATCTGTGTTGAAGTAGCATTGGAAGTGAACTCAGGATGCCTGGTCCCTGATCTCGGCTGAGTGAGCTGAGACTCACTGCTCTGCTTTTTCATTTGTGAAATGGAGATTTTTCTAAAGGATTAATGCAATATGATGAGATAAAATATGGATAATTCCTGGCATAGTGTCTGGTTGTTCAATATATGTCACCTGCTAATATATTTGAATTGCAATTAATAGTGATAATTGCATGTGGCTACTCCAGAGCAGGAATTCTGATATGCTGGCTCCAACAGACCTGATCCTGCAGAGAGCGGCTGCTTCTGCTAGCTTATGGTTTAGGGATAGATTTCCCGACATCGATAGAAACATGTGCTCTGGCCTCATGCACTAGTTCTATAGGAAATGAAAGAAATCTCTTGATGCTGTGTAAAGATGAAAAATTTCTCTCTGCTGGCTAAACTATTGCACATGGGAAGACCTCTCAATGGAGATTTCCACACCTCAGCCTCTTATTTCATCTAGGATGGGGACCTAGCCAATGAGCTCCTTGTAGCAATTACCAGATTGGACATGATTAAAGAAGACCTTTCCTTACAGAAATAGTGGTGCCCTTGTTAGTCATGTCATATTGCTTGTGTGTTTTTTCAATGATGGAACTAGAACATTCATTTCCTTCTTATGGTAGAATTTGACTTCTTCACTTGAAAGATTGTAAAGACCCCTGTAGTTGTTTGATCTTTCATAATGAGATCATCTATCTCCAGTGTACCACATTGGCCTTTGGTCTCTAGAGTTATACTCTAGCAAAGAAACCAGCTAATGAAGCATTCATTACCCGTTTTCTGCCTGGCCCTGGGAGAAGCATGCGCGGCCATAAATTAGCCAAGTGCCACAAATGAGGGAAAGGGTTAATGGGAGGATGACAGTTAAACAGAGCTTTATTTCATGAGGCCAAGCCTCTCTCTGCACTGACTGCAAGCCCATGGGTGTTTGGCATGGAGCCCAAAGCAGACACTCTTTTCCTAGCTGAGGACTTGACCTCACTGACTTTGTTGGGAAGAGGAAGTGATGACTTGTCTTTCATGAAATGGTAACCATACATCTCATTCCTTCTCAGGTTTCCAGATGCCTTTGTGACCTTCAGTTCCTTCCGGAGAAAGTTCCCTGAGGTGTCTGGGTACTGTTACTGTGCTGACAGCCAAGGGCGAGAGCTGGCCGAAACAGGTGAGCTGGCACTCCTTGGGCAATCTGAAGGAAGAGAATGTGCTTCCCTGGCTCCAGAGTGTAAGGCAAAAATAGCAATTTCTGGAGGCCACCCACCCCCCTACCAGCCTGCTGTGGGTATGGAAGAAGATGGTGGCCTTAGTGAGATTTCATCTACAGTGCTCTGAATGCTACTGCTGCCAGCCCAGATAGTGCCTTTGTGCATGCTGAAGAGGTGCCCACCTCCAGGCAGATGCAGCTCTGAGCTTGACAAGTGGATTTAAACCTTTCAGTGCTCCTTTGTGCTGTGGACAACCTGCACAACTAGACACAGCTACTCTGACTTTGGGAATGATTGAAAAATCGTTCAGATACAATGCATAATGCTGATGGTAGAGGTTCTGGCCCTCCTGATGTCTGTCAGCATAGCAAGGTCAGGGCTTGCTTTCTGAATGAGCCCACCCCTGAAATACTGGCTGCCTCTACTCAGGTTTGGAGCTATTACTGGATGAAATTTATGACACCATTTTTGCCAGCCTGGACCTGGCCTCCACCTTCACTGAAAGCACCCTGTACCGGATATTGCAGAGACGATTCCTAGCTGTGCAATTAGTCATCTCTGGAAGATTCCGATGTAAGTAGTCAGCTCCAACAGATGTGTGTTCCTGCTGGGGGAGCCACTTGGGCTTAAGGTCACTGCCGTCTGTGGCTGTTCCACCAACGAAAGTGCCGGGATTGAAAGCGCTGTGACTGCAACAGCAGTGCACGCTGCAAACACAGCATTGATGACACTGTCTCCTTTGTTACCATATCTCTTCCAGGCCCCACAAAATGTGAAGTGGAGCAGTTTGCAGCCACCAGCTTCCAGCACCCCTATATCCCAAGATGCCGCAGAGATGGGGAGTACCAGACGGTGCAGTGCCAGACAGATGGGCCATGCTGGTGTGTGGATGCTCAAGGAATGGAAGTCCCTGGCACTCGGCAGCAAGGGCAGACACCATCTTGTGGTGCGTTTCCTCTCCATAGCCATTCTTCCAGTCTCCTCAGATAGTGTGACTGTCACTGTTTGTCCACACCAACCTCTCCAGAGCACATTAATGAGTATCCCCTGTGGGCCCTTCTCCTCAATGTGACTGAAGAGCAATTTGTTGTTATTAGCTTCAGCGTGCTTCTCATCTTTGCCAGACACAGCTGTACAGGGAGTCCTGAGGGGATCACAGAGGGCCAAGGGAGAAGAGTGTACAGGTCACTGGAAGAGCACAAAGTGGGGGTTGGCAGTTCTGTCTGGCAGTGTGTGAGGAGAAGCCACCTGAGAAGACTTCGCAGAAGAGGGGACATTTACTCAGAGTGTCTTAAATGAAGGCTATTCCTAAAGGAGGAAAGGAAGGAGAAGTCAATGACGAGGCATGAAGATAAGGCACTGCCATGCGTTGGACACTGATTCTGCAAGGAGAGTAGAGAAGACATTGTGGGAGCACAATCGGATGTGCTCTGCACTTGACCATGGAGAAAGGGGTAGGGGTGCGATGGTGACGCCTTTCTTATCATAACCAGGGCTCAGGGGCTTTATGCTGGAGGGCAGGTGAAGATGGCGTGAAGTTCCAGCTGGAGTTGCCATCATGGGCTTGCATGGTTGAAAACTCACCCCATAATCTTAGAGGAGGGATTAAAAGGAGCATTGAACCTGAGGTAATGGGGTCAATTAAAAGGTCCCTGCAATGTCCTGAGGAGAGATGGTAGAGAACTCATTGGTTCCTAGGGCTGTTATAATAGCTCTTCACAAACTGCATAGCTTCTTAGAACAACCAGAATTCACTGTCTTATAGTTCTGGAGGCTAGAAGTTCAAACTTGAGGTGTGAGCAGGACCACACTCCCTCTCAAGTCTCTAGGAGAGGGTCCTTTCTGGACTTTTCTGGGCTTGTGGTGGTTACTGGCAATCCTTTGCATCCTTTGGCTTGTGGCAGCATAACTCCAATCTTGGCCTCCATTATCATATGACTATCTTCTCTCTGTGTCTGTCTCTCTTCTCACAGGAACGTCCATTGTGTTAGACTACAGGCTCTCTAATCCTCTGTGACCTCATCTTAACCAGTAACATCTACAATGTCCTGTTTGCCAAATCATATCACATTCTTTGGTCCTAGGAAGGACATAATTTTTGGAAGGACACTACTCAAACCTGTTTAGGGACCAATATTAAAGCAAATGAGGAAAGAGAATGAACCAAAAACTACCATGATGGGCATTTTCAGTAAGATCCCCCGATTCCATCTTTCCAGTGAGATTGTGAAGGGTGTTACTGAGGGGAGAGAGAAAGCTAGGAATACACAGGCTTCCCACCTAGGGGAGCGAGGTGCTTCAGAAAGATTTGAAACAGTAAAAGAGGAACACATGTCTGTCTGTATAGTTTCAGATTAGTTCTGTATTAACATTCATTTAATAATTTCTATTAAGTCAATTTAACACTTCCAACATTCTGCAGGGTGTTTGGTAGTATTCTATCTGCTGAGTGCGAGAAAGTCAAAAAAGAAAAATTTGAGGCCCTTCCTTGAAAGTATTTACAAATATATTTCAGTTCTGTTAAAACCTAGGGAATGCTGTGCTTTCTAACTCTCATGTGAAAATGAAAAACTATGCCTTTCCAAATTAAAAACAGTAACACTATCAAATGCATGGATGGGTCACATATTTTTACTTTTCCTCTCTGGTGTCTCCATTCTGTTGCTATGGAAACAAATGGCAAGTGGAAACAGCAACTGGGTTTCTTTGCCTCTGAAACCCTACACAACAAATGTATGGAGGGGAAGAAGCAAAGCAGTGAACTTTAGTTCTCCATACCTTCCCATGGCAGCCATTAATGGAAGCCAGGCTTTGCTGACGAAGGTGTTATGTGTTCTTATGTTGCCAGTCTTTTTTTCCCTCCTCACATGTTCCAGTTCTTTCTCTGTTGCTTGGTTACAGAGGGAAACTGGTTGACTTCCTTTTTGGCATTTTTGTGAACCAAAAGGAAAGAATTATTTTAAAATATTGAAGCAGTTTAAAAGGTCCCCCAAGATTTATGACTTTATAGAGAAAAATAGAGCTCACTTACTTCTACCTATATGCCTGGGACAGCCAGTTGGCATTTGAATTTTATATTTTTCCTTTAATGTGATTAGAGTCAGCCTAGGATATTTAGATAGAATGACCTGACTATGAATGGAGTTGGCCAAAGTTGATCACCTTCTAGTCTGCAATTTTAAAAAAAGGTCAAGAACCCAGGTGGGGGTGTGTGTGCTAAGTATGTTTGCTGGGTGGACATTGCTGTATTACATCATAGGAAAGAGTATATTCCCTGTACTATATTTTTAACATTATATATTATAATCTAGGAAATATTTCTTTATTATAAACAATACTAATAGCATCCAGTGTATGGGCCTTTAAAAGAGACAATAAACTAGTTAGCTTAGAAAAGGCAACCCATGAAGAGGAATTAAGCAGCCACACAAAAACCTATAGTAAAGCATTAAAGTCCATTACAAATTCTAAGAAGAGAGTTCTGGAAAAGCAATATTTCAGTAAATACAAATAGGAATTTGTTAATGGACCAGCTTCCTAAGGCTGCTATCACAAATTATTACAAACTAGGGTGGCTTAAACAACAGAAATTATTCTCTCACAGTTCTGAAGTCTGAAATCAAGATGTTCACAGGGCTGTGTTCTCCCTGAGCATGGTTTTTGGCAATTTTTGGCATTCCTTGGCTTGTGGCTATGTCACTGCAGTCCATGCCCCTGTCCTCACATGGCCTTCTTCCCTATATCTCTGTGATTTTGGATGAGCTTCTCATACGGATACCACCCACTGGATTCAGAGACCATCCTAATCTTGAGTTACCTCATCTTAATATGATTACATCTGCCAAGACCCTATTTCTAAATAAGTTCACATTCTGAGTTTGCAGGTAGACATGAATTTTGGGAGGAATACTATTCAAACAAGTACCATGGGCAAATGTGGTCAAATTTTCAGAATGTGGGCTGGGTCTCTGAGACTTGTAGAAAGCATCACCATAGTGAGAACTGAGAGAGGACTGGTGGACTGGAATAGTCTGACCCCACAGAGATGGCTCTGAGGGAAAGGTGGAAAAAGAATACAGAAAAGAAAGTGGACAACAATCCAAGATTGAATTTTTGGTGTCTGACTACAAAGAAAGTTTGTGGGACTGTGTCAGCATTGCCTGTGATGCTAAAATCACCCCTCTTGTTCTCTTTGCTTATGTAGCTGAAGACCAGTCATGTGCTTCAGAAAGGAGGTTGGCCTTGTCCAGGCTCTACTTCAGAACTTCAGGCTACTTTAGCCAGCAGGACTTGTTTTCTGCTAATGAAGAAAGTTGGGTCTCTCAAAGAGGAGCCAAGCCTGCTACATCCTGCCCACCCAGGATCAAGGAGCTCTTTGTTGACTCTGGCCTTCTCCACACAATGGTGGCAGGGCAGGACCAACAGCTCCCTCCATCAGAAAGTCTACTCAAAGAAGCCATCCGAGCGATTTTTCCCTCCCGAGAACTGGCTCGTCTTGCCCTTCAGTTTACCACCAACCCTAAGCGACTCCAGCAGAACCTCTTTGGAGGGACCTTTTTGGTGAATGTTGGCCAGTTTAATTTGTCTGGAGCCCTTGGTACAAGAGGCACATTTAACTTTAGTCAATTTTTCCAGCAACTTGGTCTCTCGGGCTTCCAGGATGGAGGGGGACCAACAGATCTAGCCAAGCCACTCTCTGTGGGATCGGAGTCAAATTCTACCTCAGTAACCCTCAGTGCCTCTAAAGAGAGTGCTATGAATAAGGCAGTTGTGGGTAGCTTTGGCTTTGAAGTTAACTTGCAAGAGAATCAAAATGCCTTACAATTCCTTGCCTCTCTCCTGGAGCTTCCAGAATTTCTTCTCTTTTTGCAGCATGCTACTGCTGTGCCAGAAGAGGTAGCCAGGGATTTTGGTGATGTGATGGAAATGGTGCTCCGCTCCCAAGCCTGTGGGGAGACACCTGTAAGGCTCTTTGTCCCCTCATGCACCACTGAAGGCAGTTATGAGGATGTCCAGTGCTTTGCTGGAGAGAGCTGGTGTGTGGATTCCCATGGCAAAGAACTCCCTGGCTCTAGAGTCAGAGGAGGTCGCCCGAGGTGCCCCACGGAGTGTGAGAAACAAAGGGCTCGCATGCAAAGACTTACAAGCAGCCAGCCTGCTGGGTCCAGCTTGTTTGTCCCTTCTTGTACTAGTGAGGGATATTTCCTGCCTGTTCAATGCTTCAACTCAGAGTGCTACTGTGTGGACACTGAGGGTCAGGCTATTCCAGGAACTCAAAGTACAATTGGCAAACCCAAGCAATGTAAGTCTGCTGTGTATTTAATCTGTAGATTTCCTGGGGGTCTTGTTAAACCTCAACCTAATGCATTGCGGGAAAATGAATTCATTCTTGACTAAAGGGCAAATTTCAGTTAATGCAAAATTGACTGCTTAAATTTAAAAAACAATCCTGGAGAGCCAGGCTAATGTCAACCATCCTAAGAAGCAAATAGGGAGATTTGTTTGGCCTTAAAACGCTGCCATATACATTTCTGTAGTGCTGACCAACAGCTGGTCTCTGCAGTGCTGTGTCAGTCATGGGGTGCCCTCTGTCTAGATGTTACTTATAAATTTAAGGCTGTTGGTATTTTCTGCAGCTAATGAGGCTCTAGATGGTATTTGGACAGTTAAGTGGTCTCACCTCAGTCTTTCTGACTCATTAAATTTTTTAAACACCTGTTCATTCTTCCTATGCAGGTCCTAGCCCCTGTCAGTTACAGGCTGAGCAAGCACTCCTTGGGATCATACGGCCCCTACTGTCTAACTCCAGTGTGGCGCCTGCTCTCTCCAGCATCTACATCCCACAGTGCAGTGCCACTGGGCAGTGGAGACAAGTGCAATGCGATGGGCCTCCTGAGCAGGTCTTCGAGTGGTACGAACGGTGGGGGGCTCAGAACAGCGATGGCCACCAGCTAACCCCCACAGAACTGCTGACGAAGATCATGAGCTATAGAGATGCAGCTTCTGGAAACTTCCGTCTCTTCGTTCAAAGTCTTTATAAGGCTGGACAACAAGGTGTCTTCCCAGGGCTGGTGCAGTACCCTTCTTTCCAAGATGTCCCACTGGCAGTGTTGGAGGGGACCCTGACTCAGCCTAGAGAAAACGTCCTCCTGGAGCCCTACCTCTTTTGGCAGATCCTAAATGGCCAGCTCAGCAGGTACCCAGGGTCCTACTCAGACTTTAGCAGGCCTTTGGCCCACTTTGACCTCAGGAGCTGCTGGTGTGTGGACGAGGCTGGTCGGAAATTGGAAGGAACTCAGGCTGAGCCAAGCAAAGTCCCAAAATGTGAGTTAATTCACGTGAAGAACCTACTTTTTGTTATATGTTAATTTGTGGTGGAAGGGCATTGAGCATCATGGCCAGAATGGACTGCGGGGTTGACCAGGTACAGCCCTTCAATGTGTGTTTGAGAGAATTAAGGCTCTTGGAGAAGTGGCTTCCCCATGCTACACAGTCAGGTGTTGATAAGGGTAATGTCATTTTTAAACTAGCATGTAATTAATTGATCATTTCAATAAGTACTTAGTTTTTTACTGGATGTTTTCTTTGTGTGGAGCATTATCTTAGAGCCAGTGAAGGTGATGAAAGTGATCATGATCTAGCTCTTGTCCTCCCATGGCCAAAGCATTAGTAATCTTCACTGAGTTGGGTGCAGCACTGATCTGTCAGCAAGTATTATGATGGTCCTGCTACTTGCACAGAACACATTAAGTGCTCAGAACCTCAGGAAAGTGCCACATATTCACATTTAATTGATTGGAAGGATTTAATAAGGGATTAATTGGAGAGTTGCTGATGGAGGTCTATAAGTTCAGCTTTGTGGCAGGTAGACTCATAGGAGAGTTGTGGTGTATGAGGTAGAAATAGAATGAAGATGACTGTGTCTTCAGTTAAAATGCCTTATTCCCAAATACTCCTGCCAGCAGTTTGAAAGAACAACCAAACAGATTCAACACTACTATCCAATCAGAATCTCTATCCAGCAGTTGCTAATATTATAGATGTTCACTGAATGAAATCTCTCAGTGCATTCTTTTTAATGTTAAACATTCATGTTAAAATCCATCTGACTGACTATTTGACACTAGCCAAAGTTTAGGCTTTAGCATCAGCTGTATTCTTAGAAGGTTGGGTCAAAGGGGCCATGGGATGAGAATAGTAATACTCCCAGCGTTTTAAATAGCCTGGAGATGGCAGTACTAGGATTTCTCATTAATATACAAACATGTAACAATAGGACCCCCCAAGTCAACACATCAGTGTGGGTATCAGCTGAGTTGCTGATACCAAAAGTACCTTGTACCTGTGACTAGTCGCATCCACCCTGGGCTGAACAATGGAACTAGGCTGAGAGGAGAGTGGCTTTTCTAATGAGTATCAGGAGACTGTGTGGGGTAGATGTCCAGTTATAGGACAATTAATTAGGAAATAAATACTACAACGCCTATCTACATCCAGTATTGTGCCTTCCTTTCGAAATTAAGTTATAGTCTATGGCCATACCACCCTGAACGTGCCCGATCTCTTCTGAAATTAAGTTGATAAAAACTGAGAACACTTCACCTAGGACATTACTACAGGGCTTCACCCACATGCTTTATAAATAAAGCAATGCTCACATTCAGACTCTTGTTTGATGAGGGTATGTGATCCAAAGGGTTAGAATGTGTGCCTTGTTACTCACGGTGTGACTCTGTAGCATCAGCATCCCCTGGTGACTTGCTACAGATTCAGGATATTGGGCTCTCTTCATCTACTGAATTGAAACTAGCATTTCTGCAGTATTTCCAGGCAATTCAAATGCACCCCAAAACTATGCAGGGCCAGCATAGTAGACAGGATTCCAGCTCTTCTCAGTCCTGGTTCTGCCATCTGCTGCTGTGTGTGCTGGAGGAAACTCCTGAGTCTCAGCTTCTTCTGCAAAATCTGAGTTACAATAAATCACTACCTAGGGGTTGTAATGAAGATTAAAAGGGAATAGAGGCAAAGGGCAAGCTCACTACATACCAAGTATGTATTAAATGATAGTTGGATTAATAAAATTTATGATAGTGAAGTAACTTCCTGAATGCATGTAGAGATGGTAGCTCAGGCCTCTAGAAGTATGAGGCTACATTGCTGTCTCTGGCCTGATGGAAATTTTGCTGTCATTACTCATGTACCACCTACTGTGTGCACTGTGTCATGTATGACAGGGAGGCAGTCATGAGAAGAATGGCATCTTCCCTGAGGAACTCAGAGACCAGTGAGCAATTCAGGTCAATAATTAACTGCAGTGGTTGAATAGATGTATACACAGGGATAGTGTATGGAGGATGCCCAGGGGACTAACAGGGCTACTAACTGATTGGGGATTGATGTAAAGACTGGTGTGGCGCTGACTTCTGGAATGAAACCCAAGGTGGATTTGTCTAGCCACAAAGATGTGGTTGACCCCTCTGGGCAGAGGAAATAAAATGTGCTGTGCCAAGTCTGAAGGTGCAAGAGGGTTGATTTTGTTTGGATGGGGTGGAGACAAGGTTAGCGGTTGAGAAGGAGGGGGGTTAAGAATGGAAGAAGTGGAAGGCAAATTGGGGCCAGATTTAAATGCTCTTATATGCCTGGTTAAATAATTTTCATGTTACCCTGGAGGAAATGGAGAGTAAACAGATTTAAATGGATGGTTTCTTTTTTTCCCTTCAAGAATACCAAATCCCTGTGATTGATAGAACAGATTATTTAATCAAGAATATCTATTTGATCAAGAAAACCATAATGTCTTCATATGCCAGAAGTCAATGATTTCTGTTCATTCTGTACTCTCAAAAGAATCCACTGGCCAGGAACCAGTGACTCATGTCTGTAATCCTAGCTACTTGAGAAGTAGAGATCGGGAGAATTGAGGTTCAAAGTCAGCCCAGTTAAATAGTTCATGAGACCTTATCTCAAAAATTCCTACTCACAAAAAAGGGCTGGTAGGGTGGCTCAAGTGGTAGAGTGTGTGCCTAGCAAGCACAAGGCCCTGAGTTCAAACCCTAGTACCGCCCCTCTCCCTCAAAAAAACAAAAAACACTTCCATAGTTGAATTCACAATATGATTGGTGGAAATAAACACTGAAAGGTGGCTTTTGCTAGTAGTGGTAATTACAGGGACAACATATGCCAGGCACTATGCCAAGCCCTGCACATTATAACACCTCATAGAATTGTTAAAAAGAGAAACTCATGGAAAGTAGAGCAAAGTTTTCTATTATTCCCACTATAGATAAGGGTGAAATTCAGAGACGTGAAGCACATTACCTACCACCACACAGCTAATAAGTGACCAAACAGTAGAACCCAGGTGTCTCAAGAGCCATGTTCTTTCTAATAAGAAAGGCAAATGCACAAGAATACCTCCACCACATACAACACTTAAATGTCCATCCATCTTCCCATCCATCATCCATCCATCCATCCATCCGTCTACTCTCCCATCCATCCATCTATCCATCCATCCATCCATCCATCCATTCCCTCACACACCCACCCATCCATTCATCCACCCACCCATCCATTCATCCACTCACCCATCCATCTAACCATTCCCTCACCCTCCTATTCCTTTACCCATCCACTCATCCATCAGTCCCTCTATCCTTCTATTGGTCCATTCACTCATCCATTCATCTATCACCTGCCCATCCTTCCATTAGAGATAGCTCGTCCAGTTCATTGTTTCTAGAGTGAGACTAGACTGGAATTCCAAATCACCTACTTACTAGCTGGGAGCTTGTTTAAGTTATCTGACTTCTCGAGGCCTCAGCTTCTCTTCTAAGATAGAGGGCTAAGACTATCTTCTTAGTCTGTTGCATAAATCAGATTAGATTGTGTAAATGTGCTTAATACAATGCTTGGCATGGAGCAAGCATTACCTATTACTAATCTTATGCAGTAGGTCCTCCCTAAATATTGAATGAATGAGATCAAAGAGATGAGGCAGAAGGAGCTCTACTTGGTGAATGAATCCATCTGTGATGTTTTTATTCCCCAGGTCCTGGCTCCTGTGAGGAAGTGAAACTGAGTGTCCTGCAGTTCATTAAGGAAGCAGAAGAGATTGTGTCAGCTTCCAACAGTTCTTCAATCCCTCTGGGAGAGAGTTTTCTAGTGGCCAAAGGAATCCAGTTGACCAATGAGGAGCTTGACCTTCCTCAGCTCTTCCCATCCCGGGAGGCTTTCTCGGAGCAGTTTCTGCGTGGGGGTGATCATGCCATTCGTTTGGCAGCACAGTCTAGTGAGTGCTGTGTATCGAGGTTTCTTGCTCCGTCTCTGGGGAAGCAAGATTTTGAATCTCTCTCCTCAGTCATTTCTAGGACTTTGCTACTTAGTTTCCCCAGGCTTCTGGGTTTCTAGGGAAGAAAAGGTAAAGAAGTTTGGTGCCCTCAGTCTAAACTGGGATGTGCACATTTCTTCAAAATATTCCCAGACCCTCCAGCAGAGCCACTGGGGGCCAGGTCTGCACACTTTGTATTGCAGATGGCCTTGGAGTCCTGATGAAGCTACACAATCCTGTGAGGGAGCCCAAATGTGAATCCTCATGCCTGTTCCAAAGCTTCCCTCCACTACCAAGGATGCATGGAAATCACAGAAGAGGATAGACAAAGGACGCTCATTGCACATGGGAGACCACTGAATTCTGAGAATGATTCTCAGAGGCACACATGGGACACAGGAAGGAGCCCAGAAGCTAACAATCCTGTGGCTCCAGTAGCAGTCAGACAGTACTTGAACCTGGCCCTTGATCTGGCACTTCAATCCTCTAACACACGCAGGAGAACAAAGCCATAATCACCTGTGATTCTTTACACATAGGAAATGGAGGGTTGGGTTAAGTAGCTTGCCAGGCTTGCCCATCTAATAACTAGTGAAGTCTGGATGTGAAGTCCATGGTCTGGGTCTCAGGCCCACGTCCCCGGTTTCTCTGTCCCCTGCCAAGCTGATCTGTGGCAGCTGAGGTCAGGATTGAGACCTATGCCATCCTACAGCCTGCGTCCTTCCTCCTCTGTCCACAACCTGCTCTGGCAGGAAAGCCCAAACCCTCTGAGTTTCCATACTGGCCCCACACCAACTTGGCAGAAACCCAGGATCCACCTGTCTCTCAGCCTTACTTGAGCACCTTCTGATTCCCCATCTGGAAGGTGCCGGGATTGGGTGACAAAACAGCAAAGCTCATGCCACCTGTGCATCCACCCCAGTGAACTGGGACCTTCCTGTTTCCCCCAGCTGGCATCTGTTTCAGACTTGGGAATGGCATCTTTGTTCTTCTCACTGTACGTGAGAATCTCCCAAGGCCATCTCTGTTTCCTGTCTCTCTCTTACCAGAGGACTCTTTTAGAAGACAAAGTACCATATCTTGTTCACTTTTATCTATATCCGGGGTCCTGTGCTGCACCAGGGGCAGAGGAGGAGCTCAGTAATAATGGTGGTTAACTATTCTTGCTGCCTCCTTCCCCCTTTCCTTTCTCTTCTATTTACTCCCCTTGCACCTCTTTTCTCTATTCCTCAGCAACCTGGAGACCTCTGCTGTTTTTCTCCCTGCTTTTGAGACAGGGACTTTCTGTGCAGTCTAGGCTGATCTTAAACTTATTGATTAGCCCAATCTGTCCTGTAAGTTGCCATGCTCTTCCCTCAGCCTCCTGAGTGCAGGGATTCCATGTGTGTGCCACCACACTTGGTGGGACTTTTGCTTTTGACAATAAATCAGTTATTTGAAAGTTTATGCATAGACAGGGTTTGATGCAATCAGGAAGAGAAAATGGCATTGATGACTCTTCAACTGTGACCACTGTGGTCAGGGTGTGAAATGTAGAGGAAGGGAAAGAAAGTTGCTGATGCCATAGAGATTTGTTTCTAAATGGCAGTGACTTTTTCTTTAGGCATCAAGCTAAGGAAGTTCCTTTTCAGCTGGCCACAAGCTCTGATTTTGCTGGTCTGAGGCTGTAGAGAAAAGAGGAAGAGTTCACAGAGAAAGGGACAGGGCTTTCCCTAAGAGTCTGGGGATGGAGGGCCAGAAGTGTGTTTGGCCAATATAACATAGCAGCACTGTGTAGGATGTGATGAGGGTAAGGAGAGGCGATGCACATAACTGCCTGGCATGAGTTCCAGGCTCTTTTGATATAGGTATCATACTTTCCCTGTTAGGTAAGTATAGCCATTCCACGGATGAGCGAACCTGGGCTCAGAGAGGTTGAGTTTGTCTCTTTAAGTCTACCAGCTCTCCCCTCTGAAGACATGAAGCCCATTTCCGAAGGGTGACAAGTTGGGGAGAATTGTCACCTGGGCGGCCCCAGAGGTGGTCATTCCTCTCTAGGAGCCCATGAGGAACCACAACCCCAGTCCTGTGGAAAAGAGATTGGAAGCCAGACAGGAGAAGGGACTGGGAGACAGGTCATGGCCAAGTGGAAGCATGATGGCAGTGGGGCCAGTGGAGGCAGCTGGCCATGTGCTCTCACCACTGCCCGCCTCTTTTCCTCCCTCTCCCCACTCATGTATGCATTCATGGCTTCCTTTCAGTTTTTCGTGAGTGCACTCTGAGCCAGGCATTGCTCTCTATGCAAAATAAACACGTACCCAATACCAAGGACCCTGAATGCTGGCCTGGGAGAGACACAGCACAGACAAGTGCCGTGTGTCTGATGTATTGGTGGAGGATGCCGGGTGAGAAAGCCTGGCAGGGCAGGGGTGTAAGAGCTGAGGCAGGGTGTAGTTTCCTTATTAGGGTGCCACTGGTTCATCGCTTGGCCTTCCTCACTGAACTTCTACTTCTCACATGGGTAACAGTTCTGACAGTGTGGAGCTGAGGAAAGATCACACAAGATGTTGTAGATGACCAAAGCTTTGAAAGGGTAAAGAAGAAAATTGCAAGAGTTTAGGAGAGATGATTAAGAGAGCAGCTGAGAGGGCTGCCCTTGTGTGGTCCAAGCCTGCCCTCCACTTCCCAGCTCTGAGACCTCCATGTAGTTATTCCACCCATCCCTGCCTCAGTTTTCTCATTATTGAATGGGATGATACTAACCTCGAGGATTAAACAAATCAGTGTATGTGTTTAGACAGTGCCTGGTGCACAATAGTGCTTGTGAGTCTTATCTTAGGTGAGGGTGCCTCCCTGACCTAATTCTATATGGAAGTTCCCATAGAGAGCTACAGAGATTCTTCCATTTGCAGTCTATGGCTTATTTTTACACTCCATCTGTGGAGGGTCTGTTCACTGTCCAAGGAGTCTCTGAATATTTCACATCGAGATGTTTATTTATGAATAAGGAGGGTGCCTTACGTCAGAGCAGAGGTGTGTTTGGCTTACCTCAGTGACAGAGCCCACAGGGCAGGCGTCACATTCCACTCTTCTCTTTCTATCACTCTAGCCTTGAATTTCTATGGGAGCCTACGCTCTTCTCTGGGTAATTCAGCTGGAGCAGCCGCCCCTCTGTGGTTGGGCCCCTACGTGCCACAGTGTGATGCGTTTGGAGGCTGGGAGCCTGTGCAGTGCCACGCTGGGACTGGTAAGGGGGACCTCAGGAGGCCGAGTGACACCCCTCCTTTTTATTTAGAGGAAAGAGCCCCAAATGAGAAGCAGGTGAGCTGGACTCTCCAGCCACTCTTTGATAGCTGGGACACATCCACACAGATACACACACACACACACACTTTAGCTTCTCTAGCCTCCAGTTGTCTGTCCTATGTGTAACCAGGACCTGGACCATCCTCAAGGTCAAGTGCCTGGTTGCTGGGGCTTCAGAATGCTTAGACTGTGACTGTGGATAGCGTTGTGTGTGGGAGGGTGGAGCTGAACTTTGGGGACAGGCCATCTTTCTAGCACTGCTCTGAATCAAAGAAGGGAAGTTGTTCTCAGGACACTTGGTGAGTCCTCAGGGTACATCTTGAGCTCTAGGCCTGTGACTGTTTTCCAGGGTACTGCTGGTGTGTGGATGGGAAGGGAGAGTTCATTCCTGCCTCACTGAATGCTCGTTCCTCACAAATCCCCCAGTGTAAGTGAAACCCACGGAACTCACCTGTCTGACACTGGTGGGGGACTCTTGACTGTTGGATCTAGATGTGGTCACCCAACTGCAGAGGACTCTGTGGCACAGCCCCATCAGACCTATCTCTGAGTGCAGTCAGACACATTTCCCAAATCCCCAAGTCTGGAGCTTGTGCCGACCTTCCTGACTGGTACTCCCAGTTGGAGGAAGTGAAAGGAGGAACTGAGTGGTGATGAAACCCTGGTCCTTGTCCTTGTGCCCTGCTCCTTGGGCAGGTTTAGCTGCTTCTGTGTTCCTGCCACCACTTCACATTTGTTCCTCCTGCCACAGCCTCTCCCTGAGGGTCAATCCTGTGTAGTCCATGGCCCACTGAGCATCTCAAAGCTAGCATGCCCCCTGTGCATCGTCTCTGAATCCCAGTCTGAGTCTCCTCCGAGGGTCTCTGCAGGGAGTACTTCGGCACCTCAGGTGCCTGGCCAGCTAGGGCTCCCACTTTCCTTTGGTGTTCATGGCCAATCTGTTAACAGCCCCTCTCTTTTCCACAGGCCCCACGACCTGTGAGCAATCTCAAGCCAATGGGTTGCTTTCCAGTTGGAAACAGGCTGGAGTCCAAGGAAACCCATCTCCAAAAGACCTATTCACACCAAACTGCCTAGAGGTGAGGCTCTGAGGGTTTTGAAGTGGTACAGATTTGGAAGGCAGAGCTGGTGTCACTTGGTTGATGATGGCTTTTTCACTTTTCAGTTCCTTTGGCTCAGTAAAAAATTTATAAGGAGATCTGGGCCTGAGTGTTTGTCTTGGGCCTGATAGACCCTGGCTGTGTGCCCCTGAGCAAATTACTTACTTTTTTGTGCCTCAGGTTTGTTTCTAATCATAGGATCAGGGTACATTTTTGTCCTATCTAGTGGTAGGATTGTTTTGAGACTCTAGGACACATCTTTCATGAAAACTCTTTGAAGATTGACACCTGAATAGTTGCTATTGTTTGTCTCCTAAAGTCACCTCGGCAAAGTCACTGAGCTCGTGTCTCAGGTTCCCAACTAAGTGAAGGATGTTACTCAATGTCCCTCCTAGCTTTCTGGATGATTGTCATAACTCACAATTCAGTGAAATGCTGACACAAATTCTCCCAGAGAAAGAATTTGTGCCAGAATTAACCACTTACTTGGCACATGATAGAAGTTCCCATGTTGTGCCTCAGTTTCCTTTCCCTAGAATAGGGATGACATGACCTGTTCTGCTCAGCTCGGGGAATTCTGTGAAAACCAGATATCAGCAATTAAGACGTTCATGGAGCCGTAAAGTACTGCACAAGCTTCCTTTTTATTATGGATATTGTGGACACAGATCCCCTTATGAATGAGCTCTGTAGAGAAACTCACCAGTAGGATTTAGTCTTTTATTTTGACTGATAACCACCTCCTGTTGAAACACAAGTATGCTTCATGTCCCAGGCAATGACTCTTGCTCGTGAGGAAAGAAGGGGGGACCCACATCTTCTGAGAGTGGGGGAAGTGGCCCAAACCCATGGCCTACTGGCCCTCTGATTTTGTAGTTATCTCAAGTTTAGCACCTGTGTGTAGGGGTGAGGGTGATTAGCACAGGGCCAGCCTCCTGGTTACCTTCTCAGTAAATGTCAATGTTCCTCATATTGTCATTGGTTATCTACAAGTGAGGCACAGCCGGCTTGAAAGTGAACAAGTGACAATTAAATAGGAAAGGCAGCATCCGTACAGTCAGTATGCAGCAACAACTGCTTTTCTCCAGCTTGCCTGCTTGTGCTTACAACTCCATTGCAAATGTAGGAGAGCAGGCTTTTCTGCCTTTGAAGTTCATAGAAGGAATGTGCTCAAGAAATGATCTAATTCAACATCCTGGTTTCTTTAGGTGGGGAAACTGAGACCCAGAGAGTTGAAATGGTATTTTAGGGCCCCCAGCTGGCCCAGGACAGGCAAATGAAGAAGGGACTAATACTGGAAGGCTCTGATCTGTGGGTCCCCAGCCAGTGATGGGGTCTGGGTGGCTGGCTGGTACCTGGGTTCCCCATTATGGATGCTTAGGGCCTGTCTAAGAGTACTTATTAAAAACCCTGCCTGGAATTGGTGGAGTTTGTTCAGAGGCATGACTGGGCTATGAGGCTGGGTGGGCAAGGGCCCCCCGCCTAACTTGCCACTCAGCAGCTCTGGGACATTGCTCCAGCGTGTCACTTCTCTGAGGGAGCCTGATTTTCCCTGCCCTTACCTGGGATAGCTGCTGTTCATTCTTTGTGATGTTCTTGGAACCATTAGTCCAGGTAGGCTGTGGTGGCTAGGTTCAGGACAGGGAACCCCACATGAAGAATTGCCTGCCCATTTAGAGAAGTGGTCACCAGTTGTTTTGGAAGACCACCAATCCTAGTAAGTGGGCCTCCAAAGCATTGCCTGTGGCTTCCTCTCAGGCAGGAGAGTATGCCGTGCTTCAGAGGTTGGAGATGGGCACCTGGTGTGTGGACCTGGCCTCAGGAGAAGGGATGTCACCCAGCACAAGCAGCAGTACCCAGTGTGAGTAACTCTCCCTGTCCTTGTCACCTCACAGCATTCCCAGTGAGCACTAGGTGTGGAGTCCCTAGAGATGCTTCCTGTGTTAGCCTGGCTACTTCTGCAGCTGGGTACACACTCCTGGCCGCTGTGTCCCAGGCTTCCCATCTGTAAAGCAGGGTACATGCCTGCAGTGTCATGTGCTGATGTTCCCCTCTGCCTGAAACCACTGAGCTCCATTATCCTCAGGGTCAGCCCCAAGCTCCTTGGCATGGCCCAGGGCCCAGTGCACCTGGTCCTGTGTGTCTCAGGCTTCTTTTGCTTCTCCATCACTTGTGCTTCAGAATCTTGTAACAAATTGTGGTCAGACTTTGGAGGAAAATGAGCACTTTCTCTTCCCAACCCCTACCCTCATCTGCCTCTGCTCAGCTACCTACAACACATCCATCCCTCCCAGAAGGATTCTGAATCCCAGAAGCCTTTGCAGGTCTCTCCCATTGCTGACTTGCTTCCCTAATGTTCTGTACATTGCTTACTATGGCCCTTCTTCTCCTGATCTGGAGAAGTGTTTTTATTCATGCTCCTATAAGATTCTGAGCCTCTCAAGGGCAGGCAATGGAGAGGGGGAGAGCACAGAACCCTGGGGCCCTGTGGGTGGTTGAAAAGGCTATGCCTTGAGTGGGGAGCAGGGACTACACACACTACCTGGCTCACCTGACTTGTCTCTGTGCCCAGGCCCAGGTCTCTGTGAAGTTCTTAGGAGTGGAGCCCTGTCCAGAAAAATTGGCCCCAGCTACATCCCAACCTGCCGCGCACAGGATGGGGGCTTTGCCCCAGTGCAGTGTGACCCAGCTCAGGGAGGCTGCTGGTGTGTCCTGAGCAGTGGAGAGGAATTGCCTGGAACCCGCAGGTTGGCAGCCAGCCTGCCTGTGAGAGTAAGTCTGACCCCTGGAAGGACCACAGCTGCACATCTCGTGTTTTTTCCTGTACCCAGGCCGATGGGGCTCCAAGAAATGGTGTGTGCAGATAACCGACTACATTCTAGAATAATTGACCAAATACAGGTCTACATCAGGGGCCTGGAGACTCAGGGGAAGGAGGCTTATGTGTGACTGGGAGAACTGCTGAGGCTGCTGGAATGCTGGAGTGTTGAGCTGATATGTAGAGGTTAAATTTAAAAAAACTTCCAGGCAATGAATAGGCAGAGAGAAGGGCATAGGGCATTCAAGGAAGAGTAGCCTGGCCTGGAGGCAGAGGGGCCAGAGGAGATGAGAGTGGAGAGACAGGGAGAGTGGCAGGGACAGTGGACACGGGAGGAAATTGGGAAGCCATGTCCATCTTTGCAGTGGAGACTGGCTCAGATGTGGAAGAGGTGCCACATGGGGGGCAGAAGTCTGGCCAGGAGGCTTCACTGTTGGTTCAGGCAGAAGCTGAGGGAACAATGTAGGCTGGAGTGACACTGAGAGGCATGAGCCACAGTCTCACAGATGCTGCTGTGTTTCTTGCTCAGGTGGCAGCAAGGCCAGAGATGCCACTGCTAGGCTCAAGGTGCTAGAGCAGGACTGGTCATGGGCTGCTGTGTCCAGAGAACTGGGCTGTGGCTCCAGGTGGGAAGTGGAGAGGATAGTTTGGGAGCCCAGGGATTTGGAGGGGGAAGAAGAATAATGAAGGTGTCTGAGCTGGAGAAGTTGCTGCAAGACTCAACTGTGCTCGGGGGTCTAGTAAAGGTGAGAGATGGTGGACTTGTCTAGGAGGAGGATAGAGAGGGAGGGGAAAGCCTCAGGCCCTGGCTGAGAGCTGGGTACAGTCAGGAAAGGACTCAGGATGCTGAACTGGGGAAGCAGAGGAATAGGGAAGAGTTGAGACCACAGAGTCGGCAGACACCCACTGCTCTCTTCTCTCCTGATCCTAGGCCCGCAGTGCCCACTGCCCTTCTCTGGCTCAGATGTGACTGGAGGAGCAGTCCTCTGTGACACAACCTCAGGCCCAGGAGGGGCCGCTATCCAACAGTGCCAGCTTCTTTGCCGTCGGGGCTACAGGAGTGCATTCCCACAGGCGCCACTGTTGTGCAGCCAGGAAAGCAGACGCTGGGTGTCGCAGCCGCCACTGCCCTGGGCCTGCCAGCGTGAGTGCCCTTTGGGACATCTGCTTTACGCCCCACTCCCTCTCAGGGCTACTACTGAGGACTGGAATGTGGCTGTGTGACTGCTTTCTTTCCCCTCCCCAATGTAGCCTTTCCATGGTAAGCCAGGTGGCACCAGGAATATCAGAGCTACCCATGAAACCTTTCTTCTGGAAGGGGCACATGTGCTCCTCAGGCCCCTTGAGTTAGGCTTTATTTGTGACTTCTCTGCAGCCATCTGCCCCTTGGGAGAGTTGCCATCATTGCAGCTCTCCTGGATGTCTTGGGTTCAGGACAGATGTTTGGCAGTAGGTATTCAGCAGCTGAATTGGGGATGATATGCTAATGTGCTCAGAACTGCTTGTCCAGCCCGAGAGTGGCCTGTCCCATCAGCCTCCAAGCCTACCTGAACCTCCAAGGTAAATTCCTGGTAGGACAGGGGTTCCAGGCCCTGTGCCAGGTGGGCATCAGTGCCCTATGTAAACACTAGCCCTCCTTCTGTGCAGAGTCCCTTCTTCTGCTGTCACACTGAACCCACATGACACATGTAGGAGTCATGCACACAACTGTGTGGCACTGCCAGGCTCTGACCATGTCTGCTTTGGAAAGGACTTGTGATTACTCACAGCCAGACCAGGCATGGGTGGACATCTGAGACAAGGCACTTGGAGCATCTGGAAATGAGACCCCGATCCTGGGACTGACAACCAAAAGACTCTGGGTGGCTTCCAGAGTCTAAAGGACAGTGTTAGTTGCAAAGCACTCTGGGCTATAGAGTATTTTCATCCAGAAAAAGTTTAAAGTATGACTTGGACAAATAAGTGACATATCCTTTGACTTTGGCAGGGTGGCCTAAGATGGGATTAAGACCAGGCTGATCACCATTGAGTCAAGACAGTGAACTTTGGGAGAGTAGAAGCCTGGGCTGGTAGCCTCTAAAGTTGACTTCAGGGCTCCTGTGTATGATTGTGCAGGTTGTCAACTGAGCAACCTTACTCTGCAGAGTAATATGGAGTGTGCTTGCTTGCATGCAATGCAATATGAAAGATTTTCCAAGGAGAATGTTGAGGACCCCTGTAAATCATCCTGGTTTAGGGGCAGAGGCAGGACTGATTTTGTGAGGTGCTAAGTAATTCAGATACAAGACATCATGCTATTTACAGTGTGAGGACAACAGTGCAAAATGGCAGTGTTTGTATGTTTTACACTAATGAGGAAGAGTTATTTTTTGTAGAGGAAAATCCAAAGAAAAGGATCCCACAGGTCTGTTGCCTCTGCCTGCTGACCTCCAGTGCTTGCCTGCAGGGCCCCAGCTATGGCAGACCATCCAGACCCAAGTGCACTTCCAGCTCCAGCTCCCACCAGGAAAGATGTGCAGTGCTGACTATGCAGGGTTGCTACAGGCTTTCCAGGTATTCATACTGGATGAGCTGACAGCCCGAGGCTTCTGCCAGATCCAGGTATGTGCCTGTCTTTCCCACAGTGAGGGTCTGGGCTAAAGTCAGGGCCACTTCAGAGAGCCTCAGGGCTCAAATGAGCCCATGGGTCAGGTTCACAGTCACTTATTCTACCAATGGGTGAACTGAGCCCAGACCTGGAAGGAAATTTGGCCAAGATTAAGCATGTTGAAGCAGAGGTAGAACCCATACTCATCTCATAGAGGGCATTCTCTCCATGTAAGGATGTCACATGTGTCCTGAACACTTATGTGCTAAGAGTTATGCAATGTGATCCTGATAGGAACTGTCATTACTGCCACTTTGTAGATGAGGTAAAGGAAGACCAGAGAGTTATAATAATTGGCCCAGAGTCACATCAGCCAGCTGTGTGCACTCTCTCTTCACATTGGGGCCAGCTGTGTTCTCCAACAGACCTTCGAGGAGATCTTCTGAATCCTCCCTGGAAGGAGAATATTTCATGACTCCTGGAAAAGCATCCTATAATCAGTAATGCAGAGCAGAGCTTTTCAGCTGTGTAGGATCAAGGAATTTAGTCATTTGAAGTCACAAGTGTTCACAGAGAATTTTTCCAAGAATTTTTAAGTTGCTCAGTTAAAGAAGTTCTCCCACTAAGGTCAGCTAAGTCATCAGAACAGTTCATTATTGGCATGTCATGTTAAGAATTTTGAAGAATACACACTTTCAAAAACTACAGAGTATTAGTTTTAAAACAGAAACAGAAATAGATATTATCCTTTTATCCAAAGCCATGCACTTAGCCACGATATTAATTACTGAGCACTGACTGTGTCCCTGGCGCCATGCCAAGGGTTCTGCATTCCTTACCTCTAGTTATGCTACTGTCCTGCTGGCCAGCTGCCACCAGCCCCCAACTTACAAATGGATTAACTAAAGCCTACAGAAGGGAAATAAATTGCCTAAGATTTCTCATAGCTTAGTAGGTCCATGTCTGTCTGACTCGTTCACTGCACCTAATTCATTTTTCATTCATTCATTCATTCATTCTTCATTCTTGAATTTAACAAATGTTTGAGTGCCTGTTGCAGGCCAGGCATGATTGTAAGTATGAGAATTATCAAAGAGAATCAAAGTCAGGCATTAGTTAAAGTGGTAAGGACAGATTTTATAGTAATAGACTCAGTGATGGGGAAAAGAGTTCAGTGTGAAACAAATTCAGCTTTGATTTGCTATAAGTCACTGGCATTTTAAAAGGTTAGTGAGGGAATAGGTTGGAGCAGAGCAGGGATTCACTAGCAAGCAGGAAGTAAAGAATTTCAAGAAGATTGGGAAGAGGGCATTGTTCCCTGTGAAGTCCATCTGGGTTTGCCAACCAGCACTTAATGGACTTAGGCTCTGCCTGTCATAGAGGCAGGTGTTGACCGGAACAAGTAGTCCATTCTGCTGGGAGCTTGGAGTTTTCTAGGCAGGCACTTTGAGGGAGGGATTGGTTATTCCATGATATGACTTTGAACTGTTGGAAACCATATCAATGCTTGCTCACGCTTCCATAGGAACATCCTGAGGTCCAGGAGGAAGTCTCAGAGGAACCCGATATAGCTTGAGCCAAAAGAGCATCTTTTGCAGGCTGCAGTGGGGATATAGTCTTTGGGGACTGTGACACTGAACTAACTCACATCAGTGACTCAAAGGGCTGAAGGAGAAACAAACCAGGGCTGATGTGGGAGAGAAGATGGAGAGGAGGGAGAGGGTTTAGAAAATGGCCAGGCAGGCCTCTCCAGGAGCCATCGTTAGAAGGAAATGAGTAAGGTGAGGCTGAGGCCTGCGAATGTATGGTCGGATCTACTGTAGAAGAAATAGAAGACATACCCAGTCTGACCCATAAAATCAAGGGAATGTGTAGTGGGTGCAGTGAGAGTGGGCCTTGTGGGTTCAGGGCATGCATACCACTCAGGGCCTCGCTACCTGTAGCTAGGACAGGTGGCTTATTCTACATGTGGTGGAATACTGTTGAGGTTAACAGTGACATAAATGATGTGGGTTTTCAGGTTTGGTCAGCTACTTTGTGGAGAATGGACTCTTAGGGGACAAGGGTAGGAGCAGGAAACCTTGCCACTATCTGGGCAAGGTGAGGGTGGCTGGGGTGGTGGGAGAATATGAGAAATGGAAGAAGGACTTGTGACATAGTGGCAAGAATTGGCCCACAGAATCGGGTGGTAGATAATGTGATGTGGGGAGAGGGAAGCATTGAGGATGATTGAGTTTTGGTTTTCAGGGACTAGGTGGAGGAAAAATCACATGGTGAGGAGCAGAATGTTCTAGAATCCTGGGGACCTGTGAGCTGAGAACAGTACTGAAGATAGGGCTGTATCAGAAGGGAGCTGGATCAGGGGTCCAGTGATGGGGACTTCCAGGACAAGGAATCAGGGTGTGACCATAAGACAGAGCTTCTAAGTCTGGGCAAGCCTTATCTCCAGAAGCAGAAGGTAGTACACACATTTCCCTGGCAGAGAGTTCTGGATTTTGGCTTTTACTCCAAGCTCATCCCAGCATGACCTGGGCCCCTGACAATCTTGTTGACCTTCATGTCCATCACTCGTTCACAGGAGCTCCTTGGAGGCCAAAGGGAGAAAATAAGTGGCTTGAAAGCCTTTGCACTAGGAGCCTTGGCTGAAAGCCTAACAGGTTTGCCAGGGTTTGAGTCTTGGCTCTACCACTTAGTGGCTGTGGAATCTTAGACAGTTCCTCAGGTTCTCTGAGGTGATTCCCCATCTGTTACATGGGGTGGAGATAGTCCCAACCTCATAGATTTGTTTTGGATATTAACCTAGCTCATGAGTTTAAAGTACTTCACCCAGGACTTGACTAATGAAAAATGTACAAATATTGTGCCATATTGCCTTCTAAGAATATTAAATGCCTGTCACACAGCAGGTTCTCATTATATGACACAACATCCACTTACTCACCTTTGCCAGGGGGCATTGAATGAGGTGCAGACACTTAGGATACAGTGAGAAGGTACCATCCATGAAGGAAGTCCTCACCAATACTGATTTTATTGTTACCTTAATTTTGTACTTCCCAGTATCCAGAAATTAGAAAGTATTTCTTCTGTGTATAATCTACCAAGTCTGTGAGATTTTGTTAAAGCAGACTGGATAGACTAATACACTTTTTCAAAACGCATGATATGAAGAAGGAAGGATATAGCTTGTGTTTGACTCTGGACCCTTGCCAGGCCCTGTCTTTGGGTTAACACACTCCTAACAGTTTGCATCCCTGCCCTTGCCTGAGGATCCTGCCATCCATCCATTCACAGATATGCCACAGGTGTGATGTGGCCTCACTCAGGCTGGGAGGGGACATCAGGCCAAAGAGCCAAAAGGAGGAACCAGTGGAGACTCTGGGGTTCAGAGGTAGGAGGAATGCAGGGGCATGTCCTGCTGGGTATGTGATGGTGAGGACATTTGCCGAGTCTGCTGAACTTGTGTCACCAATGAAACAGGTGACACAAGTCAGGAGCACTTGGGCTTTTGATGCATAGAGCTTGGTTCTTCCTCCACTTTCACCTCTATTCACTGGGTGACCACAGCTGCTTATCTAGTGTCCCTCGACCTCATTTCCTCAGGTGAGAAGTGGGTCCTATTGCCTCACGCCCTGAAGCAGGATGATGGATGAATACAGGAAGTAATATAAGCCTGTTCTGGTCCCTGGCACAGGCTTGACACAGCTAGTGTCCTGCTTGTATTACTGGACTAAACACGCCATTCTCCATGCAGGTGAAGACATTTGGAAGTTCAGTTTCCATCCCTGTCTGCTACAACAACTCGGTGCAGGTGGGGTGCTTGATGGGGGACCATTTAGGAGTGAATGTCACCTGGAAGTCACAGATGGAGGACATCCCAGTGGCTTCTCTTCCTGATTTGCGTGACATTGGTATGTTTTTGTGCACTGCTACCTTGAAGAAGCCAGGCAACCTCTCTGAGTCTCAGAGTCCTCATCTCTTCCTGGAGCCAGTGAAGTCTCAGTGCCTTCCTGTGGTGATGAAGGGAGAAAGTCAGTCACCTGGCCCAAGGGAAGGACTGTGTATTTAAAAACATATAAAAATCAGTAGAGTTCTGATCAGCAAACAATATCATGTGCATCAGAGCTTAACTGTGCTTTTGTGAGAGCTTCCAATTCTTCTCCCTATTTCCTGTGCACAGAGAGTTGGGACAGAAGTGTGAAGGGGGAGGTAGGGTAGGGCAAGGGTGTCTTTACTGGCTTATAATTTATGTCCCAAACATTTCCTAATAAAATACCTCAGACCACTGTCACTATTTAAAACTAGGCAGCTATGACCTAGATGAATTGAGAGAGGACAAAGATCTGGGAAGAAGGGGGTAGAACAGATTTTATGATGGCTACTGCGGTTAGCTTAAGCTTTCTGTGAGGATAGGAAATAATGCACATGTTTGTAACCAGAGGACAGAGGGCAACCCCTCTCTGTCCTTGATCATCCAGTGACCAAACACCTAGTGTGACCCAAGGTAGCTGGAACTTGGAACTTGCCCCGTCTTCTATGAGGAGAAGCTTCTGGAAAATATGGCCAGAATATATCCTAGGAGGCTAATTTCAACTTCATCATTCTCCTTCCTCCTGCTGTTGTCATGGCAATAATCTGTGTGAATGTGTCTCCTCCCCCTTCCCCAGAATTATGAATTAGTGTTTCCATCTGCCTTCCTCCAGAGAAAACTTGGACAATTTGGGCATGTCCGACATGTAGAAGTATGAGACATTCTCCCTGGCATCAGTGTGGAAACAGAACGGTGGCTCCAGGCCATGGCTGGCTTTCCCGTAGCTCAAGGCTGCATGAATGTTTGCTGCCTGCTGGGATCCACTTGGCTCTCCCTGTCTTCTCCCTAGGAAACCAGAGTTGGGAAGCTGGAGGCCTCAATGTTTAGCTGAGTACTGAGACAGAAGTCATTGCCTCTGTTTCCCTTGAAATGGCCTTCCACGTACATTCCTCTTCAGGTCCTCACCAGTTCAAGAGAGGCATTCCAGACCCATTTGGCAGATTTGAAACTAAGGCTCAGATCTGGTGGCTTCTGAAGATCAAGGATCTGGACAGTGAACCTTAAATCAGTGACTGAAGATTGATATCCTATACTAAGATGAGCCTCACTGGTGCTACAGACATGACAGGAGCCCAAGACCTGGGTTGGAGTCCTCCTTGTTGTTCTGACTCCTCTGTGACTTTGGCCAGGCCAGTCCCCTTCTCTGGGCCTCAGTTTGTCCCTCTGTAAAATGAGAGAGTACATGATGTCTATGTCTTCTTTCAGTCAAGATGGTCTAGGCTGCTCTGTCACTTTGACAGAGCCTTGCATAGAGAACAGTAAGGTGACCTCTGCCTCATCCCTTGTCTTACAGAGAGGACCCTGGTGGGCCAGGATCTCCTTGGGCGCTTTGAAGATCTAATCCAAAGTGGCACATTCCAGCTTCATTTGGATTCCAAGACATTTCCTGCAGACACCTCCCTCCGTTTCCTACAAGGGGGTGATTTTAGCACCTTTCCTAGCACATCGCTTGGGTGCTTGGAAGGATTCTCTCGAGTGTCAGCCACCAGCGGGGCCAGTCAGGACCCTTTGGGGTGCGGTAGGTCCACCTTTGTCTCTGGCCTGCTCTGTGGAGCATTGGGAGGCTTCAGGAAGGGGCACTGAGTTCTGGAGACACACAGAGTGGAAAACTGTTCGTGCTTTTGATCATCTGCTCTGCAGGGGCATCACCTACTAGCCCTCATCCAGTAGGAGGCACAGCGAAAAAGAAGAAGCCCATGTGCTAGGTTATCCTTTCTGTTAGTTCTGGACCAGCTCGGACCCTGGGGCTGGGTTGGGCTGTGGGTGAAGAAACCAGTGTCCATCCTGCATCCTGGGTGGAATTACTTGATCTGGTTATAGCAATATGTCCCTTGGCACAATCCCCAGATGGCATTTGCCAGCTGAGACTCAGGGAAATGGATTCTGGGGAAGAGTTACATAGGCTGCTCTGCTCTTGCCCAGGAGTTCCTCTGGAGGTTATTTCCACAGGACTGCAGCTGCAAATTCCTTGAGTGAAAGCTGTGTTAGCACCCTATCGCTACCATGACACATGCCCACAGATTTAATGGCATAAAATAGCACAGTTTATTATTATGAAGTTCTGTGGGCTCTATCCCAGCATAGGTCTCACTAGCTAACATCAGGTATCTATAGGGCTGTGCTTCTCCTGGAGGCCTTGGGGGCCGTGCCTCCTGCCTTCTCCAGTTTCTAGAGGTCAGCCACATTTCTTGGCCTGATGTTCTTCTCCTTCTGTTGTCAAAAGAAGAGGGGTTGCAGCCCACTGACCCTGCTTCCTGAGCCACCTCTCCTTCTAAGAACTCTTAATTACACACAACTGAGTAATCCTGGATTCCCCCAGATTGTAAAGTCAGCTGATTTGCCACCTTAATTCCATCTACAACCTCAATTCTCTTTGCCATTTAACCTAACATACTCAAGGGTCTTGGTGCTTGGGATGTGGACCCTTCTTTATGGGGTGGTGCTATTGTTCTGACTGCACCAAAAACTTTTGAGGGTTTCAGAATGAGGGGTTTCCTCCCATATGGAGGGAGATGGAGAGGCATTTTTATTGAGCTGAAAAGAGAGAGAGAGATGTTCTCAGTTATTTTCTGTTCATTACATTGGTTGCGATACAAAAGCTGCATGGCTTTTCCTTTTCTGAAATCCATGCCAACTTCTAGACTCCACACTGGATTTGAGATGCAGCTGAATCCTAGCACAGGGGACAGAAGCCCAACCACTTCCTACTAACATTTACAGGTTGCTTTGCAGTTTTCAGTGTGGTTCTACAAGTATTTAATATTTACAAGAGCCCTTGGTGGCAAAGAATCTCCTCATTAGACAGATGAAGGGACTAAAGCTCAGCTTAAGTGGGACTATGCACCTGTCCCAACAAGAATGATTCACAGGAAAAACTCAATGTTGGCTGAGTATCTGTGGGGATGATCTTCAGGTCTCTGGGCCCAGAGCCCATGATCTGTCTTTCCACATCATCAGAGCTGCTCATACAGGAGGAAGATAAGCATGGAGCAGAAGTGGATGGTTCCACTTGCCAGGGTGGATGGATTAGGGTCATGGAGGCTGAGAGTTACTCAGAAATATCTGCTACTATGTTCTCTGATTTTAATATGAGGAGTTCATGGCTCCCTACTAAAGACTTGAAGTAGCAGAGTGTGCATGTGTGTGTATGGGCAAGTGTGTGTGCATGTAAAATTCACAGGAAATAAAGGGGATGGCTAAAACTCGGACCCTAAACTCCCTTTTTGGGAACTTGATCAATAATGACTATCAGTTCCTATTGCCTAAGAGATGAGAGAGAATTAGCTGGGATGGTTTTTCCTTTTTTAAAAATTATTGTACTAGGGGTGTATTGTGACATTTACAGAAGTTCTTACATATATCTTAGTTGGATTCACCCCCTCCATCATTCCTGGAACAGTTTCAACATGTCTCATTTTTCCACTCACATACATGAATACATAATATTTCCACGATATTCACCTTCCCACACCCTTTCCTTATATCCTTTTCCCTCCTACTGGTACCAACCCCCAAGACAGGACATATTTTGCCTTCCTATTCTCTGTTTTTGAGAAAAAACAGATGTTTTTGTTTGTTTAAGATAGCTACACAGGGTGTTTAATTGTTGTATATACATATTATAAAATGAATTGGTTCATCCCTTCTATTTTTCTCCTTTCTACTTTAGTCCCCTTCTTACGGTGATTGCAGCAGGTTTAAAAATTCTGTATTCATTCTTATGTAAGAAGTATTTTTCTCCTGAGAGAAAGCCCTGTATGTGTCTATGACTCTAGGAACTGGTAACTGGCTCAGTGTGGCAGGGGCTTCAGGAAGCTCTTGTGGGAGCTATAGGGTATTGTCTGGGGAAGGGACCCACTGATAAATTTTCCCAGAATGTACTTGCTCTAGAACAGGAGAGTCACAACTTTTTTCTATGAAGGGACAGATGATAAATAATTTTAGTTCTTTTGGTCACATAATCTCTCTTTCAATAACTCAACCCAGTCACTGTAGGAAGAAAAATATGGTTGGGTTTCAATAAACCTTCACTTACCCATACAGAAGGCAAATTGCATTGGGCTCACAGGCTGTAGTTTGATGGTCTTTCATCAAGATAAGCCTAAATTCTGTTTTTCAGCTGCTGTGATTGTCAGTCATACCATTTGGCCCAATGCCCTTCCTCTAAACAAATAGAAAGGTCCAGAATGGAGTTCAAAAAAGCAGTAGCAAAGACCTTGGGTCTTCTATAGTATCAGTTATAATGCTAAACGTCCCTTACTGGGCCTCTGATATGTGTGGGGCCTCACTAGCATTCCTCTGTCCAGAAAGTTCGGTGTTACTAATCCCATATCATGAATGAGGAAACAAGGGCTATGAAGTTATGTACGCTGTTAGGAAACTGGTCTCTGAAGTCAAACACACCTGGCCTGGAGTCCTGGCTCCAACGCTTCCTCATTGTGGGAACCAGAGAAGTCATTTTCCTCATGGGTATAATTTGAAAAACTATGACAATAAAACCTATGAAAACATGGAACCGCCAATACAAAGCACATCTCTTGGCTCATAACCAACTCTCAATGAATGGTTTTGTTGTCTATTAGCAGTGTTGCTATTTAAACTTAGTTCTGTCTATTTCCAGATTCTTTTGTTCTGTCCTTTGCATCACACCTCTACCATTTAAATAAGGGGTCCCAGTGAAATTGTGCCTTCTCATTCTTATATCTATCCTTATTGGCTCTTTTTCTTCTAAAACACATCTGGAACACAGTTGTGAAATAACAAAGCAGAGCACTGTCCCATGGCTTCTGTTTGTCATTTGAACGGGGCTTATATTGATGGCCTCCTGGGAGGGCAGTGACTCAGGCTAGTGTAAGCATCCATCCCCCATACGTCATGTAGACATGACATCACCCATCCAGGGACCTGGGCACATTTGTGGAGTGGAGGCCTTGTTCACAGCTCTAATGGAGTCTGCTTTGTTCACATTCATGCCTTGGAGCCTGACATATGGTTCCAAGGCATCCTTCATAGCAGACTGGCTCAGTAAAGAGGATCACAGGGAGATTGTGCTTTCCATTCTAGATGACATAAACTTTCACTTATTCACTGTAAATTCTTATAATAAAACTAGGTTCTTATAGATTTTCTCTGGAGTAGTATGTTATGACATTTTCTCTCCTTCCTCCACACCTTCTTTTCTTCATTCCATCCATCTCCCAAGCTTTATAAATACAGTTATGTCCCAACACCATGTCATATACTCAGAAAAGCAAAAGACAGCTCCAATTTGAAGGAACTCAGAATTTAGTTGGAGAATGATAAGTGTATGGGCAGCTGAACTATAATGTGAAAAGTCCATCAGAGTGGGGAGTGAGGCAGCTGGGCTGGTGTTGAAGATGCTGGATGTCTGTAAATGCGGTTAGCCATTGCTTAGCTAAGAGCAGTTGGGAGGCAGACTCTCTCTCTCTCTCTGTGTATGTGCTTCTGGGGGTGACAAAGTGATGAAGAACATTGTAGAAATGGAAATTAGTGCAAAGGCAGGGAGTGGTGAAGCAGTTTGGCTTCATGAGGACAGTGTCTATTGTTTCTATAGCTGAAGAATGTTGTCTATGGCTGGAAAGGGAGAAGGCAAGGGTCAGGTATGGGTGTGTTTCAGAGAACTTCCTAAGGGGTGAAAGACTACATTTATTCATAGATATTTTTCCACAGAAGCATGGCTGTCACTCCTGGGGTCTATAAGAAGGATTGGCAGGAAGTGTAGCATGCCCCCAAACCTTATAAAACCCTCAAACTCCAATAGGCAGAACTGTCACATTACACAGAGGGGCTAAGGGGCTTTCCCAGTGGCTCTGGGGGAGGCACATCGTTGAAGGTGATTACCCATTGACACCATGAACTTCTGGATCTTGAGAGGGCCACCTGCTGAGAGAAGGATGCTGATCATTGAGCTTCTGTCTATTTTGGCCTACAAAGTGACCTTGGGTGGACAAGGCTCTTGATGTCAAGGGCCAGACAGAACCTGTGGGAAGAACTAGCACACATCTGGGGCAGACAGGAGGCGTGGGGCTTGGCCTTGTAGGAAAAGGTATTCCATCTCTCTTCTTTCTATACTCCCCCAATACCTCAGGTTGTGGAGGAAGGGCTGCTCAGGCTGGCCAGGAAGGTTTTGTTTTCCTTCCTCACTGAGTTTTAAGGGCACTTATTTGAAAAAAAAAATTCTAAGTTCTGAAGTGCTAGAGCCAGTCGTCAACAACCTGACTCATAGAAGTAATGAAACTCCACTCTCTGAAAGAGGATATTGTTTGAGGCAGGCCAGAAAACACTACTCAGTTTCCAAGATGTGCCTCGAGTTTCTGATTTACTCAGAAATGCCAAGTGTACACGCAGACCAGAGGCAGTAGTTGCTATCAACATTGGCTCCATCCCAGAGCGTCCCACTCCTTTGGGCTGATTTCTTTACCAGAGGGAGGTAGTTGGACTGGTAGATGGAACAAAGGCTTTGGTTCAGAGATGAAGGGGTGGGGTTGCAATCCCACCATTAATCACGTCACTGGCTAGTTAACCTTGAACTTGAACCTCAGTCCTCTACAGTCTAGGATGGAGATGATACCTTTCTCATAGGATTGTGACATAATACATTAGAACATCTGGTACTACACTTAGCCTATTTTATAATTTTGCCTAGTCAATACCCTTTCAAGAAAAGCACACGAGGAAGACCCGCATGAATACCAGGAAGCTTAGCTTAAGAAAATACTAACCCTTGGCCGTGAGGTGTTAATTCACACAAAGTACACAGCAGAATGCCAGATGCAGGTAAGCACTCCCAAATGCAGGCAAGATTTCAGCTCATTTACTGAGTAAAACCTCAGTCCTGGAAATTATTTGACAAACTTTTGGGAACACGACACTGAAGCAGGAGAAAAAACAAAAAGATCCTCCACCCCTTCCCTGAGCCATCAGAATCAATGTGACCGAGTTCCTGCACTGGCTTCAGAGCAGAACTCCCAGGGCCTTAACTGAGACCTAGTGAGAGATGCATCTTTCCAGGTGGGTTCCTGGTTTCCTAGCCTGTGTCATATTAGAAAAGGGATTGCAGGTGTTAGAACCTGAGGCACAGAAAGCACTGACTATTGGTGGATTAGCAGTATATTTCCAGGAAGGATTAAAGTAAGGCACTGGCACCCAGGACACCAAGTACAAGTTTTGCCCTCAGGGCTGGATTTGGGTATTTTGAATCTTTCAGAAATTCAGCAGATCTGATGACAAGAACCTCCTTTAATATTGTACTCTGGGCACCCCATTCACCTCACCCTTGTCCAAGGTATGAGCAGCACTATTAGTGACTGACTGACAGCAATGGAGGGACTATAAGTTAAGTAAAATGATCATGAGTTGTTGAAACTGTTCCATACAGAAAGATCACCCTGTTTGGAAAGAGTGGGTGTTAAGAATGGCTACCAAGAAGGACTTCCTCAAATGCAAAATAATTGTCACTTATTGCACACACACAACTCTGGTATTATGAAATGTACTGTGTGCTCATTATCCCTACACCCTAATAAGATAGCATTTGTAATCCCATTGCTCACAGGAAAAAATGGAACCTCAGGAAACTCTGAAGCTACTTACATGGGTGCAGTGGGCAATGAGAGAGTTTACTCACTCTGTCTGCATCCCCAGTGTCCCTCCCACCATGCCCTTAGGTTTGGGAAGTGTTCCCATGGTAACCCATGGATGGCTCTAATCTTACAAGTTTTCTCCCATCTTCATCTCCTGCCATTCTCTCTCCCCCTGGCAGACTAAACTGGAATGGTAGTTGGGCCTTTTTCTTGCTGTTCCTTGAATAATCCAAGGAATGGAAAGAGATTTTGCACTTGCTGTTGTCTCTGCCTGGGATTCCATTCTCCTAGATCCTTTCCGGGGGTCCTCTTCACCATTCAAGTCTCAACAGTCACTTTTCAGAGGGGCCTTCTCTTGCCAGTGTGCCCTTGCCCATATCTAAAGGTCTTGTCTGGCTCCCTTATCTCTGGAAGCACTCGGCACCTGGAAATCTGGGTCTGTCATTCTTCACAGCTCTGCTCTTGGCTTTGGAGACCAAGGTCCACTTGGTTCTCAATGGACATTCATTTAACATATGAGTTCTTGGGCTGATTTTAGGATTTTACATGGTCTATGTGTCCTGCAGCTATAGCTGTAAGGTGAGCACCTTGTTCTTTAACATAATTTTTCTGTCTTTCTTCCTAGTTAAGTGTCCTGAAGGAAGCTATTCTCGGAATGAGCAGTGCGTTCCCTGTCCTATTGGGTTCTACCAAGAACAGGCAGGCAGCATGGCCTGCATCCCATGTCCTGCAGGCAGAACAACAGTGGCTATTGGAGCATTCAGCCAGACTCACTGTAAGTCCTATAGAGGCTTCCATGAATGAGAAGCCTGCAATGCAATGACCACCGGAGAGCTGCCAACCTCGGTGCTGTGGCCGTGTGGGGATAGATGTTTCTATATTGGGAGACTGTCCTGAGTATGGGAGGAGGTTTAGTTGCGTCACTAGGTCACATCCATTCCCTGCCAGCAGCACCACCTCCCCCAAGTTGCGACAACCAAACATGACTCTAGACATTGCCGTGTGTGTCTCTCAGACAAGGGCAAGGAACCAAATTGCCCACTATTGAGAGCCACTGGGCACACAGCACAATAATCAAAGTATCCACCTTCTTTAAATGCCTATCCCCACCAGACCCTGGGATGGGTGACTTACCTGCTCTGTCTCATCCAACCCTCCTAACCTCTTCCAGGTAAGTAATGTAGCCCACATTTTACATACAGATAAGTAAAGCTCAGAGAAGTGAAGTAACTTAACTAAAGTCACGCTGCCAATACAGCTGACCTTTGAACTAGGTTTTATCTGATTCTGAAACTTCTGATTCTTGTAAGTGAATCTTATCAGATCAGGAAGTGGAAGATACTTTCCGTGCATACTCGTTACCATCACTATTCCTACCACCACGACACTTATGTTCCTTTTGTGGCCCTGTGTTTGCCAGGATTATACGTACGTAGCCTTCCCATATGTCATGTGATTTCACTTGGCCTATTTGCTTAACAGTCACCTGTGTATTGTTGGGTTTTTCCTAGCAAGGACCCATGACTTGCTTTGGGCACATCTTTCCATGTTAGTCTAAAATTGTGTCACACGAGGCAAGCCCTTCTTGCTTACAGTATGAGTAACTTCCAGAGCTTTTAAAACAAGCAATCAAAAGAGATCAAGTCAAAAAGAAAAAAGAGAGATCAACAAGTCATTTTCTTTGATATGGGCAGTTTCCCTGGTCAGAAAGGCAGTGCTAATAATTCCAGAAAGTTGAAGTCAGAGGATTTTTGGAGGTGGGAATCAGCCATTACCCAAGAGCAGAAACCTCTCCAGCAACTGGTGTCCTTGACATTGGGCATCACCATCTGCTTGTACACACTGACCTCAGCCCCCATGGTTGGAGATAACTTATGCTAAAACCATGCCAGAGGAGCACTGTCTTAAAAGGGCATCAACGTCATATACTACACCTCATTTATGGAGGGAATGTGATAGGAATGGTGGGGAGCAGAGTACAGAGGCAGAGGCTTGCACCAGCTAGAGCCGACTTGATCCAGACCCAGCTGCATCCTCTTACTGGCACTGTCTACAAAGTCACCTTCCTTCTGTGTGTGTCAACTCTGTCATCTACTAGATAAGGCTGGTGATTCCTCACTCATAAACATGCCTTAGTTCAGGCTGATCTTACACGTGACCACAGACTGTGCAGCTTAAACAGTAAGCATTCATTTTTCATTGTTCTCATTGTCTGGGGGTAGTGTGCTGGCATGACTGGGGTGTGATGAAGGCTCTCTGTCTGGTCGTATTCTTACATGGCCTTTGCATGTGGGTGCACAGAGCCTGCCCATATTCCTCATGGAGTAGTCCCTGCTGGTGCTCCACCCTCAAGACCTCATCTCTACCTAATTATAGCTCAAAAGCCCCACCTCCAAATACCATCACATTGAAGATTAAAGCACTAACATAGAAATTTGGGGAAGAAATGACACAGCATTCAGTCAATAACAAACCAGAGTCAAAGTGTTTAATGTGACAATAAGCAGTCAGCCCCACCCTGTTTTTTGAACTTTCTCTGTGGTAGAAAAGGGCTGGTCTGCAATCTTCTTTGAATATAGAATTGGGGTTAGTGGACTGTTACCCATGGTCAAGGATGGGATCACCCCTAGGGTTCTGTTCCTCCCTAAGTTCTTATTTAACTCTATCTCTCTGCCTTGTTGCAATCATACTACAGAGAAGTCTGTGGCAGGAGAATCTGCTGAGTTTTAAACAGTGTTCAGCAATTACAGTATTCCCTGGTTTCTTTTGGGTGTTAGCATGGCTTTTAGAATCCCAACTATTCTACATAGCTGAAGTCTATATTCTTACACTTTTCTTGTGTATCTCCTAATTTGGTGAGGCCATGGGATCATGTTTGGAGACCTGTTGATATCAAATAGCTCTTTATTTATTTGTTTGCATGAACTCATGTTTAGCATGTATACCATGGAAACTATTTTATTTAAAAAGTAGACTTTTAACCTCCTCTTCCCAAATTATTATTAATTATTATTAATTAATTATTAATCAGTGGTGTGTAAGTCAACTTTCTAGTCACTGGGACAGAATGCCTGACGTAACTCAAAAGGAGTTATTTTGCTCACAGTTTCAGAGCTTTCACTCAGTTATGGGCAAGGAGTACGTATACATGGCAAAGCAGCTCACATCATAGTGAGCAGGAAGCAGAACACACGGAAGAGCAAGGGCAAGACACAGTCCCCAAGGATCCCCAGTGACCTTTTTCCAATCAGGTCCACCTTCCGCTGTTCCTCCAACTCCCAGAAGTCTAATCAAACTTTGAGTCCTTCAGTGGATTAGGCCATTCATTAGGTCAGATCCTCATGACCTAATCTCTCTGGAAACGCACTCACAGACACACCCAGAGTGTGATTTACTAATTTCCTAGGCATCTCTCAATACAATCAAGTTACCTCAAGGCATATGGTCTTATAGGAAAAGGAAGCATGTGGACTATGTTGCAAATGTGCTGTAATGTAATCAATAATGAAATGGAGGTGGGTGTTGGATACCATTACAGCAGCCATGCTAGGACTGTGGGGCCCAGATGGCTAAGACTTCCAGGAAGAGAAAGTAACTGGAGTACAGGGAATTGACCTATCACTACATTTTGGAGGGAGCATGTGTAATGTGTCAGACAATGAAAAAGGCATTAAGATTCAGTCATGAGCAAAAGCAGACCCAGTGCCCACCCTCATGGAGCTTCTGTGGAATGAGAGGCAAGTAGTTACCAACTACTTATGGAAAAAAAAATGACAACATGCTTCTGCTGTAAAGGAGAGGTGTTGGTCCCAGGGAGAATGTGTAACAGTTGGACAAGTCCTAGTTGGGAGGACCCAGAAGTGTAGCCAGGTGTCTTTTAAAGAACAGAACTTTCTTTATCATAGTTCTGGATGCTGGAAGTTGAGAATCAAGGTGCTAGGAGGTTTAATGTTTGATTAAGGTATCCCAGACTGCACCTGCTCTCTGTTCTCACATGGCAGAAGGTACAAGCATTCTTCCTTGGGTCTCTTTTATAATGTCACTAATCTCATTCATGAGGGCTTTCCACCATCATGACCTAATCACCTCCCTAATGCCCATCTCCTAGTATATCACACGGAGGATTAGATTTCAATGCATGGGTTCTAGGAGGACATGCACATTCAGACTGCAGCAAGAGGACTTCCCTGAGGCCATGAAGATTGAGATGTATCAGCATGTTTTTTTGTTGCTATAATGAAATACTAGAGGCAGGCTAACTTTATAAATAAAGAAGTTTCTTTCAGTTTATGGTTTTGCATGTGCAAGGTCTTGTAGCTACATCTGAAGGGTCTTCTTGCTGGCAGAGTCCTGAGGAGATACAGGGCATTGTACATGACAGTCTTTTCTGGTGTCTCTGCCTCTTCTTATAAAGCCACCAAAATGGAATCATGGATGCTCCACCTTAATGACCTTATCTAATCCTAATTACCTTCAAATTCTCTCCCCCTTCCCCCTCCCCCTTAAGAGTAAATTTCCATCCTTAGTTTAATACCTCATACTGGAATAAATTTCAACCTTTGGGGAGAGAAGCCGTATTGGAACAATAATGTTAATGGGCATGAGTGAGTGGTGGGGGATCCACCCAGCAAGGGCTGGGAGCAGTGTGCACCAGCAGAGGGGCCACTACTTCACCTGTGTTTGAGCAGATGGAAGCAGAAAGTCTGGTGTGCTCAGGACCCAAAGGCAGGAGAAGATGTGTGGAGCTCAGTGTGTCTGTACAGGTGTTGGGATGAGGGGCACTTTATGGATCTTGACAGGAAGCTTGGGTGTCATCTTTTGGAGAGGGTGGGGACACTGAAGGGCTTTCAGCTAGACTGTCTGGGTCAACATGTGACTTGGCTATCTTACCAATGCCTGGTGCTGGGAGTTGGAGGGAAGGTGAGGACTCCAGAGTTCATCCCTGATTGCTATGTCCATCTCTCGTTCCAGGTGTCACTGACTGTCAGAGGAATGAGGCGGGCCTGGAGTGTGACCAAGATGGCCAGTACCGAGCCAGCCAGAGGGACAGGGGTAGTGGGGAGTCCTTCTGCGTGGACAGCAAGGGGCAGAGGCTGCTGTGGTCACAGACAGAGGCCGAACTCTCGGATGTTCAGTGTCTGAGTATGTTCTGACGGGTAGATTAGCCACAGTTGTTGGTGACAGGGGTTTCTGGGGTGCCACAGAAACAGGGGATACAAGGGATGCATTTGTCTCCCACACTCTGTTTTGAAAATGTCAGCCTCCATATACATTGGAATAATGGTACTTTGAACAAATATTCTTTACCTAAACCCAATAATTATTAGTACTTTGTACTTTGTTTCTTAGAATCATTTGAAACTAATTTTCAGACATCATGAGACCTACATACTTTAGTATGCACAAAAGATGAATTTGTACAAAAAATAATCAACTAAAGCTTCCATCCTTGCAGGCAGCTGGCCTCTGTGAATCTTGGCAGCGCTGCATGTATGTGGGCAACACACACATGCACCCACATGCATGCTTATGCATGCACAGTTGTATGCCGTGGAAAGGTTGGGGGTCAGTCCTTATTCATACCTTCTCACTGGGTGACCCAGAGCAAGTCCCTCAAAACCTCTCTGATCCTCAGTGTCCCTCATCTGTTTTCTGAGACATGGAGAGGGTCAACATCATCCCATAATATCAACAAATACCCACTGAGCACTACTCTTTGTTAGGCACCATTTCTCAATGAGGTCACAGGTGGCAAAGTCCCAGATGAATCATCAAATGTCCTACAAAACAAGGTACGATGGAAGTCTGTAGAGCAGACAGGTAGAGCATGGGCTAAGGTCAGAAGTGGTTTAATTCCATAGGTATTCATTGTTATGATGTAGTCTTGGGTGGTCATTTACCCTTGGTGGATTCCTCTTCTGTGAAATGGGGACATCAGTACCTACCTGGTGAGGATGGCTGAGTAAGTACATTAGCAATGCCATGCGCAGCAGAGGTAATGAATGTCAGGACATTTCCTCTAGGTCATTAGCCCCTTCCTTCTGCTCAAGGTCCTGTGGCTTCCCTTTCCTTTCCCATTGGAAAAATCAGTGTGATCTCTGCTTGCCACACTCAGTATCACTGTGCAAGAAGAGGGTCTGGCATAGATGGGCTTCCCACATACCAGCCTATGGTCATCTTAAGGGGTAGATACTATTAACACCAATATTTTAGTTGAGAAAATCCAGGCAAAGGGTGTTGAAGTGCTTCTCCTTATCCTGGTTAGAATATAACATGTCTACAATGTGAACTGGTTTGTGTCTGACTCCCAATCACCTGTGCTTTCCATTGCACCAATCTGTCCTTCTATCTAGATTTATCTACTCCCTCCTTAACACACATGTGCACACATGCATGCAGATGCACACAAATGCACAGTATACACATGCACACACACACACACACACACACACACACACACACACACACAGCCTTCTGTCCTCTAGGGAAGTTGGTAGAGTTAATGAGAATATATCAGAGAAAATCCAAGTGAGAAATTATCATTTTCTAATACTCAAAGCAATCATTCCCTTTATTTAGCAAAGAGCTAACAAATCCCAAGGATTTCTAAGAAATTTTTGTTTGGCATGAGCATGTCTCTGTGCAGCAAATCCAACAAAAATCTTATTCTTTTTCTAGTCTCCCTCCTCTTGGGCAGGGCTAACATCGTGGAAGTTGGAGCTGGCAAATGCTGTGAGAGATCAGTGAGGAAGCTTCCTCCCAGATGAGGGAGAGGGCGTCCACAGAGGGGAGGCCACTTGTCCTATGACTTGAGTGCCTACTGGCCACTCAGGGATTATTGCCTAGCTGCTCTGAGCCCCCTTGCATCTCTGCTATGTGTTGGTCTGAGGATTGGTGCATGCAGTTTGGAGGGCATTCTTGGATTGCTCTGCCCAGCAGTTCAGAGCAAAAACGATGCTTTAATCAGTAGCACAAGAGCATCCATGAGTCACAACTCAGATCTGACAGCTAGAGGATGCCTCTGGAGATGTTGCCTCATGCATAGCCTGCAGGGCATCCTCAGATCTTTGGCTTCTTGTCCAAAGCTTTGAGCTGAAGTTTCGCTTCCTGGTGGTGCAGCGGGATTTCCATGTTAATAAGCTGGCCCCACTGGGACACCAGTTCATCTCTTCTCAGCATTGCTAACTTGCCTCGGAGAGGAGCTTCCACTTCAGGAGTGGAATTTTAGTCACATTTGAGCCTTTTGTCTTTTAGAGAATGCACTGGACTCAGAGGTCAGCTGTATAACTCCCAGCGCAGTGTCACCCTGAGCAGGACTTGCCTTCACCTACCCTATTGCCACGCTCTGTCCAGGTCTCACTTGTTACCTAATCACATTGCTGCCAGACCCTCCCAATTCACCCTCCTGCTCAATCCATTGATCCCCTAGGATGCTTCCAGCAAAATTATGCTAAAAGGCGATTGTGCTTTTGCCATGTCCTTTAAAGTTTTGCAGTGGTCTGCACCACTCTCGGGATATAGTAAAATTGCAATATTATACGTCCTCTCTGGACTCTTGCCACTTTAGACTGTGTGTTCCTTTGGGACTAAACTCTATCTCATTTCTTGTTCTATTCCAGAATGGTAGGCACTTGTTGACAGACTGAATGAATTGTTCCACTTAACTGGGCTTCTTCCAAACTATTTCCTGAAGGTCTTTAGGGAAGTAGATTCTCCCTCCACTAGAATTCCTGTGGCCAATTTTATACTTAGGCAGGGGTCCTTGTAGAGGACAAAGGGACTTGGTTTTTGGTGAGTTGTTAACCATGCATCAGTTCTTCCATGTCATTTTATTTAATTCTCACAACCAGGAAACTGGGACTCTCTGAGGTTGAAATGTGTTTGAATACACAGAGCTGATGAGGAGTGGTGACAAGAGGACCTGACCTGGGCTCACGTCCTCTTTACCCTGCTACCTCCAAATCTTAAATCCCTTCTGTGGCAGCATTGTGGGGTTCCCTTGAACTCTCTATGATACTTGAGTAAATGTGCTTCTCCACATTGCCTTTGTTTATTCAAAGAGCTCATCTGACCTTGACCAAAGGAGATATTTCAAGTTCATCTTCCCTTTAATTTTAGAACCAGTTTTCGAATTCTTTGGTCTTTGCAACCCATGCTAAAGATTTTGCTTATCATATCATGTACCTTTGCAGAGGCACGTGCTTGCCGTTGGAATCATACCACCATAATGTTCTCTCCTGGTTTCCCGGTGTCATAATGATGTTGTTAAACATTCATTTGTTCATGTCTGCATTCATGCATCCTTCCATTCATCCACTCAATAAACACAGAACTAGTGCCACTGTCTCTATGCTAGCTCATACGGGTTCAAATATGATCAGAACATTTTCCTTGCCCCAAGACAGCTGTAAATGTCTGCTAAGAAGAAATTTGGTACATGGGAAATGATACGAACAGAGCATATAAATTTCCAAACTCACTCAGTGTTCCACTGGCCACTTGGTTGATGGATGGTTTCTGCTATGTTGGCAAGAAGCTTCTTCCCAGAGTGCTGCAGTGTGATGATCTCGGTCATCAGCCTCCCTTTTCCGAGTAGCAGGAGATTCTCTCAATGAAGAGCTGAGTTGATTGCATTTTCACCAGGGTGTAATTACAAATGGAAGGACCTTGCAAATTTTTTTTTTTAGTCTCTCAGAATGTTCGAGCATGTGTCTATACCAACTTTGACTTAGGCTTTGTTTTCTCCCTTCTTCCTCTTCTTCCTCCTCCTCCCATTCCTTCCTCCCTCCCTCCCTCCCTCCCTCCCTCCCTCCTTTCCTTCCTTCCTTCCTTCCTTCCTTCTTCATGGCACTGGGGTTTGAATTCAGGGGAATTCAGGACCTCATGCTTGCTAGGCAGGTGCTGTTATTGCTTGAGCCACTCCACCAGCCCTGGATGTACCACTTTGCAAACTTAAAATACTTGGCTACATCAAATTGTTGAAGACTTAAGGCATGCTATTTCTATATTAATGCTTCCTTCTGCCAACTCCATCCCAAAAGGAATAGAGATTTCTTGTTTTTATGTTCTTTTTATGAAAACTGAGAGGGATTGCTTGGGATGCATTAGATGTATCTTCTACCTAGATTTATCTCCTTTCTCATTAAATGCAAATTAACCTATTGACTTGATGAAACCAATGTAGACGTGAGGCTCGATAAAGCAATGGATACAGATGATAAGGAGCACTTATGTACATGTTTATAATGATACCAACAAAGAACCAATACTTATATGCTTTGGGGCTTGCAAATAAATCTTGCTTTTTGATAGTTTCCTGCAAAATATTGACATACTTGGGTGTTTGTGGCTTGGAAGATGGATCTCGCTCCTTGAAAAAAAAACGCCATGAGTTTTTGCTTGGCAAGGAATGAGTTCCAAGTCACATAGGCTTGAAAAACTATCTTTCTTCCTCTTTGCTTGTCTGGTTCCATGAGTATGTGGCTATACTATTCCCACAAAATGGACCTCAAGTGTGCCTATGGTAACTAGAGAAGCAGATGCTTGCTTACAGCTTACACAAACACTGTCTTACAAATTCTTGAGCCACATGACATGGCTCCAATTTACACAAACTCATATGCACATGCCTGATTTTTCTTTTAAAAAATAGCTTACCTCATTTCAGAAAGTATTCAAGTTGTTTTAGGGAAAGAACATTTTCAATAAAATAATTATGTGTTATAATTAGCACACAAAGTCAAGGACAGGGAGCTATAAGTTTAGGTAAAAAAAATCAGAAGCAATGGGAAGAAATGAGTGGAAAGGCCTAATATAGTACTAATTTTTCCTCTTACCTCCTGATAATGAGGTAGAGAAAAGGAGTTGTGGTAAGTTATAGTGCTCAGTGTCAGATGTGAGCTCCTTAAGGACTTGCCCTGCTAGGGTCATTTGTGTGACAAGCAGTGTGAGTGGAGACATGGCTTCTTGATTTCCTATGACTTGACTCTTAGCTTGCCTTAGCACTCTTGGGCAGAATCTCTATATCCTTCAGAGACAGATTTCATAAATCCATTTTATATTTTCAGTGATGCAGAAATTTGAGAAGGCTCCAGAATCAAAGGTCATCTTCAATGCTGACACTCCTGGGTTGGTCAAGTCCAGAATCCCTGGTTCTGAATCCCCACTGGTACAGTGCTTGGCAGGTAAGGGCTGTGGAGTGCTGCACATAAGGAGAATGTGCAGAAGATGATTTGCTGATGTTGGCAAGACACACCAAGTCAAACCACTCAACCTATGATGAAAAATGCAACTTGTCAAAAACATTGTTAACCAATTGATTTTTAAAATGAATGCTCAATTCACAACTTCATTGCAGAGTTTACCATGTATCTACTAAATGCCAAGATTTCTACTAAATGTCAGGGAATAGAAGTGAGCAAACTTGGTTCATTGTGGAGCTATTTGTCCAGGTTGGAGTATGCATCTGTCTTGGAGAGGTAGTGATAACAGTTATTTATTGAGCATGTATCTTTATAAAGATTAATTGTCCATACCCATTGTGTCTATCCATATAGTAGACCTTGTTATCCCAAGTTACAGATGGGAAAGAGAATTCATTGAGAATGTAAGTGGTTTGTTCCATGACACAGAGCTCAAAGCAACAACCTACAACTGAAGCCCAGGCCAATGGATAGTAATGTCTGCAGTCTCAAGCATTGTATTATACCTCCTTCTGTGACCAAATGTGACAGAGAAGTGAGCCAGGGAAGCTTCTGAGTGTGGACTGTTCTGCTAGGGCTAGGGGGGCACAATTGATCCCATAAGAAGCACCAAAGAGATTTTATGGAAGGTTATGGGACAATGTAGAAGAAAGGAGAATGAAGTCATTTTAGCAAGAAGAGAGGTGGATCCTGTTGTTGGTAGGAGAAAGAAACTGGTAAGAAAGCCAAGGCCTCTAGAGAATCAAACTACATTATGAGAATGAGAGGGAGGTGTGGTCTAGTGGGCATGTGCCCATATGGGGGACGCTATGCTTGGGCCAGGGCAACAGCCCAGGGTCTAGATTAGCACTGGACCAACCAGAGTAGAGAGTGCTGACTGCTGACTGGTCTGATACTGATTTGGAACGCTTCTTGTTGTACTGACCTTGTCCCGGAGCCTGGAGTCAGGCTCTGCTTGCAGTGAGGACCAAGTTCTTTTAGTTGAGGGCTGGCCATAGGGCCAGAAGTAGGTGTACCAGTGGGAATTATTTTCTTGGGGTTCTGAATGGTCCAGGTAGTTTATGGGCCAAAAAAACCACCAAAAACCACTTTCTGCTCCTTAGTGTCTTGTTCACAAGGCATTGGCACAATGGGTATGGGGGGGAGGTAGAAGCCCCAGAGACCACGCTTACACACAAACTGGATTGTGAAGCCATGACTCGTGAGCTGTCCTGCTGGAGAAAAGGAGCACACTTTGGTCACAGGATTTGAGGGGAGCCCTTGCCCTGCAGCTGGCAAGGGGTGGTGGGGAGACTCAGGGCCTGCTGCAAAGGCCCATGAAGGATTTCTCTGCCACTTCCCACCCACAAGACCTTGCTAAGTCAGTCTTGGTTCCTCGTCTCTTAACTTTACCTCTTCCTAATGCAAGAATCCACATGGCTGATACATGTGAGAGTACTCTGTACTGATAACACTTTCGTAAATTTCTTTTATTTCAGCCAACTTATATTTTTTATCCATACATCCTATCCTGATCAATCTTCAGTTGCTATCCTTACTCATGAATTTTACATACTTAAATATGGCCCATGTTTTTAAAAACTCATTCATTTAGCAAGCTTTTAGAGCCTTCTATGTGCTGGATAGCATGCTTCATGCCTGGATACGTGTGAACAAAAGCAGCTCTGGCCCCCGCCCACCCTTGTGAAACGTGGAGGCACCTCATATAATCGGGGAGGGACCTGTTGTGAGAAGTGTGGATGTCATCACATCCCCAGGACGGCCATCAGCTCCCAGGGGGAGGTGGAGCCCAGCCTTGAACACAGCTGTGATACCTGGGCTTGGTCCTCACAGAATAGAAGGAACTGAAGTGTAAAACACTTTCAGTTTAAGTGGGTGCAGCTTAGTGACTACCCAGGCTCTCAAGTCCCATGACTCAGATTTAATCCCAGCTCTACTGCTTGGTGACTTTTTGTCTGGTGGTGCAGAACTGGACTGCACTTCAGTTTCCTTTCCTCTGGGATGGGTGTCATGATTCAGTGACACAGAAAGCACTTAACACAGTGGGTGTGCAAGGTGTCTCTTCAATAGACCCCTGTGGATGGGTGTTTGTGTGTATTTATGCTTGTTTATGTATGCGTGTGTTTGTGTCTTGGTATATGTATTCAGGTATGTTGTGTGTAGTTGTGTGTGTGCTTATGTGTGTGTATTTATGTATTTGTGTGTGTGTGTTTGTGTCTGTGTATATGTTAGTGTGTATTTGGGGAAGTACACTTGGTTATGTTGTATACAGTGTATTTGTACACAGTACAATTCTGTGTGCTTGTGTGTGTATAGTGTGCATGTTTGTGTACAGTGTGACTGTGTGTGTACAGTGTGAGTCTGTGTGTGTGAGTCTGTGTGTGTTTGGGCATGTGTGGATACTGTGTGAGTGTATGTGTGAGTCTAGGATCCCTGCCGGCCGTCCTGAGCACTACTTGAGAGCCTGGTCGTGACTGTTCTGTGGTGCTTGCAGGTTGTGCAGAGGACGAGGTCTGCAGCTTCCTCACAGTGTCCATGACCGGGTCAGAGGTCTCATGTGATTTCTATGCTTGGACAAGTGACAACTTTGCCTGCACGTTTTCTGAACAGGTGAGGTGTGGACCACGTGGAGGTTGTGCTCTTCTTCTATCAGGTGCCAGACATGCTCTGCTGTCCTCTGAAGCCAATCAGATGACAGATTGAGATCATTGATGATAACTTTGGAAATTGCATCTGTGCCAGCCAGATGGTGACTGAGGCTGCAGTGGTGTCAGGAGCAACAGCATCTCCTGGAATCTGTTGAAAGGGAGTCTCAGTGTGAGGACACATGTCCTCCTCCCCACACTTACCCTGTCAGGCAGCTGGGACCCTGAAGCCTTGGGATCATTGTTCAGAGCCTGAAATACCATCTACCCCTGAGTCCTGGGCCCCACTATTCCTTCTATTGTAGAAGCAAACTTGTTTATGGATTGAAGTTAAATATTCATCAGAACCACATGAAATTGCTGTTTCTATAAACCAAAGTTGGTAGAAAATTGAAATGTTTGTGGTACCGGTGAATTAGGATAGAAAGGTATCCTGTAAAAGTGAGCCTCCTGTTCTGATTTCCAAATTCCTAAGAACACACAGATCTCCAACTTCTTAAGCCTCCTCTAGAAAGTGTCTAAGTAGTCAGAATCATGTTTTGTTCATATGCTAATATTTTAAATGTGTGTTCTTTTGAACATTGATGTCCACATGAGGCTTATCTTTCTGTGTCATAGAAATCCACTTTCCATTCAATGGTACCTTGCCAATCCACTGGGTGGATGTCCCTTATCAATTTCACACTCCCTTGGGACATGTCAGCTCATGGCAGTTTTGTAACACTGATGCATTGCATAGCCCTGTTCCTGTATATTTGTATCATAAGCTACACCCTGGAGGGGACCTGGAGGCAGATCCCCTGAGTTTTGAGCTCTTGAGCTGGGATCTGTAGCTATGAGATGTAGAGAAGAGGCAGCGAGGGATTTGAGTTCAAAACCCAGTCTACTTGCTTGCTTCTGTTTCTAGCCCCTTGGTTCCTCATATTTCCCATATAATATGTGGATACTGACGGCATTCACATCTCAGGATTGTTGTGAGGACTGAATAAGGTCTTAAGTGGAGCAGCTCACAGAACAATTTCTGTGGCAGAGGAAGTGTTTGGTGACGATTATATGTTAAAATTATCACACATCCCCCCCTACCACCACCATCAGATTAGCAGGGAGTTCTACCTGGGCCACTTATTAAGGCTACTCTCCAGGGACCTACATTCTCCATTTATTCTTAGGTAGGAGCTTAGCCATTGGTCATCCCTGACTGGTTCACCCTGCTTGATGTTGACGTCCCCTGTCCCAGCAGACACTCTCAACTTCCCCAGCTCTGCAACCCCCCAGACTCCACTGCTTCTAGACCAGGCTTGGGTTTGGATGCAGAGGGGACTCTGCCAAGGCAGGAACCTGAGGGCATTTGATTTACCCTCCTCAGGTCCAGTCATCCATCTGGCATCTCATGGCCCCTTGCTCCCTCAGGGCACAACTACAGAAAGGACAAAGGCTCCTGCTACTCTAGGTCACTAGCTTGAATCCCTCTCAGATCTGCTGCAGTCTCTTCCCTCTGTGCTGTCCAAGGCCCCCTGACTCTCCCTCCCCAGGCCTTCATCTCTTTTAGAGAATTTAGGCTTCCTGAAAAGCAAGAGGAGCTGCAGCCTTCAAAGAGCCAGTGCTTCAGGCCCTGCCCTCCAAAAATGCCTACAGAAGACTCCAACACAAGGGATGTGGTCTAACTTATCCCACCCACCTACATGGCAGAATTGCTGAAAATAAGTCAGAGGGGAGACCAGAGATAACCAAGAATGGCAGGGTCTCTGGGGGTCTGATTTCATCACCTCCAAACTTATAAACATTTCCCTGGATAGAAACTGTGTACCTACAAGGCCATCTATGAGCTGGCTCCTGCCTCTTTGCCCCTCTCACTGAACCTACTTCTCAAAATGCCTGTGAAATTCCAGGTCTCCATGTCTGCTGTTTCCTCTACTTAAAAATCCTCCTTCTCTTGTTTCTGCCTGGCTCTTACTCATATATCAGAACCTTGCCCGATCTCTGAGAAATGTTCCTGGGTTTGTTTGTCAACAGAATTAATCATTCCTGTCTCTGTAATGGCCTTCTCTCTAATCGTATCTCTTTGGACCTAACACTCTGAGATAGAATTTGTTGCTTACATGTCTGTCTGCTCCAAGAGAACGGGAGAAACTAAGGAGCAGAAATCTTGCCTTGCTTATCTTTGTGGTCCCAGTGCCTGGCCATGGCTAAAGTTGGGTAAATGTGGGTCGAGTTGAACTACTAAAACTGCTAAACACCATGGGACGTAACACAGGCTCTTTTCATCTCCAGGAAGATGCTCTCGGGAGCTCAAAGGCCACCAGCTTTGGAAGTCTTACCTGCCAGGTGAAAGTGAGAAATGGAGATCCAAGTTCTCTGGCTGTGTATCTGAAGAAGGGTAGGTTGGTGAGGCTGATAGCTCGGGCCTGAGGGGCTTTTCTTGGCCACGTTTGGAGATGGTTTCCAGCAGGTGGATTTAGTAGGGAACACACTATCCCTCACCCAACTCCGTGCACTGGGCCTGCCTTCTCCCAAACCAGCACTGGCAGGCTGAGCCCAGCTGCTTCTGCAGACAAGCAGGATCTCCCAGCAGCTGCAAAAGGATTTTCACACCACATTGATTTGGATCATCAAATTCCATCCTTACCCAACCCTTCAGGGGCTGTGAGTCTTGTTCTACAGGTGAGGAGCTAAGCTGCAGACATGCATAGAGCAAACGTGCAGGATCTGAGCAGGACCTTGCCCTCCCAGCTTGTGTGCCCTCCTTCAAGCCCGTGATACTGCCTGTAATGTGGGCATCCCAGCAGAGCCTGGACTTACTCCCTGCAGCTGCCCCTCTTGGGAGCCTGACTCCTGGAGCTTCTCCCTCTCCCTCCTCCCTTGACATCACCAGACATTTTCATTCTAACCAATTCAAACCTGGAAAGTCTTCTTTCTCCATCCTTCTGCTTTGGGGACCACCTCCAGCTGTCGCAGATTGTGAGCCAGTAAGTCGGGGAGGGTGCAGATGCTGCTTTCCTAATAACCCTCCCAAGGCCTGGTGGCCGCACTGAGAAGTAAGAAGGATAATAGTTTAGAGTCTACAGCTGACTTTGCCATTCAGCCCTTCACTTCACCTTCAGAGAAACTTGCAGGAAGACATAGGGGGAACTAAATACCTTTATTATCACATGATGTTCTGTTAGCTAGTTGGGAACTGGGCTTGAGCCTCAGTATGTCTGTGTCCTCCTGCCCCACTGCACAGAGGATGGCAGGGAGACAGTCTGGGCTCCTGGTAGCCTGCAAGGAACGAGCAGCATCTCTGTAGAATCCTATGGCCTGTGCTCCTCTCCCCTTCCCTGTTAGCCCCCTTCACTTCATCTCCAAGGACAGGAGGTACCATTACTTGCAGAGATCAGTTCTGCCCCATGGGCCCTCACTTCCCTGTGGTTCTGAGAGATGAGGCCCACCTTGAATGTCAGGACTTGGAGCCCACCTGTCTAGGCTGAACCCCACTAAACTCATTCTAGCTGAGTGATCTCAGGCACATTTCTAGACATTCTGGGCTCCCATGTTCTCCCTGGTAAAACAGGAGTCTTACATGGACCCAGGAAGGGGAGGTTGGGAGGAGGTGACCCATATGAAGATCTTAGAGCAGTGTTTGGCACACAGCAAATGCTCAAGAAGCCTGGGACCTTTCTATGCTCACTGTCATTCTTGCTAAGAAATTATGGCTATAGACCCGAACACAGCTAGAAGTGGGACTTGGGGGCTGGATGGAAGAAAAGCAGAGGTGTAATTCTCACAGGTCGCCAGCTCAGGGTTGGTGGACTGGCTGGGGTTCTCCTTGTGGCTCTGTCCTGACTAAGCAGAGAGTTTACGCAAGGCACCAGTGTCTGACAGAGCTCAGGCTTCTGTGATCCATGGCCAGGGCCACTAGAATTTCTGCCTCAGTGTTTATTCTGATTATTTTTGCCATCCATTTTTAAAACAAAATGTAGGAAATGTTTCCTAAAAATAAAAAACAAAATAAACAAGTAGCCCCTGCTGAAAACCATAATTTAGACTTTTTTTTCACATGTAAAAAAAAGTAGTTGTATTTCTTAAGGTTTGTCGTTCTTTTCCTACTTGGGTCCTGAAAGTTTATACTTGGAGGAAGATGACAAGGAAATTGAGAAGACTCCTTGTTGCCAAACTAAATCAAGGACAGAAATCGGTTTCCTGTTTTGGTTTTGGTTTTGCCGTTTTTTAAAATTTTTTTAAGGCGGAGATGCACACGAGCAGCATGCTGGCTCTGTGATCCTGAGAGGAAGGGGGCTGGGTCAGTGATCCACCTCCCACATCCTGGAAGGACCTCCATCTGTGATCAGGAACAACTTCTTACTTTTACTTGAAGCTCAAGTCTCTTTTCTATAAAATGGAAATCATATGTTACTACCAAGGAGGAAAGAACATAGTTTCTTAATGGTCCTTGGCACCTAAAGGTCCAGTCACACCTTTACCCTAAGAGACCTGGAAGATGAGGCCAAACCAAAGGACAGAAACTCCTAGCTTTATCTGTTGTCCAGCACTGTCTGCTCTCTATGTCTACTTGCTCTCTGTGAGCCTTGAACCTGGAGGAAGAGCATATGAGCTTCAGCATCAGAGGAATTCAGTGCCTGGAAGCTTCTCAGAGATTGCCATCCACAGTTGAGGAGTAGAAAGGTGAAGCAACTTGCTACCTACTATATCCAGGTGGACCTTCCCCAAATCCTGACTTGCACCAGTATCTGGTATGTCACTGGGCACCCACTGGATTATAAGGACTTTTATGGCCCTGTGGTTGCAGCTGTGAGCAGCACAGAATTACTGAGTGGCCAAGGAATGAATTCAGCAATGCCATCAATTCCAAGATAAAAATGTACTGGACGATGGGACAAGGATGGACATGAGCTGCTGTAGGGTGGTCAGGAAAGGAGCCTCAGAGATGGGGACATTGGGACTGAGACCTGAAGGATGGAAAGGAGTTTACTATGTGAAGGTCCCAGGGTCCTCTGTGGAACCTGCTCTTTGTGGAGGACACCAAGGTCCAACTGAGACTTTGGTTTTGGGAAGTGCCAGGCCAGCACTACCTAGCAGAACTGCAGTGCGGAAGATGGTCTATGACCCAGTGCTGTCCAAAGTGATAGTCATTCTCATCACATGTGACCTTTGAGTATTTGGGATGGGGCAATTGCCACATTGGCTTTGATTCTATGAAGTTGACAGAAGGTGATAGGCAGCTAGTGACTACCGCATGAGACAGTAGGAACTCGCAGTCTGCAAGGCAGGCAGACACTGGCACCAGTAGCTTAACTCCTCATGGCATGGATAGAAACGCTCCAGGCAGCAAGGGTGAGTGAGGCCCACTCTGAACGAGAAGACGCTGGCATTTTGAGATGAGTAAGACACCTGAGGGGCGTAAGCCAAGCGCCCAGCTCATTGCTCAGCCCCTTCCTGTGCCATCAGTATTCAGCTTCTTCTACATCTATGCAAATTACATGTTCACATCCCAGTGTGCAGGCAGGGAGCAGAGCTCTGAGGAATAAGGGACTGACTTGGTGGCCCTTGGGGTCTGCCCTCAGGTTCGTAGGAACTGAAGCTTTCTTGAGGCCATTTTATTAGCTTTTCCACTGTCCCCAGGAACAGAAGTCAGTGCAGGCCTGCAGCACTGCTGTGATAACAGGTGGTGGAGGGGCATGGGCTCTGGTGTTCCTTATGCCTCCCACCAGCTATAGATCTGTGCTAGGCAGTTCATGTTCCTTCCTATGCTCATGAGAGGAGGACAGGCCTTTTGGCTATTGTGCTCTTGTAAAACCTCACATTTGCAAACTGGTGCTCTAAAAGTAACAGGGTTATGGGGAAATGAGAGTTAGGAATAAGGAAAGCTCAGACCATACCACCTTTAACCCGAGGACCAGCACGACAATGACAATCCTGCTGAACAGACCAGCATAGGTTTTTAAAGGTGTTTCAGATTCCTAATAAAGAAAGAACTTCTGCAGACCATGTAAGATAGCAAGGTGGCTTAAAGAAAAGAGCTTCAATAAGGGTCCAGGCTGCTGAGTGATAGAGACAAGGACCTGTCATGTGTAGTGAAGGGAAAATGCTCTGTTGTCCCTTGGAAGGCAGAGTCTCAGGCCAGTGTGAGGCAAGGGGAGGGGTTGTGCTTTGCCCTGTGAGTCTCTGCAGCTTGTTGCGTGCAGCTGCATTTGTCCATGCTGGGTTCCCCTGTTGATATTTGATGACACAGGCAATGACACCCTGGGGGAAACAGTACATAGGGCAGCCAATGTGACTTCAGCATGACAGTGACCCAGGTTCCCTACCTACCATATGTCCAAACTAATTCATGTTACAGAAGAACAGCGACAGTAGGGCAGGGCAGTAAATATGACATGCGATGGTGTAGGCACAGCATGGGACAGAGTGTCTGCATATAGAGATAGACCTTCATGAATATTTGCTGAGAGTAATAAACATAATTACACATGCCAGTTTTCCAGGTGCACCATTTAGACCCTCAAAGGTGTGGTAGGCATTTGGTCTGCTAGTTTTAGGGTCACTACCTGGTTGGATCCACTATCCTCCTGTCCAGAGGTTTCATGTCCCAGATTGTGACTCATCTTGATCCCCACTTTGCCTCCAGCATGCTCAGAGCTGACAGAGCAGGCTACCCTTTGAGGTCAGTAACCTCTGTTCAACTCTGCAGGGTTTTGAAATCTTTTAAATCTTTTGTCTGTCTTTCTGTAGGCCAAGAATCTCCTACAACAGGTCAGAAACGCTTTGAACCAACTGGTTTCCAAAATATGGTCTCTGGGTTGTACAGCACCATGGAGTTCTCAGCCTCTGGAGCCAACCTGACAGATGCATACCTCTTCTGTCTACTTGCCTGTGACCGTGACTCCTGCTGTGATGGATTTGTACTCACGCAGGTCAAAGCAGGTAAGGCTGATGGCAAGGCCTAGCCTAACAGAGGACAGGGAACCTGTGGGATGCAGAAACCAGGACACACAGCATGGGTGATACCCACGTGGTAGAAAGTAATATTCACACACAAAGTTGGAGACAAGTGCCTTCCTCCCCCCTGTCACATACTGTGCCAGCCACTTCATGTTGTCACACTCAAATATTTCTTATTGCTGAATTTAGTTTTATAAACCAAGAAACAGAGACTCTGAGAATTAAAATCATTTTCTCAGGGTGAGATTGCTTGCAAAGTGACAGGACTGGATTTGACCTGAGATGAACCTTCAGCAGCATCTTCCTACCTGTGGAGCAGTGTCCAAATTTAAAAACTCAAAGTAGTTTTTCTTTCTATGGCCGTATAGAAAGACAATAAGCTTGGTCAACAATAAGCTTTAAGGGGTCACTGTATGTGGACAGCCCAATGTGCTGTGTGCTAGGAATAGAGAAAAGGCTCTTTAACATGGGGTGAGGCAGGTTGTACAATGAACATTCATTCATTCATTCAGGCCTGCACACTTTCATTCATCTCATATGTGTTGAGCCCTACTTAGTCAGGCTCGGTAAACAAGGCAGTGTGTGATGAGATCCAGTGCAGGTAGGAGGTTTGTGGAGTGTGAAGGAGGGTGAAACCAAGGGCACTTGGTGGTCTTCTGGGAGAGGAGAGACTAGGCGAGGTTTTGTGGGATGAAAAGCACTTAGATGACGAGTGAGGTATGGGATTTTGGTTCAGAATGGGCATCCCTGGGAACTAATCTAGAGGCTGGGAGACTATCTGTGTTGAACAATATTAACTGAGACATTGAGTTTCTTAGTAAGCAGGTGTTTATTAAGTATCTACTGTGTCTTTCCCCGGGGCTGTGGCCAGCTCCAGGATCTCCACGTCACTCCCTCTGGTGAGGTTGGAGGGTCTCTCCTGAAAGGACCAGCAGCCTCCTGGGAATCAGAGCCTGTTGTTGCCACCTTCCAAGGAGCACTTCCCTTTCCCTTCCTCCTCTATCTCTTCCTTTCTTCTTCTTCCATTTCCTCCGCCCTTCCTTCTTTATTTCTTCTTTTCTTCTTCCATCCCTCCCTCTTTCCTCCTTCCCTTCCTTGCTTTCTTATTGATCTCCATTGTCACAGTCCAGTGCCTCCCTGGCTCCCTGCTCTGAGGCACATGCAATGTTCTTAGCCCCTCCCCCTCAGCCTCCTGGCTCTCTGTAGCTTCTGTCCCAAGCTCTCCTTCCCTACTCTAGCCAGACCCAGACCTTTGAGGTTCCATCTTACCCCAGCAATTCTCTTCTGCTAACTCCTCACTCTCACTTCTTGTTTACTTCTTGTCATCTTGGGATCTAGGTTTGCTCCATCCCCATCCCAACTGTCTCTAGTTAGGCCTACATTATGTTATTTTCTTGATAACCATGCCATCTCTTAGCTAATGTCTGCCACCTACCCCTCTTTCTGACTCTAAATTCCCCACCACCCTCACACACCTCTAAGACCTCCTTCATGCTTTCCTCCCTATGTATATGTGTCCCTTTTCTGTAGCCCAGAGCACAGGACCCTCTCCCTAGTAGGTTAGAACTCCCTCAGCTGGGCAATAGCCATTGTCCTCAATCCCTAGGGTGGCCACACACACTGTAGGCACAAAAACAGGACTCACCTTTCCTGATGTACCTTCCCAAGAGCTGGCACCTCTCTCACTGCCACCTACTCTCAGGTCCTAAGGAAGAAAAGAATAATTGTTAATTACTAGGTCATGAGAAAAGTTACTTTGTCTTATTCAGAGAGATAAACTGAGACTTCTTTAAGTCTCAGACAATGTGTAGGTTTTCTTTTGGTGAAGGAAAGGGAAGATAATTCCACATAGAGGGGATACTTATGCAAAAGCCTGAGTGATAAAGAAGAAGATCTATGAGCTAGCTGTGGTATGGAGGCAGGGAGAAGCAGTAGGAGGTAAGTCCTTGGCTTAAGAAGGCAGGGCCATGCCATGGAGAATCTCGCAGGCTGCACTAAGAGTTGTTTCTAATGAGATTCACTGGAAGACACTGAAGGGTTTATTCCAGGAGGTGTCACAATCACCTTTGGATTTGGGAAGCAGCCTGAGGGCTGGAGTATGGAGAAGGTAATGATGGGCTTCAAACAGCTTTTAGTGTTAGTTACCATGTAGGGGAGGCTGGTGATTTGGGTGAGGCTGATGGCAGCAGAGGTGGGGAAAAGGAGACAAGTTCAACAGGACTCTGAACAAGGGAATGAAGGAAGAAAGAGATGGGCAGGAGACTTTTGAGTATCCGGTCACATGGTTGAGTGTCTGCTCCTATAGTGCATAATGGAAGACACCAGTCAGACTTGGTGACATGGGAGAAGGAGATTCAGGAAGGCCAGGAGTCCATTTGGCATACTCTAAGGTTGAACAGTATCTGAGAGGTCCACAAAATGTGGGCTCAGCTTTTAGAGGCAAAGCTCCAGGGTGCAGAGGACAGTCTAGACAAGAGATGTCAGTGGGCAAAGCTGTAGCAGCCTGAGGTGCATCAGAAGGTGTGAGTGCAGTAGGTTTACTAGGAAAGCAAAAAATCAGGAGGGAGAAGATGAAGGGGATGGGGCTGATCCCAATAAACCCACACAAAAATGGTAAAGAATCTGCACAGAAACGCAAAAGGAGCTGCCAGGCAGAAGGAGGAGGGCCCAGGGAGGGACACCCAGCGGAAACTACAGTGGGTGAGTGAGAGTGGGCCATGCAGGAAACTGTCTGCCTTCTCCAGTGCTGCTGAGAGTTCCAGAAGGTGACTATTGAAAATGCTGGCTTTAGTTCATAGCAGTCAGTAATGGCTAAAATGAGAATGTTTTGCTGGAGAGGTGGGACGGGAAGCCAGACTAGAATAGGTTGACTCCTACAACTCCTTCTAGGTTCAACGCCCTGTGATTGCATGCTGTGAATACTTGTTAGCATTTAGACAGGAGGAAATGTTTTCTAAACACACACACATTCACACTCACACACATGTACGTCTTTACGCATATTTAGAAATCCAGGATGCCTATCTTCTGTGGAGACTCCCAACTCCCCAGATGCTCAGTTACTCAACAGACCATATGATCTTTCAAGTTGGAAAGTTTGACTTCATCTTCCTTAGGATCATATATGAAAGAACTTTGTGGTTCTATGAAGCAGCAAGCCCACAAAATCCTTTTTTCCATGACATTTCTTACTGGAGGTTTGCGTGCTTTTCCTCCAAGTCTAACCAGTGATCTGTGAATTATGCTGTGCTGAACAGCCCCCTCACAGTGCAGGAAGTTAACTCTCCTTTGAGACACACATGAAACATCCATCCAGCAATGTCCTCCTAAGGCTCATCCAGTGGCTAGGTTTGGAGTTTTAACTTACAGAACTTTGGCTAGATCTGCTGGCAACCAGGAACAGAATTCCACTACATCCTTCTTCCACACTCTGGAAAGTCACTTAACTTTCTGGCAGATTGCCCCCTTACCTCTCTTTCCTCCCAGCCTCTAACTCTCCAAAGCCTTTCAACTGCCTCCCACCTCCTCCAACCTCCACCTGTTTCTACAGCTAGTTTTTCAAGAGAACTCATAAGGCTCTGACCTTGAATTTCAGTTGGAAGTGGGGCTCAGGGGGACTTGTGTGGCCTGAGGGTCACACCAGTGAAATTGAAGCTGGCATGGTATGATTGATGAGCAAGGTGACCTAGTCTCCTGCTACCTTAGCTTGCAGGCATGAGGACTTTTCACTGACATTCCAGCACTAGTGGAAGAGGAAGCTGCCTGGTTGTGCTTCTGGCCTGAGGGCAGAAGGACTAATACACTTCCTTCTGGTTTAATTCCCTTACTGTTTGCTAGAGAGGAAGGGTGGGGAAAGGGAGAGACAGAGGGAGAAGGAAAGAATCTGGGGACAAGGAAGAGGAACCAACCATGGTGCTCAGGCTCCCATTGAGCTCCCATGGCCTCCTACTGCACTCTTTGTTGCCCTTGCGTCCCACAAGGGCAACAAAGGTGCTTCTTCAGCACCTTGCTGGGCTCTCACTGCTTTCTGGCCATTCCACTATTGTTCAGAACTAGATAGACTATTTTTCCTTTCTGTGCTTCTGTTTTCTCATCTGCGAAATGAGGTAGTCTAACAAGGTCAATGATTCTTGAACCTGGATGTGCACCAGGCCCCCTACAGACACTGATTCCAGAATGCTGTTACAGCTCCCATGTGATCTATGAACCTAGTGAGTCCCTGTTTGATGCCTATATGGGATCATTTTCCAAACTCTCTCTGCATTTTGATATCATCTGTCTAAACACATTGGTTTGGGAACCACCATATTAGATGGTGACTCAGGCCATTTTAGGAAGATGAATTCAGTTTCAAAACAGATTCAGAGTTCTTGTGTCCCTGTCCACTCCGGAAGCATTGTTTCCTGTCTCCAACTACACAGCTCCCAGAGTACAGATGTGCCTGTGTCTGCTGGTCTCCCTCACACCAACCTCTCTTCCCCTGTGGCTCTGTAGGGCCCACTGTCTGTGGACTGCTGACTTCCCCCGATGTCCTGCTTTGCCACATCAAAGACTGGAGAGACACTTCTGATGCCGAGTCCAGCACTACATGTCCTGGGGTGACATATGACCAGGAAAGCCGACAGGTGACATTGCGTCTGGGAGGCCAGGAGTTCATGAAGAGTAAGTCTCTGCCTTTTGTCCATATTCTTTCAATTATTCTTTCCTCAGCAATGGCCTCTGCTAACCTCTTAGGAGCTCTCTTTGCCTCCTGAGGAATTCATGCTGTGGAAGGAAAACATTATCCATAATTTTGCCCAGGAAACAGCCACAGTATCTCTGCTGCCTTCCATCAAAGCACTGACATAGCTCACAAGGCTGCAGGGCACTGCAGGCAAGTTGGCTGCTGGGTGGGTCAGCAGCTCTCACAGACTCACTCAGGAGTTTTGGGTTGTGGGCAGGTGGGTGATCCAGAGTAAACATGGCTGGGAGTCCCAGCTCCTGTAAGTCTCCTCATCCATGGTGTTCTCCTGCAGGTGACAGAAGCAGGACAGGACAAGGACCTTGTAAAGCTGAGGCTGGGACCTGAGACGTGCCGTTGTTTCTGCCTCACTTTTCTGTATCAGGCAATTCACATAGCCAAACCAGAAACCAAAGGGTGGGAAATATACACTACTCCTTTTGTGGGAGTGTTAACCACACTGGTGCATTCTCTGATCAGAAGATTTCCGAATTCTTCGTGTCGCACGTGGAAGAATCCATGGCAGGACACAGGGGTGTAAATGGAGTTAATTAAAAGTTAGGGAAGATGGGCACAAGTGGCTCTCACCTGTAATCCTAGCTACTCAGAAAGCAGAGATCAGGAGGCCAGCAGAAGCCAGTCTGGGCAAAATAGTTCACGAGACCCAATCTTAAACAAAACCATCATGAAAAAGGGTTGGTGGAATGGCTTAAGGCTTAGGCCCTGAGTTCAAGCCCAAATACCACCAAAAAAAAAAAAAGGGAAGAGAATTACATGGTCAGCCCAGGTGGAAGCTGGAAGCAGAGCATTCCAGGTGCTTTTAGAATTTATGCTAATCTATGGGAAGGGAAGAACCTGGTGATTCCCAACTAATAATCAATGAGTGGGGAGAGGCATGGGTGGTCCCTGGGCCAGGTGAGGGTGGTTTTAGTTGTTCTCGAGCTAGGGTGTGGATAAACTACACATACATCTACAATTGAATAGAAGGCTCAGAGAAAGAAAGGAATGTTCGATCTGAAATACAATATCAAGTCATATATTTTCTATGAGTCTCGAACTTTCCCTAACTCTAGCCTGCCTCAGGAGAAGCTGTGAGTTAAGTGCAAAGTGTGCGAATACAAGTAAAGGTGAAGAACTAGAGCCAAAATGCAACCTGACCACACCAGGTGGTGCCTAACTCAATGGCTTCTAATTACAGGAACATGGGGACAATAGCCCTGCATTGTGGATTCAGTAAATAGAAATGACAGTAGAGCCTTCTTCCCCTGCTTTCTTTCCAAAGCTCTTCTAATCTATTTTGAAGACGTATAAACCTTAGTCTAGAAGGCCCCTTGCAATCCTGTGCCCCATTCCTCAATTCTCAGAGATGGGTGGGCACTGAGTGCCTGAGGCCTTGGCCTGTCAGGTCTCCTTTCTTCCTCTTATGTTCCTGATTGTCCCTCCCAGCAGACCCTGTGAAGGGGAAGGGCATTCCCTGCTCTGTCCTGACCTGGGGACTAGGCAGGCCAGTGCTGCCCATGGGGTCATCCAGCAGAATCTGCATCACAAGGAAATGGTTAGACATAAACATCCTCAGGGCCTCCAAATGTATGTTCTACAACTTACCTGGATAATTCTTGGGTCTGCTGCCAGCGAGGTTGAGGCAGCACTGGTGTGCAGAAGTTTCTTGCCAGCCAAGGCTCTGGGTTATAGTGAGAGCAGGGCCCAGGTTTCCTCCTGTCTTTTGGTTCCAGGTGACTGAGGGCAACCTGCCCGTTTTCCCTCCTCTCTGCTCTATTGATCCCCAGCAAATTAACTCAGCACATAGGGCCAGCCTTCGTCTCTACCCTCATAAGTCAAGGTGGGGGCAGAGGCCCCTGGAAGAGAGGGTCAGAGGAGTCATCTTAGTGGGGCTTCTGGAGCCTCTTGTCATTACAAAATGTGAGCCCCCAGGGGCTGTCAGAGGAAATTTCTGAGACTACATCACCATGTTCTGCAGTTCTCAGATGAGATGGTGAGGGACTCATTGCTTCCTCCTCCAGGAGGCTTCCTGAGGACCTGCAGGGGTCATTGCTTCTTCCTCTGCAGAGGGTCCTTCCTCTAGTTCTCTTACTTTCCTCTATCAGGCCGTGTCCTTGGCTGTGCATTTACCTATCTATCATGAATTGCCTGTGATGCAGAGTCCTTGTTTCCAACAGAAATTGTGTGATCTTATGCAAGCCAGGACATCTCTTGAGGCTTAATTCCTTGTCTATGAAATGGGAACACAGGATTGTAGAGCTGCAGGGAGAAGAGAATTAGAATGACAATGTCATAGAAAGGTCTCACTGTGAGTCAGGCGTCATGCCTGACAAAACAATATTTTGAGGGACTTTTGACTGTTGCTGTAGTCCCCGTTTTACAGCTGAAGAAACTAAGGTGATGAGAGTGAGGTAACTTCCCAAGGTTTTTGAGCTTGTGTGGGGGAGGACCAGTCTGAAACCAGGTATCCAAGATGGTGTCTTAGCTACTCCTTCCTTGGCGTGCCCAGGGAGCACATGTGGAGACTTCTATAGTGCCTGACACACATAGTTGACATTGGATGATATTGTTACTATATATTTTTTAAACATCTATCATTGCTCCTTGTTATATTTTAAGATCCAGACTATGCCTTATTAACTTCTGAATTCACACTACAGAGCATAAATTCTGGCATAGAAAACTTACATAGTATCTTTGAAGTACATAATTATCAAAGCCCGAAAAAAATATTGCAGAATTTGATGGGATTCCACGAAGTCTAAATCGTTTCTTTTGGGTGTAAACACAACCAAATAGCTTATTTATATGATGGATACTACACATATGGTATTCATCACTCTGAGAGGTAGCCCAGGGTGAAAACAGGCCTTTCAGGAAAGACAGATGCTAGATTCGTGGGCAATGAATCAGAGGGAATTACTTAAATCAGAGCATGCGCTCAGCATATGCCCAAGGAATGAGGAATGTGCCCTTGCCTGGCCTCCCTAAAAAAAGAGCGATGACTAAATCACTTTTGAAGGCTTTGGAGTTTTTAGTGTTGTGTGTGTATGCACACACATGCATGTATTCTGGGCTGAGGGAAAGGTTTAAAAAGAATGCCCTGTGATGGCGTCATGAGGCAGCCTGAGGCCTATTCTTGGAGGCACTCCAAATTGGAGGTTGCCTTAAGTATAGAATGGCCAGAAGGCTCCTTCCAGGTGTTAGTAATTGGAAAGCCCTTCTTCTCCACAATAAGAGGTCAATGTTTAAATACAAATCACTGCTGGGAAAGAAACAGAGTGGTTTAAATTTTTGCAAAAGAGTGAATGGCTGATAGATACCTTACCTAACAGCAAATATTAACAGAGGAAAAGGGGAGTGAAGATTCTGGGGATATGAACAGTGGAAAAGGAGGACATAGGACAGACTGAAAGAACATGTAGAGGAGCAAGGTATAAGCAAAACAGAACAGAACAAAACAAGGGCCACAATAAACTCTATCCCTCCCAAAGGTGGTTGAGGGCTGACCTTTTTCACCCACTTAACAGTTAGAGAGATGGAAGTTAAAATGTAGACTTTAGCACCAGATGCCAGAATTCAAATCCCAGTGTGAATGCTTGCTCAGTGTCTGGCCTTTCCCAGCCTTGGACTTACCAGCTGTAAAGAGGGGTGTTGATGACTCTGACTCAGGGTAGCTGAGGATGCAAGGAGGCAGACAGGACAGTCCTGGGAAGCAAGGCAGGGGAGAGACTATGGAGCAATGGTTTAGATTTTAAATTCCTGGAATTGCATCATGCTTTTCCCCCATGACTCTTTGGCTTTATTCAAGGCCTTTAGCTACCCTCTCATGGTCTCCATCTGTAAGATGGGGGACATTTTTTATGCTTTATTGAGTAAAGTGCTACATGCTATGCAGGCTGTAGCATAAAACATTGTTTTCTGAGTCCCTGCTGGGAATTCAGTGGAGACTCTCAGTAGGAAATCTTGTTGCCTTTGATCTTCTCATGGCTGCTGCTAGCTCAGCATTTACCTAGAAAGCATCAGTGAATAGGTTGCTGGTTGCAGGAAATTACTGCCTAACAGAACACATTAAATTCAAATAGCAAGCATGCCATATGTGCTTTCAGGTCCCTTGACTCATCCTTTGGACAGTCTACTTCAGAGATGTTAAGATGCTGATGGGAGGAGGGGCTAGAGGATTCAGGGGCCCCTTGGAGTCAGGTGTGAGTAGCAGAGGTGAGGGAGAAACAAGTGAACAGCCATGGGGGAGGTGAGTTGGTGGTGGTCCTCGCTACCACTCTGGCCATTATGCTGTCTCTTCCAGCAGTCACACTAAATGCCTGCCAGGCAGGTGTGAGGCACAGGCTAGGTGTGGGAGTGCAAAGGTGCGTGAAATGAAGGTTTCTGTCGAGGTGTGGATATCATTAGAGTGCACTGGGCCCACCCTTTTCCGTCTTCGTGGACTGAGGAGAATTGTAGGAATGTGGAATATTCCATCAGCACATCTCTTCTTAGTTGTTAGAAAACACTCATTCCAGTCCACCTGCTCCACAGAAGTTTAAGACTCACTTCTAACACCACCCACAATATCTTGAACAGGACTTCATCCTTCTTCCTGCAAGGGAGAGTTAGTTTAGCTATGTCCTGAACCCAGGTGAGTATCCCTACAGTGGGATTGGGATATGGCCAAAGGTAGACTTCGGGTGGAAGCAATGAAACTATGGTAATGTCCCTCAAAGACCACTCAGACACTTGGATCAATGCAACAACATTTATTCACACTTCAAATGCACACTTATAAGGTACAGGAGGGAGTCACAGCATGCTGTCAGTTACCTCACAAGGCACTGTGGCAGGTAAGGCTTGTGCTCCACAAGGGAGCACCACCAAGCAGTCAGTCGTTTGGGCTAAGAATGCCAGGAGCTCAATCTGCTTGGGAGGGAGAACTAGTACATGGCAACAGGTGCCCTTTTTATATGTTTTCTCCTCCAGGGTGTTCCCCTCTTAGTCATTTAGTCCTCTGCTGATTGTCTACACCCAAAGATGGGGGTCCTTGGCACACAGCTCTGGACATCATCACATCTAAGTATGAGTGTAGCCATATTGGGCTGCGTGCCTTAGCAGTCCTGTCCATATAGGTGGTGTCTTGGAGTTGGGGACAGCTGTTTATCTATAGTTCAGAGGTCTGCTAGCTCACTGATTCTAAACTGCAATACACCCAAAGTGCAGACAAACTTTGAAGTTTGTTAAGTAAGACTTTATTTTCTCTACACACAACAAACAAATGCACCCACAAACAACCCCACACAACATCCAGAAAGCATTTTATTTTATCTGAGCCCCCGGAGGAACTTGTTGCTGTAAAGTTTCACTCTTCTGCCTCAGGGATGTGTGCTGACTGAGAATGCTGGACTTCTGTCTAACCTTTATGCCAATGTAGAAAGAAAAGAGGAACCTACCCAGGGTCTTCAGCTCCCACACTTCCCATGGACATCTCTAGATATTTTCAACTTGTTGGTGCTGGCTCCACTGACCTATTTCTATGATTAGAAGGCTTTGCAGACTTTGCAGGCTTTGGAGCTACATGCGGCAAGTTTCTGACACTGTTTGGAAGTATAAATGAGTGAGGTATAGGCAGGATAAATAACCCTTGTGCTCACACACGACTTACCATTTGACAGGCAGAAAAGGCCAGAAATCCTCCTGAGTTGCTTCTGAACCCAAAATGATCAGTGTTGCTGAGCAATTGTAGAGTTCAGCCCAATGTGTGACATTCTTTCACTAGAAAGCGGTTTGTGTCAATGACTGTCATAATCCTGGGGTGCCAGAAGCAAAGTGGGGATACCCACAGTGCATCTGTGAAACCCATTGTAACTAGATGCATCTGGATTAGCTGTCCCTGGAGCACTCAAAATAGGAAGTGGCATTTAATGACCCCATGACACCTGGGTAGAGTGGTTTTTTAAGACAGACCCAACAGCATTCTAACAGCTAAATCCTTCTGGATTTCCAATCAGACTCTTATGAGAAGAATTCTTCAGCCAAGGGACTTCACAGGCTGATTTTGGAATCCAGCCACAGATGGGTTCCTAGAGAGGGCTATCAAGGGCTGCCTCACTCTCCTTGCAGGGGTAGGAGTGATGGTGTGATTTCAGCCAATTCACATCTCTGACACTACTAAGTTCATCTATTAATTAGCTTTCATTATCAGGAAAGTCCCCTGAGAACCATGAGACTTTCCACCTGTGGCCCCTCTCCAGGAGACTAGCTCCTGACAGCAGCTTCAGTGCTACTCAGCCACTCTTGGAGTGTGTTCTCCACTTAGGGTCCTGCCCACTCCACAAACTGACACCACCAGATATCATGCGTCATTTCTGCAGAAGTGTCCCAATGTGAGTGAAGACCACACAGCACCCACCCACTCTTAAGACCAGCTCCATTCTGAGTGCATGGTTCTCGGCGTGGATGTGGACATGTTCCACAGCCTCGGTTGTAGTGTTCCCCATGCTGTGTCAGAATTCAGATGCTTGCTTGGACAGTAGGGACAGTGGTGGCCAAAGAAGGAAAGAGATATCTGGGTGAACACAACCTTGCTGTGTAGTAGGGAAGAGTAGGGATAATGTTTGCCTCACTGCTGTGCACTTTCTCAAAATCGACCAGGGAAGTGTTGGGGAAGGGAGTAAAGCCCAAAAGTCTGCCTTAGTCCTAAAGGAACACCGACTTGGTGGCTGACCTTCTGATGCATGGGAGGACAAGTCTTCTTATGTTTATTTGATGGGCTATGGGTGTGATTAATGACTTTGTTTGCCCTCACTTATCCCTCTTCAGATTCACTTAGACAATGAACACTGGTTCTGTGCCAAGGAATGTGCTGGTGGTAGGTGATATAAAGAAGAATACAGCCCAGTTCCTAGCCTCAGGAGGCTCATAGGACATTCAGGGAGTGGGACACTGACCATAATGTGTGAGACTAAAGGCAGAGATGTTCTTGGGATGCCATACCAACCCAAGAGGGGCATGGAACCCTCCCAACCAGGGGCTTCAGGAAGGCTCCAGAAGGAGCTGATATAGAACCTGATGTAGAATAACCAGAGGTTAGTCAGATGAAAAGGGTTAAGGGCTGAAGGCAGACGGAGAGAATGTGAGGGCAAGTGTCAGGTGTGACAGGAGGCAGGCTCCTCTAGGATGGAGCTGACCTGAGCTGCCAAGAATGTTGCAAGGGAAAAAAGAATAATCCTGTCTTAGTTGGAAACTGAAGCTCTGTAACAAAAGAAGATTGACAAGAGGAAAAACAAGCTGGTTAACACATCTATTATGTATTTACTTAGATACACCCAAGGAATCGATAAATCTCAGATGTGGCATTGAGTTCCAGCTTACACAGCATCTTCAACAAAGAATAGCACAATAGTATGTGTTTTCAGAAGTCACAAGAACAGCCAGGCACTGGGGGCTCACATCTGTAATCCTAGCTACTCAAGAGGCAGACATCAGGAGGATCATGGTTCAAAGCCAGTCCAGGCAAATAGTTTGCAAGACCCTACCTCAAAAAATACCTATCACAAAAAAATGGCTGGTGGAGTGGCTCAAGCTGAAGGCCCTGAGTTCAAACCCCAGCACCACAAAACAACAACAAAACAGAAGTTGAAAGAAAAAGGGAAAGGACTATTGTGGAAAGACAAATAACTGGCAGATACAGGCTAGATAGTAAAGCTTGTTCATGACAATTCCTTTGTGGCCATCGCCAGGTCACAAAGGTCCAAAGGTGACTTCGGTTCTCAACCTTTGTTCTCCCTGGTAGAGGTTATGGATAGGCAACTTTTGTCTTTGTAAATATATGTCCTGTGTTTAGGCCTAGTTTCCCTCAGAGACTTGGCCATAACTAGGACCACTAGGGATTTCTACTTTTCTTATGGTGATTTGCAAAGGTGCTTTCTAGGACACAGAAGTCTCTCAAGACTACTGTTAGGTGAACTTCTGGATGCCCTAAGGTGCTCACCAAACACAGGTTGACTTGAATCCAGTGTAATAAGCAAACACAGGACCAGGTAAAGACCTACAGTACTTCCCAAAGACGCAGGGTGCACTGCCTTCAGGTGAATGAAGTGTCACAGTTCAGTGCCTCTAAGTGGATCTAAACCCCGTGTACACTTGCTTAGGACAGCTGTTCTTTGTTTGGGTGATGAAGGTCATCTATGATTTTCAACTTTATTTGAAGCAGGACATATGCAGACAAAAACAAGATGGTCTAGACAGAGCAAAGGGACCAATTCACCTCAAATTAGAAACAGTGGCTGTTTAATGAACTGTTTCTTAACATGGTCATCGATTTAGCCTTAGATTTGAGAACGAATCTCTACTCTAGAGATAAGATGCTGTTTCTCTGTATTTTATAGGTTATATAATAAATCATAAAGCACAGTCAAAAGTATTTGAAAACTTTTTATATTTACATTAATAAAATATATATCCACATTTCAACTAAAGGTGGATTAAAAAATATCTAAAACTAAATTCTCAGGTTTCCCTTGGACAAAGTCTAAAATTCCATATCCTGAACTTTATGATAAACAAATGCAGACAGCAGAAGAGGGAGTGAAAATGGAGCACATGCTGGGGAAGTGGCCGCCTGGTCTGTGCCATTGTCAGGCGGGTATGGTGTGGCCTCAGTGGGGTGGAGAAGTCTCAGGATGTCAGAGGTCCGAGGCTTGGTCTTCCAGTTACACAGCTTATACTTCCTCTGTTTTATTAATGACTTCTGCCCTGCGAAGAAGACTATGACAGATGCTGAGTGGATCCTAGGGGACAATCACTACTTGGAGAGGTAGATCTTTAAACTCAGGAATCTTTAGAATTCTTTTTACCATTTTGAGTAGAAAGAGTTATAAAATATGTTTCTTCTCCTGTGTGTTGGTTAACAGGATGAGCTATGGAACCAAATGGTGGAATTTGAATTCTGGCATTAACCTCCCTTGATCTTGGTTTCTTCCCTTGGTCTTGGGGACCTTACCTTACAGCATGATTGTGGAGCTTAATTTAGCAATGTATGAAAGGTGCTCATTGCAGTGCTGGATAAACAGTAGTAACTGTTTATTAATAACCAGCTTTTAATAATAATTAGAAATAAAATTGGATCATTTGTTGGTGTCTCAGGTTTTTACCCCACTGTCTCCTGAAATGTGTGGGGTTGTTTGTCTCCACACGTGGGTTTTCTAAGCTCTTTTCTCAGCCCTCTACATTCATAGGGGGGATTGACAGGATAAAAGGGATGAACAGGGCAAAAGAGGAATATTGATCATTAATTAATGAGGTAGAGAGGCCAACCTTGTCCAAGATGATATCCAGGGGAGGAGGGTTTGCCAGAAAGAAAATTTAATAATGTTAGTAATGAATTAAATAACAGCAGCTGCCAATAGTGGGGTGCATATCAAATGGTGAGGACTTGAGAAGACAGCTTATGTACATTCTCACCCTCACAATGACTGTCCCCATTTACTCAGGAGGCAAGACTCTAAGGAGTTAAATGACATGGAACACTAGCTTTCCAGTTTCCCAGGAGCTTTGTTTTCTTAAGCAAGTCCTCAGCTCCTTAAGTCACTCTCCTGTGTCACAGGTCCATAACCCTTCAACACTACAGACCCTCTGATGCCTTGAAACTGACACCTGAAGTCTGACCTGCTCTGGTTTTGTGTCAGGGGCCAGAATAAAGCTCTATGAAGCTTTTGAGGGACCCCATGTGGGAAAGAGAGTGCTCAGGCCAGGAAGATTTGGGGAGGGTGGGGTGGAAGATAGGGCATTTGTGGTAACAGTGGGTACCCCATGACAGCCAAGCACATTCAGGCTCATAAAAATCAATAATCTTCCTTTGCAGACCTGACACCCCTAGAGGGGACTCAAGACACTGGTACCAGTTTCCAGCAGGTTTATCTCTGGAAAGGTGAGCTCCAAGGCTGGACAGTGGGGTTGGTGGGACATTGGCTCCATGAGATTGACCTCAGCTCTCATTCACAGGAAGCTTGGCTCCTGTATAGAAAGTGCACAGACTTGCTCTCTAAGGGAGTGCTCTCACTGGCCCTAGGGAGTCTCCACTCCTCCCTGTCAGATAAGATACATAGCCTAAAAGGAAAGTGCAGTCTGGAAACCCTAGAAAAGATGGAGGGAGAAAGTGCACAGGTCAGGAAGATAGAACCCACTGGCACAAGCTGCCCTTGTCACCAGGGCAGGAGCTGGCAAACCACAACATATGCTTGTCCTAGGTGACTGGGCCCATGTGCCTCTCTCCCTAAGGCTCTGAGTGAAGGGATGGTCTCCATGCAAGAGGTGCTGTGAAATTTTGTTAATTTTTTCAAATTCCTTCTTGTCTGCTGACTATCTACCTGAGTGGCCTGGGTGGCCCTATCTGAGTCTTAGTTTTCTCTAGATTATATGGAAACCTTATTCCTTATGGTCACTGGGTGCTATGAACACCAGCTTTTATGAGCATTTCATTTACTATAAAGGACAAGTATCCATAATGACACTATAATAGACAATCATAGCTCTGTTATGGAGAGGTTGGCTGACGTTCAGAGCATGTCTAGAATGCAGGGTTGGGCCACTGGATCTGTCCCACATCTGGTCTGGAGCACCTGGCTCTGTCCCATGAGAGTTTGCTATATTACTTCTACCATTTTTCACCAAAAGAGTACTACTCCTTCTCCTAAACATTACCAGTGCTCTTCTTTTATTCCTCCTAGATTCTGATATGGGGTCTCGGCCTGAGTCTATGGGATGTAGAAGAGACACAGTACGAAGGCTAGAATCTCCAACAGATACAGGTATCAATCCCAGATCTTTCACGTACTGGAGTGTCTGCTGTGGAGATGAGATGGTGGTCAAATCCAGGGCAGGGTTCACCTAATGGTGGCCAGTGCTCCACTTATGTCAGTCCTGAAGAGTGTAAGCAAAATGAGAAAATTCCCTTGGCTGGAGGAGTACCTGAAGTTGTAGAGTGCTGGCCTAGCAAGTGTAAGTCCCTGAGTTCCTACCCAAATACTCCCCAAAAAAAGAAAGGGAAGAAAGAAAGAAAGGAAGGAAAGAAAGAAAGAGAAAGAAAGGAAGAAAGAAAGAAGGAAAGAAAAATGTGTTGACCAAAATGAGAATATTTCCACACTGTTTTATGAGAGAGTTGTCTGTAAGGATCATTTGAAAGTAAGTCATGACATTCAGCAGAAGCAATGAATCCAAACACTAACAGGGCCACACATGAGCAGTGTGGGAGACCCTCCCCCACACACCTCCAGAGCCTGCAGTCAGTATTACTGAGGCAGAGGTAAGACTCAAAGAAAGTAGGAGAAAAACAGAGGGGAGGGAAGGGGAAGGAAAGAAAGAAGGCAGAGGGAAGAAGGAGAGTGTCATTCCACTTGGTGCTGCTGAAACAGACCTCCAAAGGCTAGATAATTTAAAATTAATGGAAGTTGATTTGGCTCATGGTTCCAAAGTCTGGGAAACCCAAGCATGAGGACCACATCTGTCTAGGGCCTCATGCTATATCCTAACATGGTGGAAAGCATCAAATGGGCAAAAGAGAACAGGAGGGATCTGAACTCGGCTTTTAAATCCACTCTTGAAATACACTATCCTACCATGTGAAACTGGCATTAAGGAATTCATTGATGAGGGCAGAGAGCTCATGACCTAATCACTACTCGTTAGTTCCCCCACCTCCCACATTCTGCCACTGGGGACTAAGTTTCCAGTACCTGGACTCTGGGGCCATATGCATACCATGGTACAGTGGGGGAGCACTACATCACAGAGTAAAAAGGGTGCTTTAAGACACATTTCTGCACTTACTGACTGTGTTGCCAATGGTAATTTGCTCATCTGATAAGGAATTAGATTCCTCAGGTGTAGAATAAAAGGATTGAACCTATGTCTTATCTCATTAGATGACAAAACACTGCACCTCACTTGGCTCTTAAAAGAAGCCTGGAAAATGTCAGTCCTTCTCCTTCCCAGTGTTTCTATGCAGATCAAATGAGGCAATATAAAGAAACCACAGAAAATCAGGCTCATCAAAGGATGGTATCCATCCTGTCTTTCTTCCTGTATTGCCTGTAGGTAGCAAATTCCAGTGTGGAACCAAAAACAGGGACACAGTCTACACTATTCATACTCCTCTCTCAACCCTCCTGGTGAAGGTGTCCTTCTGCCCTTCCATGGGAAGCTTCAATTTTGATAGCACAATAGGGTGCATCTCACCAGAGAACCCCCTGCTTGTTGTCATAGCCAACAACCAACCTGGTCTCATTTGCACCATGATCGGACCTGTGCTCCTCACTTTTCTGACCTTTGCCCATTGTTGGCAAATTGGCTAATCAACCTCCTAAGCACAGTATTGGCATGGTCAAGTTCACCTGCTCCCTACCTTCATGTACTGCTAAAGACCTCTGACCTCCCTAGTAGGGTGCAGGCCCTGCATTTGGTGCTTCATGTATGTCCTCTCACATGCTGGGGAACCTCTGCTGTTCCATGTCCATTTCACTGATGAGAAATGTCTATCTAGCACTAAGCAAGCAGCAGCCCCAGGATTCAAACCATGGTCAGTGACCCGAAAATATGGGTTCTTCCTGACCCCAACCACCACTGTACAGGGACATCATGAACACAAAAGCTCAGTACCCATAGACCTGGTCAACAGTATTGAGTGGTTTTACTTTGCAGAGAGTACTGCTTTTAATTTTTTTTTTTTTACAATTGAGCCAATAGTTTTAAAAGGAGAGATTTTACATAAAAACTCAGCTTTCCAGCTTCTCTAGAGAAAACCAGGAAAAGGTCTAGACACATTGGCTTTAAGCTTCTGCTGGTGGACATCCTCTAAGCTGAGCCATGCTGAGTTGAATGAGCTGAGCAGTGCTGAGATGAGCCACCCTCCAGTCTGGGGTGGCTGTCCAGTGTGCCCCAATCCCCAATCCCCACTGCACCTCCCTTATTCCCAGCCTCAAGGTGATGTGTATGAGTTAGTGGCACTTGAGGACACCTTTTAAATTCATTATTAAACACCACACCAGGGCACATCTACAGTGCTATTGTGATTCCCACAAGAAAGGTCTCCCCCTTTCATACCTCTCAAAGACCTTGGAGGGATTCAGGGACAGCAGGCAAAGCTCCACTTGGCCAGGTTCTCCCTTTCATAGTTGATTACATTCCTAAGCTTAAGAAGAGTGAGTGTCTGGAGGCAAACCCCAGGGAGGTAGGCTGGTGGCTTTTCCAAGTGTCCTTTCACTCTCTGCTTTTCCACATCAATGGGCACAGACTCAGATTCAAAGTACTGGGGGGTGCGGAGGATGTCCTCTTCCTGCATGAGGCTACTGCAGTCAATCTACGTGTCTGAGAAAGCACAGGGAAGCAATAGGAACAGCCTGCCATCAGCCAACTTGTCCTGGTCTCCTTGCCTTTAAGGGGGTGTGGAGTTGAAGAGACCACATAGGACATGGCCTTTTCCTAACATGTAAACCTGTTAGGAAGTGGCTACAGTGTTCATTCTTCCCTCCACATGGCCCTTAGAAATTCACAGGCTAGTGAGAATTCCCATGTCAGCCATGGCATGATAAGTGGTGGGGTGCAGTGAGGATGATTGACAGGGACAGTGAGAGGCAAGGTGGGAAGGGAGGCAAGCAGCGTGCAAGATACCAAAAGGATCTGCCAGACACTTCCGGGGACACCTGGGAGAAGGTGATCTAGCTAAGAGGAGCTGAGGCTCCAAGGGTGAGTAGTTGAGGGATGTCAAGGGTGTCTTTAGGCTTATTTTATCTCCTATACTCTGCTGTATAGAGAGGCAATCTATGCTCCCCCTCAACTCCTATCTTGTGCTAGGTGCATTTCAGAAGGAAGTTGGGCCTGCAAACAGGACCTCATGAATTAATATCAGCTGTAGTAACCCAAAACACCTGGTTTTGGTAGCTCTGCCAGCAAGAGCTGGCCTTTTTTCCCTTTGGTGGCTGTCACTGGTGAGGATGCTCAGGCTCCATGCTTTGTGCAGTGGGCTTTATAGTGTGGGAAGTGAACTACTGAAGATGCGCAAGTCCAGGGCAAAGGGTTGGGGCATGTATAGAGAATGTAATGTCCCTTATTTCAGATCCCTAAGCTAGGGGACTTGTGAGGTACAGAGCTGAGCCCCTGGCCTGAATGATAGGCTCTTGGCCCTGAAAGCCCCTAAACAGAGCCTCAGAGCATCAGAGCAGAAGGGACAATGCCGATCCTTGAAGAATAATTGGCTCAGTGGGAAGAAAGGTACAGTGGAGGTGTGCAAAAGAGGAAGTGCACAGATAGTGGCTGGGGGATGCAAACAGTGAACTGGAATTGCTGCATGTAAGCACGGAGGTAGGACCCTTTGAGGCAATTGGAGATGAGGTGCAACATGTGTGCAGAGCTTGGGCAGAGAAAAGTGCTTGGACCTCAATGTTAAGGATAGTAGGCATCCCAGGAAGAGCTCTGACTGGGGACCACAGTGTATGAAAACAGGAGAGATGAGGGGAATGGTTGAGCTTTAATGCTCTGGTTTGGAGTTGGGTAGAGCCCAGAGTTAGTTTTATGGATGAGTGTTGCCATTTGATCTAGAGGCTGGAATTCCATGTGGCTTCACAATACAAAGAAGCTGTGGTTAAAGTTACAGAGAGTTGAGCTGACTCCACAACTCCCTGATGATCGAGGGTTGCTATGGCAGGCTCAGGGTGGCACATGGAGGCACAAGAGCATGGGCCAAAAAATTTGTGGGGAAAAGCCTGCCTTGAGTGAAGAAGTAGACCAGATTTTAAACTCCAACTTTTAAGACAGTCTGGGATCTCTGAACCTCTCCCACCTGACCAGGCACTCAATCCTATTGGCTCTAGACTGGCTCTGATCTCACATCATCTGAGAATGTCTTTGACTCTGTCTCTGACTCTTTCATATTCACTGCAGAGGTAGAGGTAAAGGAAGCTGACTCTATCTTCTTCTTTTTCAGCTTTGACAACAGAACTTTTCTCCCCTGTGGACCTAACCCAGGTCATTGTCAATGCAAACCGGTCCCTGCCTAGTCAGCAGCACTGGATTTTCAAACACCTGTTTTCAGCCCAGCAAGCAAATCTGTGGTGCCTTTCTCGTAAGTATCCTTAGATTTCATTGTTTTTCTCCTAGAGCCTAGGCCATCACAGGCCTAGTTCAATAAACTAGAGATACAATAAGAGCAAACTCAGTGGCATAACTCAGAGGTTGCTATACTCTCAGAAGAATAAGACCTAATCCCTGAATTCTAGAAGCACACACTAAATAGTTAATTTCTATTCTGCTCCCAGAACCTGTTACCCATCCATGTTTGCATCCATCCACCCATCCATCCATCCATCCATCTATCCATCTGTCCATCCATCTACCCAACCATCCATCCATCCATCCGTCCATCCACCCACCCACTCACCCACTCAGCAGTTATTGAGTATGTACTATGTTCTGGGCCTTGTGTTTGACTTGTTGATGAAAAACAAGACAGAATCAGCCATGTGCCTTGTCCTCAGGAGCTCATATGTACACCTGGCAAAGACTGACATGGGTGGAGGACAAGGTGGGGTGGTCATTCACAAGGTACAGTTTTTATAAGGTCTCTGGTCTGCAGACTCTCCCTGTCTCTGAGGTAGCCATGGGCAGAGCCAATGGAATGTTATCCTTTCGCTTCCTGTGTTGCTGAATTTGAATCTTACCGTTCATCCTACTTTGGCTCTGCCTTTATTCAGTGTCACAGAGTCTCTCACTCACCAGCCAGCAGGTTTGGGCCTTCCAGACTGGACAATTACAACTCTCTTGGTCATCTACCTTAAGAAGAGTCCCTGCCAGATAATCCTATAGAGGTAACTCCCCTCCATGAACCTCCCAAGGAGTACACACCAACTGCTCTCTTGCCTGTAGGGTGTGTCCAGGAGACTACTTTCTGTCAGCTTGCAGAGATAACAGACAGTACTCCCTTGTACTTTACCTGCTCCCTCTACCCAGAGGCCCAGGTTTGTGATGACATCATGGAGTCCAGCACCAGGGGCTGCAGGTTGATCCTGTCCCACCAGCCAAATGTCCTCTTCCAGAAGAAAGGTGAGTATCTGTGGATACTACATAAAATGATTTCTGATGGGCTTTGTGGTATATCCAGATTACTTCCTGCTTCTTTTGAGAAATAAAATTATACACATTCCTGGTAGAGATGAGAAGCCACTCAGAAACACCTTGAGGTAATTCTGGAGAGCAATCTTCTTTGTAGTCTAGCCTCAGAGAGCCAGCATAAGCCAGTGAGACCTCCATGTAGCCTTATGACATAGAGAACCTCATGAAGAGTGACTTTAACACCATCTGGGTCTATGCTTCTCTTCAAGGACATTAGTGATGCCATATTTTGGGTTTTTTCACCCTCGATGGTCTCTCATCACCCAGATGTTGTCTCCCCTAACTTACTTTTCCATTTTCTTTGCTGAGGCACTTCTCAGGTGTCTGGTGGCCCTTAGGTTCCCATTCGAATGAAGGGAGTTCTTCAGGCCATTGAGAAGCTCTGTTTGGTGGCAGTTGCATGTTGCTCTTTTGGATGATCTAGTTGGGCCGTCCTTTGGAGGTTCCATTCTATCAGTATTTTTACATTCTTCCTCCAGAGGAATCTTGCACCACCTGGCGGGATGCATATACCTGACCCATAGTGGTTCAGGAACCAGATAAGGTTGCAAGATGGGGGGGTCTCAGAGTCACAATGGAGCCTAACTTGAAGGACCCCTTTCTCACTGTGCCATCCATTCCCCCTAGTATTTTGGAGAGCCCCTCTTCTGTCTTCTTTGGGGATAAACTTCCATCTTCTCCATGGAAGGAGGGCACTTGTCATTGATGGAAAGCAGAGGGGCAGTTGGAGACATGATTCTTCTGGAAGAGATTCTCAGTCCATACCTGTGTTTTAGGCCACCTTCTCCCCTAGTCTTGCCCACACTTGAACCTTCTGGGAGTCCAGAGGCATATAGATTTGCTTTGCTTTTTGGTTCTTTCCACAGAAGAGTAAACTGTCTTCTTAGATCTATGGGAGCCAAGTTTTTTTTTCTTTTTTTTATAGAACTGGGGCTTGAACTCAGTCTTCACATTGAGCCACTCCACCAGCTCTTTTTTGTATTGGGTTTTTTTGATATAGGATCTTGCAAACTATTTGCCCCGGGGCTGGCTTTGAACCATTAGCCTTCTGATCTCTGCCTTCTGAGTAGCTAGGATTATGGGCCTGAGCCACCATTGCCCAGCTTCCTACTTTCTTTATCCTCCCAGGTTCATGCTTTTACAAGAATCCCATGACTACTATTTTAGTCAGATTTGAGATGGGAGCTGAGAGTAAATACACAAGTTTAATATGCCATCTGTCATAGAAGCTGTTGGTCTGATTTTTCTTCATATCTCATGTCTTCACAGGTACGATATGTTTCCCTCTAAATGCTATCATTTCTTTCTTCCTCTGTGTAGTTGTACTGAAGGACAGAGTGAAGAACTTTTATACTCGCCTGCCATTCCAAAAGCTGATTGGGATTTCCATTAGAAACAAAGTGCTTATGTCTGAGAAATCCATTTCCAACGGGTAAGCGACCTCTCCCCTACTCCTAATATTTATTATTAAGACTCTCTTCCCTCCACAAAAAAGGTGATACAATAGCAATTAAAGGCAGAAACATAATAAAATAGGAAAGGGAAATAAAAACAAGGAGATAACCATATCTAAAATCCTTGGCTAAAGCAAGTTACTGATATAAAACACCAAATTTAGCTCTTAACCTCCAGTCAGCTGATGGAAAAAAGAGACATAGTAAGCTCTGTCTTGTCAATTAACAAAAATTATCAAGCATGATAATAAACTTGATCCTCAATGTCTCACAGTGCTGTATTCAGAATCAGGCAAGGAAATAGAACTTTTAACAGAACTTAGGCTTACAAGGACATTTTATTTTACTTATTATCTTTAAATTTTATTTACTAATTCATTTATTAGATTAGTTGTTATTTAGTTGTTTTAGTTGAAGGTGGGCTTTCTCTAGCATAGTCTGTGAACCTCACCCTTCAAAATCACCAGGAAAACTTTTTATTAGCCTCATTTCTGGTCTTTCCCTGGACCTACTAAATCAGTGTTCATGGGCTGAGGCTAAAGATTTGGAATTTTAAGGGAGATCCCAGTAATTATTTTGTATTTTAAAATTCCTTGATCCATGAACTGTTAATCTGGGAAGTGCTATCAAGTTATGAAACTACATCATACTGCTGTCATTTATAGTCTTCTTTTGAAAATGAGGTAAAAAGATGATATAAGCAGTTTGTATTGAGATCCTGGACATCACCATGTAGATGGGTGGGGGTAGGACCAGACTCAGCCTGATTTTAGTGCTGGGGAACAGAGCTTTTATCCTGATTCAGGGAAGTGTGGTTAGCTTGGAATGTTTATGGTTCCAGCTGAAGCTTAGCAATAGACTTCCAAGAAAGGAAAAGACATGGTAGGTGGTCAGGGTCCTAGGGGAGAGAATGCCTGGGAGATGGCTTACCAAACTCAGGGCACAGAGGCAGCCAGCATTGGAGAAACTGCCCAGCAGATACAAGCTTTACCCACTGGGATACTACTTGGGTTCAGGGAATGAGAACAGCAAGAATGAGTTGGGGTCCCCACTCTTAAAAGACCAAGAGTTTGTGCAAGCTCTCAAGGAATGAGTGATTATAATTGGTGATGTGGACAGGGCAAGGGACTTAGCTGAGTGCTAGAGCTCTGGTTTGGAGCCAGTGGGCTTATCCTATCATGACTGGTCATAGAAGCCAAGGATGAGGCTTAGTACCAAGGCTGAGAAAAAAGACAAGTGGATTCTAAACAGAAAGAGAGCCTGGCTGAGCTGAGTCAGAAAACAGAAGTGTCTTCCTAGAGTGTGAGTAGTCAATGTTGCAGGATGAGTAAGAGAGGAAGCCAAGGGGAGCAAAACTTAACTGCATACTGCTTAAGCAGTCCCTGGTTGGGTTGCTTTTACTGTAAGCCCATGGGAAATACCACTCCCCTTTTTAGTGATGCCTTCCCTGCCATTTCTGCCTTTCCCAGAGCCCAAAGCCAAGACTTCCTCCTTATCCAAAAGGATTGTAGGAACACATTCAAGATCCAGATCGGCTTGACTTAGAGCCTGGTACATAATAGGCATAGAGTATCTGCTTGAAGTTAGGTAGGTAAGAAGGAAGGAAATACAATATTCTTACAAAAAGAGTAGAATTTTGTTTTCAGAAAGATTCTCAAAGCTAGGTCACTCTCAAACACTGACCAAAGCACTCACACTTCGGATAGTTACAAAGAAAGCTGGTACCCAAAAGTAGGAATGACTATATCTCAGAGGCCCCCTCTAGTAGTAGGTAGGTCCTAGGCCCTCACCAAAGCCATCATGACCATTCTTTCTCTTCTGATGCCAGGTTCTTTGAATGTGAACGGCTGTGTGATGCAGACCCATGTTGCTCCGGCTTTGGCTTTCTAAATGTTTCCCAATTAAAAGGTAATAATGGTTAGCAACATCCTCTTCCCTGGAGACAGCATTTTACAATGTAGAAAACACATTTCCATCTGTGATCTTATCTTGTCTTTAGCATTCCTTCAAGGAATGTGGGATGTTGCGGTCTAGGGGCCTGGGAACTCTTGATTGTGAGTGACCCGGCTTCTTGGCAAATTGAATAAAGAATCGGATAAAAAGCACAGAAGTAGCACGTAGAGTACAGATTTACTGCATGCAGAAATACACTCCCACAAAGGACGAGAGAGGGCCCGAGCAAAGAAACTCAAGGTCCTTATTGTTCTGTTTGTGTTGTAATTTAAGGCCAAAGTTGAGCTTGGCTGGGGGGAGAAGGAAGGGCTGGAAGGGGCTAAGAGGGGAGCCCCTCTTATGATTGACAGCTTTGCTTGACAGGAGAGTGTCATATAACTTATTTTTGACCTTGCATGTGTCTACTCATGATGCATTTTGTAATAATTGCATGCATGAGATGCAAATCATATGTATGAAGTTTGAAGTGGTGGTGTGTGGGGGGGGTTGTCTCAAAAGGTCATCTGAGGACAAGTTACCCACTCCCTAGTACATGCGATAGTTTTGGAGTTTTCCCTTCTGGGCAAATATCCTCCTTTATCATGGAGTGGCAGCCACTCCATGACGGCCAAAAAGAGGTTCCGAGGACATTCCCAACCAGATACTTCCTGAAGGCGGCATGTCCCAGATAGGACTTGGGGCATGTCCACAATAGAACTTTGATTAGCACCTATTTACCCCTTCTTAGTCAACCTCCACTTCCCTGTCTTCCTGCCTAAAGGAGAGGTGACCCTCATTCACAAGTAGGGAAGTAGGGACTCATCCATACAACATCTCAGACACTACTCCTTGTCCATGATCTATTGACCTTATATACAGTTCTACCTGATTCTAGTATCCTTCTTTCCACTCAAGCTTCCCTTAGTTGTCTGTTGCTCAACTTTCAGAATTCTGGCCAGATGCTGTGATGGTATAAACTTTGGATACCTCCCCCTGATATGTGTTCAACACTTGGTTCAATTTCTTACTAGTGATGTGATTCTGGCTGAGTCACTTAGAATCTCATGAGCCTTAACTTCCTTGTCTACAGATAGGAATGCACATGCTAGTTTCCTCACCAGGACCAAGTGAAGTGACTTAACCAGAGTCCAGCACAGCTCAGCTCTGGTGCATGATAGGCAAGTTCACTTTCATGGTCTTGGCTATGTCTTGCTCTAGGAGGAGAGGTCACCTGCCTAACTCTGAACAGCATGGGGATTCAAATGTGCAGTGAGGAAAATGGAGCCTCCTGGCATATTTTGGACTGTGGTTCTCTGGACACTGAGGTCCATACTTATCCCTTTGGATGGTACCAGAAGCCTGGTAAGCAACCTATTCCTAATAGCTGTGTAGAGAACTTTAATTAATTGTGTACCAACCCTGCACTAGGATGACATCCTTCAGTTGGGAAGTACATTTTTCAGGATTTACTGGGTTCCAGCAACAGACATTGATTTCATTTAACTTAAGCAGAAAGGAAGTATATTGGGAGATTCCTCATTGACCCAAAGGAACGATGACTAACTAGAGCTCAGTAAAGATAAAACTGGATCAGCTCCATAGAAGTGCTTAGCAAGAGCAAATGGCCAACTTCTTCTATGTGACAGGGGTTGCTTATTGTATCCAAGCTTTAATTTCAAGGGAAAGTTTGCGCCAGTGTGGGCTATGACACCACCTACTGCCAGAGGGAAGATAGGACAACTTGAGTGGCAGTTTCAACAAACGTGGACACCAGGGAAGGGGAAGTTCCCCCAAAGTATGGTTAAGGTCCTGATGCTTGACAGCCAAAGTCCACAGATATCCACTTGGATAGATTCCCTGGGTCTTTTTACCTTGTCAGTTAATCAGGATGATGTAATGTTGCCATCTCAAGGAAGGAGAGGTGTACATACAATTAGGATTTCGGTACAGGCTGTGTTGGCCCAGGGTGACTCCTGAAGGCAGATGTGTTTAAAGTGCATATATCTTAGCACCTTTAGTTGCTCCATCTGAAATCAATGAAGGGCAAATAAATGCCCTTCATGGTGCAGTGGAGACACCTCTAGGTGCACATGAATAAATGTTAGTGTCTCCCAGTTCTGCTGTCTACTAGGGTCTTGCCTTTAGGAAACTCATACCTCTTCTCAGTTTCTTCACTGATGAAACAATGAAGAATAAGGCTCACTGGGGTCCCATTGCCTCTTGCGTCCTGGGTGTTTATGAGGTGACTGCATTGCTGCACGGAAACTAGAGAAGACTGGACATCTGCCTGAGGTCTAGAAGCAAACTCAAAAAGTTGTCCCAACCCCAAAGGCTGAAACCGCGGTCTCAGGGAGAGTCCAAGGGAGTCTTCCTCCTCACTCTTGAAGTGAGTGTAGAACGGGCTGGCCCTACCTGCACTTCCCTGCACACTAGTCATAGGATGTGCAAGAAGTCCTGGAGAGCCGCACCCTGAGCTCCACATCACCCAGCACATCACTTTGCTCAGAGGGAGGAGAGAATTGACATTCTTCATGTGTCTACTGTGGCAGACACCTGCTGGGTCGACATGGGCCATCACTTAGTCCAGAGTCCCCCCAGTGAGTAGGTATCATTTCCTCTGTTTTCAGAGGAGAAGACAAACATGTAGCATGGCAGGTGTCAGCCCAAGCACCTGGCTAGTGAGATGCAGAGTTGATTGTGAGCCTAAGGCTTCTGACCCCAAACTCCTTCCTGTTACTGGAACCAGTGAGGCTCCAGAGCGGTCCAAAAGGGAGGAGACCTCTACCTGACTCTTGGGTATTGATGTTGCTAAAGAATGATTTTAGGACACTTTGAAATAGAGATCAAGAAAATTTATCAGTAAAGCAAGGTAAAAAGGATGGCACACACTCAGACATGGATGTGGGTACACCCAAGATGAGGCACACTGAGTGTCTGACATCAGGGCTACAAATGGTGAAAAAGTGGGTTGGCATTTGGTTTAAATTTGTCTTAGGATAAGTGCCCCCCTTTGTTCTGGACAGTTAATACATTCACTCACTCTTGCTCTTACACTGTTTTGACATCAGTGGGGCCCGAGATCTGGTCAGGTAACTAAATTTGTATCTGTGTGAAATAGATGTCTATGTTTTTTGATTATCGGTGAAACAAAGGAGGGGGTTTGCCAGATGCTCCTTTGAAGACAGGTGTTCTTCCTTTTTTCCTTTGCAGACACTTTTGAGATCAAAGCAGTCATTTAACCAAATGTTTGGTCCCAGGATATGTCTTTCTTTAAGATATTCTTCCTCAGTTCCTAGAGCATGGTAATCATTTGGAAAAGGGGACAAGTGGGCAAGATCCAAGGTCAGAGGGAGAGAGCTGCTTTTTTTTTAAAAAAAAAAAATATATATATATATACACATATATATATACATTATATATATATACATATATATACACATATATATATATATATATGTATATATATATGTTGCATTTTAGTGAGGGAGTATGAAGCTTAAGGCAAAGAAAGCAGTGTCTGTGCTTTTTAGTCAAGCTATTCACTAATGCAATGCTTATCTCAGGATTCCCGACTCCCATGTCTCTTTTCCCCTGGTTTGTCCTGCCCTTGCTCCTATAAGATGATGTCTCCTGGAAGGTATTTAAGTGAGTGAGTGTTAAAATGTCTAGGCACCTCGGCTGGGCAAAGTTTTTCTTTCAACTCAATTGATTGATGAATTGAAGAATAAGAAGAAAAAGAAAAAGACTAACAAACTAGCACACCAACTGCTTTGTGGTTTGGCCTCTAGTTAGAGCCACATTCTAACTGAAAGGTCTACCTTGGGGTCTGGGCCAGGTTCTGGTTCTTCAGCCTGGCTTGGGAGCCTATGTGTTCTTCCACTTCATGGCAGATTGTCTTGGAGTTAATGATTTCCAGGCCGGGTGAATCTTCCTGCCCTGTTGTCTGCCTCAGTATCCTGTGACTTGATTTCAAGTCACTCTCTTGGCTTTGTCATTTCTTTTAACATCTTGAATTATTTTAGGAAAAATGTTGGAGTTGCATGATGAAGTGACCTCCGTGGATTTCTATTTAGGGAGGAATGTTCTGTATATAATGGTCTCCAGGCTTTACCTCACAGGCTAGGGAGGAAAGAGATGGGCCTACGACTTCAGCCCTCAAGGACAACTGTGGCTTTCACCCGAGAACCTACCTGCCTGCCTGTCCTCTTACCGCCTCACCCCACCAGAGTCTGGGAAATGCCATTTTCCATCTTCATATGACTCATGGAAGAGCTGGGTAGAAAGAGGCTTAAGTAGTAATTCATTTGTTCAGAAGTATAATGGAAATCAGACCAGAATGTTGCAACATCTTGACAGGAGTTGGCAAGGAAAGGGACCCAAGGTGCTCCTTGCCCCGCTCATTCCAACTACTCTGATTCTTTTTATCTGACTGCCCACACTGCTAACTTTTTCCAACACATACTCTGTGCGGTCAGAGGACTAAGGAGTTTTGATCAGAAACCACAGAACAGGGAATGAAAATTCACAGAGGGGTTTTCATTCAACAAACATTGCCTAAGCATCTGCTGTGTTATAACCTTAGCCTCCGTCCATGGGGCTCTTACTGCATGGCTACATGCCAAGTGTTTCATAAGCAGTATCTCATTTAATCCTCACGTACAGTGAAGATGAGCAAACAGGCTCAGGAAGGTTGAATCATTTACCCAAGGTCACAGAGCAGGTGGATGGCAGATTTTGGTCTTGGACCCAGATTATTCTGACTCTAAATCGCTATGGTATATGGCTAAGTGTGAAGGAGACATGGTCTGCCCTCTAAGCACTCACAGTCTAAGATGGAGGTGACTGGGCTCTCGCGTGGTGAGGCTACACGCTTTGAAACTTTACTGTTTATATGGCTCATACAACATGCTAAGCACCAAGAACTGAGAGGCTAACAAAACATGGTTGTTTCTCTTAGATACCCACAGCCTAGGGAGGAAGGCATGAGCATATGTAAGTGACTAGAGGGTAGCAGACTGAGTACTAGAGTGAGCCTTATGCATACAGTGCTGTGGGAATAAGAAATGAACTCTGCTGGGAGTCATGGATGTCTGCTGCAGAAATGCACCCCCCCCTTTGGCTTCTAAAGTCACATCCTGCAAGTTCCTTTGCCCACTGGCATGGAGCTGGCCATGCAGGCAGCCTGTCACACTGTGTACTGTCTGCTTTCAGAGGCTGAGTACAAGGGAAAGAAAAGAAACACACTATAATGACATTGTCTTTCATCTTCCACCCCTGGATAGAAACCACCTCAGCACGCACAAGGCTTATGACATTCTGGAGTGAGTGACCTGTGTTCCACTTCAGAACAGAACAAGAGGATGCTGTAGCATCACTCTTGGTCAGAGCAGAACTTTTCCCTTAAGTGGTCTCTATCAGCAGTGGGACGAGGAAGTCTTAGACTATGGTTCATCTCCTCTTAAGGCCTAGACAGAAAAAAAGAAAGCTTGCTTATGGAGGCGTGCTGAATAAAATAGCCTGTTCTTCCTGTGGGTCATGGTTGAGCAGCACAAAACCATCTTTTGAATCATGATATATTTTGAGCCAAAGCATCTTCAGTGACTGAACCTTATGCACTAACATTCTGTTAGATTTTCTTTTCCCTAGTGAACAAAGCCACACCAGCAGATGTTGGAGAATCCTAGCCACTGTTGTGGCTACCTTTCTTCCTACCCTGTCTTTGTGTTAGCCACACACATGTACCATCGCAGGGAATTACTCTACCGGCTAGGGAAGGCCCCAGAGGAAGGGTGCTGGGCTGACCCCTGAAGGGTGTCCTCAGGCAGTCCTCACACATGAGGGGTAAACTTCACAAGCAATTCTGATGAGATCTATCAGCTATAGACTGGTCTTGCTGCAAATCCATGGTTTGGATCATTTAGTGTATTGACACCTATATTAACTGTGAGCCATTAACACTAGGTCCCTGTTGCTGAGGAACTGCCACTAGAAGTGACACTCATGAGTTCCTCCTATGTGTTCAGCACTTTGGAGGCATGAGGGATAATGGTCTGACCCATGAAACAGACATGAAATAAAACAGCCTGAGCACTCTTACTGTATGTTAGCCACAACACTGTGGTGCTTCTCTGGGTCAGTGTGTACTTCCTGTGTGGTGGGAATACTTCCTACCCCATACTGAAGAGATGAGCACTCTTTCTGTGACCACAGAACCACAGGAGTGTGGCTTGTACCACTGTGGAGGGGGGATGTCTAGAGTATGAAAGGGGACAAAGGGGGGTGTCTGGTGTATGAAAGGGGATGAATGAAATGACTCTAGGAAAGAATTGGCCTAAGATAAAGGGAGAGGGTGAAGGAGCAATGAGTCCACTGTCTGCAGCAGGCACGGGGTTACAGAAATGAGGGAGGCATGTTTCTACCCTCATCTCACAACCTCAGTATAGACATGCACATCAGCCATTGCATCTAATCCTCCTTACCATGGCTGGGGTCACCTAATAAAGGACAGAGCTGAGTCTGCCAGTGTCTAGAAGGAAAGGTCACAAACCCAGATCAGGAAGGCACTAAGAGGGGCCTCCAAAGACCCTGTGGTGACAGGCCTTCTGACCTTGCTGTCCTAAGTGAAAAGGAAGCTCCATGTGTCTCAGCACAGACCTGCAGAGGCACAGGCTAAGTGACTGTGGATGCAAATGAGGTTGTCAGCAGCCTTTCTGGGCAGCAGATCCTAGAACTGTAACACCTCATGTTTAGAAGACCAGATGAGTATGGAGGGGACTAGTCACTCTGTGTCAGCAGCGCTCTGAGCCTAAGGCTTCCAGAAGGGGCAGGTAGGGGCCCTAGGGCCCTCTGCTCTTAAAGAGCACTAGCCTGGGCAAGGGGGCACTGGTTCTGACACCCAGGTGGCACTGGGCTGGCTCTTTTTCACTCATACTTCTAATACCAAATGTGTGGATTTTTGTGCCCCATACCAGCCAGTTCTCGAACTCTCTAGACACCAATTTGGGTGTTCCATGATTCCATTCAATTCCAATGCTAAGTGCCTGCAGCTAAAGGCAGAACCCAAAACTTGGGTGCACTGACCTCCACAGTGCATGCTACCTACCTTCACAAGCTGTGGGCTCCTGTTCTTCAGAACAGATGGCTATCGATGGGATTTCCATAAGCCCCTCATGAAATTCGTTAGTTTCTAGAGTGGCTCAAAAAACTCAGGGAAATATTTAGTTACTATTACTTATTTTTTATGAAAGGTGCAACATGGGTGGAGTGTGGCTTAGAGGTAGAGCACTTGCCTAGGATGTATGAGACCCTGGGTTCTATTTCCAGCACAGCAAAAAAGACAAGGTGTGACTCAGTTGAAGGACAGGTGGGGACCAAGGACAGCAAACTTTCCTGCCCTTGGATTACAGAACCCTCCCAGTACCTTAGTGTGTTCACCGACCCAGAAGCTCTCCAATCCTGGCTGCTTTGGGGTTTCTGTGAGGACTCCATTGCATAGACACCATTGATTACATCATTGGTCCTGCTGTGTGAACTTAATTTTCAGTCTCTCTCCTTTATTTGAGTGTCAGGGTGAGGCAGAAAGTACAAGTTTTTGTGGAAGCTATCAAGAGTTACCAGTCACCAATAACCTCATTAATGTACTAACATGTGCCCCTGGAGATCACAAGGGTGTTAGAAACTCTTGTATTGGGGATCAGAGACTAAGATAAAATATAACAAAAATGCGTTTACTCCTCTATCATTTAGGAAACATCAAAAGTCTTAGGAACTTTGTGTTCTTCTTAGGATGAAGAGCAAGTATCCTTTCTTATCATATTATAGTATCGAAAGTGCTTGCTATTTTCCCTGGTGTAAATTCTTCCACCAGGACTGATTTTGAACTGCCCAACTGCAGTTGAGCATTGGGGAGTAGCACACACAAATTGCTGCTGGGAGCCCATGAGAGCTGACATTAGCCAGAAAGGCTGGCATTCATCTAGTCCATGGGGTAAATTAGCTGAGCACTTTTCCCAGGGCCACATGGGAAGGTTCTCAGTGGGAAGATCCCCAAGGGAGTCTCCATTCTCACAGAGAAGGGATCCAATGAGGTTTTCAGTGCCCAGGGTTCAGTGGAGTTGAGAAGGAGCCCTTGGGGCTGAGGAATGGATCATGAGAAAGACTGATAACATCTGTTGACCTATTACTTTACCTCACTGACTGTGGTAAGAAAAGGGAATAAAACCACAGTAACCTGAATGCTCTGCTGAAGTGAGGTGCACAGCTCTTCTCCCCACTGATAGACTGATACTCTGTCACCTGTTCTCAGTGATAGGCATTTTATGTGTTTCCAGCTTCTATTAGTATTGGATCCTTGCTTCCCTTGCACATGGAGCTGGCTTGGAATTTCAAGAGAGATTTCTAGAACACGATTACTGGGTTGGAACAGAGGACATGGGCATTTGAATGCCTCAGTATAGGTAGTCAAATTGTTCTGTGGAACTTTCACTCTCAGGAGCCTTATTCTGAGAGTCTTCCAGGAAGGACTGCCATTTAAGCAAACAAAGGACAGCAAAGCAAGATGACGATCAGCAGGTTGTGGCAGGATATGGTGGTGTATTGGGGAAGTTACCGGTAACTGTTCTGTGTGGAGCTCATAGGAGATGGGGTGACAGAAGCCTTATCTCAGTGGTCCTCAAGGTGTGTCCCTGGACCAGCAAATCGGCCTCCCCTGGGAACCTGTTAGAAATGTGTCATCTGTCTCTGTCCTGTAGAATCAACCCTCTGGGGTGGGGCCCATCAAAGTGTGTGTTCCCTGTTACCAAGCACCCCAGGTGATAATGAGGTCTATAGAAGTTTGAAAATCAATGCCTTCAAATGATGCTGGCAGGTGCTTCAGGCAAGTAGAGACAACCAGAAATAAACACAAGGCAACTGAAATCACAGGCGTCCAGAGAAGATGAAGGTCTCAGTTTGTTTTAGGTGTCTGTAACAGAACACTATGGATTAGGTACGTTCTAAAGAACAGAAATATTTCTCAAGTTCTGGCTAGGAAGTCAATATCAAGGTGCTGGCACCTAGTGAAGGCCTTCTTACTGTGTTGTAACATGGTGGAGGAGGGGAGCAGGGACAAGAGGACATGCTGGAGAGGACTGCTGTATAACAGAGCCACTCCTGAGACAACTAACCCACTTCAACAGCAATGACATTAATGTATCCATGAGGGTGGAACCCTCATGACCTGCTACCTATCAAGGTACCAAAGATGACTGAATTTCAACAGTTTTGGAGGCAATATTCAAACCATAGTGCTGGGTCTTGGCATACCTGACCAAAGTGAAGGAGGTGGGAGACAGGGGTCATGAGGTAACTTATTAGGGACTTTTGGGTGAGAATGGAGGATGACTCTAACCCAAGGCTTTCATGGAGGGAGATGGGAAAAGAGACAGTGACATGAACCTGTCATTGTGAGAGGGCAGTGTGTGAATGATAGCCAGTATTTCTTGAGAGCTTATTATATGTCCAAACTGTGCAGTATCGACTTCTATAAAGCTGACAACCCTGAGGTAGTCCTGATAAACCCTATCAGCATAGCATTGATAATAAACTTTATATCAACGAGGAAACTGAGGAAAGTGAAGGCAATTTGCTCATGATCACACAGTGAGAGCAAGCCAATCTTGCTCCTGCCCACTAGCCTAATATGCTTTCCTATAGTTTCCAGTAGACCTGGGGAGACTTTGTGCTCAGTCCGAGTTTGAGCCATTGGAAGAGGAAAGATGGCTGAGGCTTTGAAGATTTAGATGCCTTCACTAAAGAATAGGGAGGGGAGGGAAATAATTAACACTCAGGAATCACCTGCTGGGTGGGAGTGGTTTCTTATTTAATTCTTATATCATCCTCATCTTACCAATGCCTTTTCCTTTGCCCTGCTCCTCCATGGTATACTGAGTTTAAATCCAGGTCTTTCCTCAAAGTCAAGGTGTCTCCTTGCCAGGCAGTCTGCCATTTATTGTTGAGGTCTTGTGCCAGCACAATGCCAAATGTCAGATGTCAAGTTGTCTCCTGTAATCCCACTGTGCAGATGTAGAAACACCTGGAGAGGTTAAGTCTCTCTCCCAGGTTCACAGAGTAGGAGACAGTAGTAGCAGACATGGGTGTTGTTTGGCACGTGTTTCTGACTCCAGCAATCTTGGATGTGGTAGGTCACACTTCCTTATCCTGACTTCACTCCTGGCTTTGGCCAATGACACATGAGTGGAAGTGGTGTATGTCACTTCTGGGCAGAAACTGTGGAGGTATGACTGAGATGTGCTGCACCCTCTACCCTGCATGGTGGTGGCTGGAGCATGGGCTGAGATGGGGCCTTTCTTGGCCAGGTCCCAAGGGAGGAGGACATAGGGTAGAGATGGAGCCCCTCTGTGATGTGGATGAAAGGTGTTCCTGCACTGTTCAACCACTCAGATTTGAGGCTGATTATTACCTCGGTGTTACCTGTCCCATTCTGCTGCTACAGGTGTGGAGCCTGCCTGCTACAGAACCCAGCTTCCTTACCGGTTATCCTCTACCTCTGCTCACATCTTCATAACCCAGTGATGCCACAAAGCTAAAAGGATGCCTTTTCTTTTCAGTTACTCCGAATGACGTTCCCAGTTTTTGCCCTTCGGTTGCTCTGCATTCCCTGGAAAAGGGTAAGTCTACCATATACTTGAGCAGCTCCTTTCTCCTCCTTCCCTTTGCTTTTGTTCAGCAGCTTAGCACATGTGGCACTCTCATATTCATGAATGAGCGCCTATTTTATAGCTTGTTTATAGCATAGGCAGGACAAATGCCAGCAGTGTGCTCATTCCACAGATGAGAAGAGTGACTCACAGAAATGACACAGTGCACTCATAGGATGCAGCTCTCCCATCAGAGTGGCCCTTCAGCTAATTTTCTCCTCTGCCATGTTATGGAAAAAAAAAATCCCTTCCCACATCCTAACAAGACCTGCACAATCCTGGCCCATGTCAAAAGAGTGGTATTGGTGGCCAGAAAGTGCAAAAAGATAGATATTTATAGGTGTGAAACAGCTGGGGCTGCAGTTCCTTGTGAGGGTGACAGCAAAGGATGGAACTGTGGTCCTGCAACCAAAAGTCCAACCCAGGCTGAGGCTATGATCTTCTGATCCCCAACATGCTCTGAGTGGCTGGGAGGTGGTGGGAGTGCTGGGTGGGCTTGGGATCTGGATAGGGTGAGGTGAAGGGTGGCAGGCCGGTCCTGCAGGTGGGCCCCCTGCACCAGGCCCTCTTCTTCTCTCTGTTGGAAAAGAGGCTCAGCCTGGGCTCCAGGCCCAGCTCAGCCAAGAGGCCACATGAGGTTAATACCTGTGATGTGATGTGGGGGAGGGGTTCCTAACATCTGTCATCATAGCCCTAGATGAATATAGCTTATGGTGTAGGAGGGAGCTAAAAGTGTGAAAATGTCCTCAGCCCATGTTGTCAGTTTACTTTAAATAGTCAAAATAGCTAAGGTTGGAGATCATATAGTGCCCCATCTATAATTTTTCCTGTATATTCTATATCAAATATCAGTTCTAAGCACTTTACACACATGTGCTGGCTTCCTACAACATTGTGAAGCAAATGTCATTTTAGCATGTCTTGGATGGCAGAGGTGGGGCTAGAGAGGGGTTACAATACCCAAGACCTATCAGGTAACACATGTCTGAGCTGAAATCATCAAAATGTCCTCCAAAATTTATGTTTTCAAAAAGCAGTTCCCTATCTCACCTCTGCCCACCTGCTGTTCCCACTCCAGAGACTGCCACTTTCAACTCTGTCAGATGTTTTTTCTTATCCTGGCCTCCATGTTGTTTCTAAATCATATTTGGATCTTCCTATTTCTTGATTTGTCAATTTTAGCTTATTTCCTTTCAGTAATAGACTTTTCTGCATGGACTGACATGGTGGTCTCTACTTACAATGTTGCATATTTCCATTGGTAACGCTGTAACATGTGGGAAGCTCTAAAATGTCACCTATCTCTGAAAATCATGCATCATCAAGCATTCACCCTTTCGTGTTCCAGTTCTTATGACACTCATGCTCTAGTGATGAATGACCAGGACAATACAATGGTTGTACTATTATTCCATTAGTTCACTAATATTCCTCTCCTCTGCCTTTGGTCATTTCATTGTTTGTGACTTCATCATTACAAAAATAACATGATCAATGAATACTTGGGTACCCAAAGCCCTTTCTGAAGTCCAGATCGTTTCCTGGGAAGAGTCTCTGTAGTGGAATTTTTGTGTTGGAGAAATGTAGTGTTCAGTACTCTGGTGTATGTTGTCTAATTGGTCTCAAACAGTTGTTCCTAGCAGCAGTGGATTAAAGTGGATTTTCCCCATCACATACTTGCCATCCTTAACTATTTTCATTTAAAAACAGTTAAGTTTATTGATAAAGATGTCACAGATGCACAAACTGAAGCATGCATATCTTTGAGTGACTTTTATGTTTTCACTCTGTTTTTGCTAAGCATTTGTATTACTGAGACTTGAAGTATCAACAAAAGAAAACCCAATGTTGTGTTGAGCATCTCCCTCCAAGCACATAGTCTGTGGGCCTGGGTAGAGGTCTCCAAGGCAGAGCTGGATGTCACAGCAGTGTTAAAAGCAGGAGAGGAGTTGGAACCAAACTCTCACCTGTGTTGTGCTGTCAGATGAGAATGTGGAGTCTGGTCATGTCCCTTGATGTGAGCTGGAGGGAGTGTGTAAACCACCTTCAGGGGACTGAAATGTCTGTGTGTGATTATGACTTGGATTAAGTATGCCTGGTGCACAGGTAAAACACTCATCTTTATGTGCTTTCTATTTAGGGGGAAAAGGTTGGCCTGTACAGAGGCCTCGGGCTGGAAACAGCAAACAGCAGTGAGGAGCTGGGAAGAGTTCAGTACAGCAGGCAGAGGACCACTCATGGGATGAGGGATAAGGTGAGCAGTGGAGGCAGACATCAGCTGGAGTATGGAACTGGTGACGTGTGTGCAGTGTGCTCACAGAGTGCTCAGGTGGAGTCCTCAGAGTCTAGGCTGTGACAAGATGTCCTGGACAGCTTAGTGAAGAGAAAAGGCACTGCTGGCAGCTGAATGTCTTGATGGCACAGATAGTAGGTCACAGTCTAGTCAGAAGAAGATACAGAAAGGAATGGTGTAAGGCAAAGAGCCATTTTCACAGTATGTGTTCCAAGATGCAATGGGGACCTGGGAAAGCCACCCCCAAATTCCCTGCAGACAGGGAAGAAAGGTGCCACCAGTACATCGTGATGGAACTGTGACATAATGGACAGACATACACTTGTCAGTTGGCCAAAAGGAGGAAGGGAGAGGAACTAGGTAGTGGCTGCTGCTTGAACTTAAGGACAGTGACATGCAAGTGATTCAGGATCATGGGGGCCCACAGCACCTTGGGAACTGCAAGTTATGGCTTTGAGCAGGTGACCCATGAGCTTGGAGTGATTCAAACACTTCCTGACTGGGCTGTGTACTGTGCACTGTGGACGGACAGTTTGGTTCTGTGAAAGTGGTGACAGTTGTATCCCTTGTGTGTAGTGGGCCATTTTACTCTTTTAATGGGGAAAATCCATATGCTTTTGTAAATATGTAAAGATGTCATTTTCTTCATAAGAGAAATATCCACAGCATCTTCAAATACCTACAGCTACCAATCCAAGGATTGGGTTAGCATAGAGTGAGTGCCCTCTCTGGCATGGGAGTCCCCTGTGTGACCAGCACAGTCTCCTTGCCTCCCAGGACCACTGTCATGTGGCTTCCATCCATACTTTTGGAGGCACTGCCTTCGAGGGGCTGCTGACATAGACTCAGCATTTGATTAAAGTAAGAGGATCACCAAACACGGTTATAAGATATTGTACTTTACCTTCTATGTGCGTTTCCATGGGGAGAGCCAAGATGCCCTCTAAACAAAGCCATGACCCTTGATGTTGAACCCTGTGAACAGTGGGTGCAGCCCAGGCTGCTGTGGCTGGGAGAGCCTGCAGGAGCCTGCAGCTGAGTGGGCAAGGTGGAATAAGGGGAGGAGAGTTGCCTTGGTGAAGGTGAACCTGCTCAGCCTTCTAGAACCTCTTCCTATCCTTAATCTGGAGCTCTGCGACAGGTGTAAAGGCTAGGTTCAGGGAAATGGCAGTGGCTGAAGGAGCAACCCTTTGGGCCACATGGTGGACCTCTGGATGGATGGAAGGGCATCATCACAGTCTATGCTGCCTCATCCTTGCATCTTTGGCTGTGCCAGTGGCTGACAGAATTTGCCCCAACTTTCTCACATATGGCCTTGGTTAAACTGCAGACAGAGTCATGAGGCTCTAAAAACTGTTGGCTCTGGCAGGGAGTGTGCACATCATATCATGGAGGAAGCAATGGGATATCATGGTCCCACACGGCTTTGCAGCTGCCATCCCTAGGATAGCCTTCTTAGCCTCCTGGCACAGTTTGCTATGGAGTGGGTGTTGAAAGAATGCCAGCATCAATGCTCAAGTCCAAACCTGCCTTTCCACAGGAGAGGAAACTGAGGCATGCAACAAGAGCATGACTCTATCAAGTCCCAGCCTGCAGAAAGAGGGTTATAAAATGACCTCTTTCAAAAATTCCTAGTCCTGAGTGACACGCAAGTGATTTTCTTGTTTTACCCTCACTACTGCCCTCTGAGGTGTGCACAATTGTGTCCACCTTACAGATTTGGAAGCTGAGGCTCAGAGGAGCCCAAAGCTACATAACTAGCTAATGGTAGATCTGTGATTAAAACTGAATCAGAATCCAGGCCCACAGTTGCCGCACTGGAGCACTGACCCTGGGAGGGAGGTTAGTATGACACTGATTTATCTAGGGAATTCTATGAACTGGGGGGTAAGGAGTGAGAGGACGCCAAGACCTGGGCAAAGCAGAATGTTGGGCTGCGATGCTGTCTCAGTGGAGGCCTCAGTGGCCCCTGAGGGATGGCAGTCTTACAGATCCATCTCAGGTATGCTGTCATCTGCTTCCAGTAGCCATTGGTGGGTGATGAGAAACAGCCCCATAACACTAACCCTAATCCTTTTCAACCCTGGGGCTTGAAGGCCAGGAGAGCATGCACTGACTCCACAGTCTTTGTGAAAATTTTAGCTCTTCTTTCTAAACACGCACAGAATTTATGTGTGTACATGCACAGATGCACACGGCACATGCTATGCAGTTATTTTATGAGACTAGCTGCCTAGGATTGGTTCTGTGTCCCAAGCCAGCAAGGCAGGGCCGGCTGGCACAGTGTGTTTCCTCCAGTGGCTAAGAGTAGTGCCTGGTCAGCAGCTGCAGGGCTAATGGAAGAACTGCTGCCACTCCCAAGCCAGCGTGTGGCCTGGAATTGCTGTGATGGGCAGGGCTGGGCACAGTAACCCACACTGAGATTTAGGTAAAGGACATCTGTGAATGTAGCACAGTACCTAACATGGCATTGACGAAGGCAACCACAGAAGCTGTTCTTCGACCACAGAGGAGGCTGAGGAGTTTATAACACAGAGGGCAGAGGGCAGGCCTGGTCTGACTGTCTGGATTTGAGCTGGCTGTGTGAGTGTGGGTGAGCTACCCATAGTCCACTGAGACTCCTGTTGGCCTGTCAAAGCTGGCCTCTGTGGTACTGGAATTAAAGTGCACCTCACAT